AGATTATGTTTTTGTGGTGTGGATAGATTGTCAAAGATGTCACATTTTATTTCAAATAAAAAGACTAATGATGCTGTTCAAGTAGTAAATTTATTTTTCAAGAAAACAATTCATTTATATGGAGTGCCTAAGACTATTAGATCTAACAAAGACTCATAATTTCTATTCCATTTCTGATGTACTCTTTGGAACAGATTTGAGTCATCCCTGAAATTCAGTACTATGAGTCATCCACAAACTGATGGTCAAACAAAAGTATAACATGACACTTGGTAATTTAATCCGTTATGTTTCAAGAGACAAATCAAGACAATGGGATCTGGTCTTAGTTCAAGTAGAATTCGTATACAAATTACTCTCTATTTTCTATTGTCTATTGTTTTCCACCAAAAGTTCCTCTTGACTTGTACTAATGTAGTAGCAAATAACATGGTAGAATACATTCAAACAATACATGAGAATGTCAAGAAGCATCTTACAACTAATTATACAAATTACAAGGAAAAGGCAGACAAAAAAAGAAGAAAAAAGATCTTTGAAGTTGGTGATTTGGTTATGATATACTTCAGAAAAGAACGATTGCCAACAGAAAATTATTACAAACTCAGTTCACGAAAGTATAGTCCATTTAAAGTCTTTCAGAAGATTAATGACAATGTATATGTTATAGATATCTATGGAAATATCATCTACATTCAATGTTATAGATATCTATGAAGGAGAGACTGAGTTCTTTTCAAGAAGGAGAGACTGATGCAGCCCAAACCTTGAAGCCTACTATTGAAGAAGCCTGAAGCTAGTATTGATGCACTACGAAGCTTATTACTATTGCAGCTTGAAACCCACTTTACTTGATGCACCTTGAAGCCCATTACTATTGCAGCTCAAATTCTACTTTACTGGCCGAATTCCAAAATTAGACCTATATATCTATTTTTATTATTTTTTTAATTTCATTTGAAATTCAAATTTCATCCGAAATTCTTTTGGATTTAGATTTTATTTGAAATTCAAATCTTGGCGCCCAAATCAAGACTCTTAGCTTATTTAAAAGCACCCCTTGTAAGCCCCGAGACATATTACCTTTTTTCAATACTATTTCGTGAGTTTTCTTATCTTAAAGTTCTCTTTTTCTGCTAGTGGACTCCAACACCATTATGGACTTAAGGAACCTGTTCTTAATTCTACGGATTTAGAATCACCCCCTTGTGGAGTTGAGGGACCTGTCTTCTTCACCCTGTGGATTCAGACCGAAAGGACAACAATTAGAGCACATTTTTCGAGGATTCAAGATGTGTCTTTGACCCCCACAACATCAAAGTTGATCACAACTCATTCAAGCTATTCCCTCAAGTTTCGCTACATCACAAAAAGTTTATTCAATGAGGAAATCTCTTATGTATGTCCAAACATTATTGAACGTCGTAAAGTTAATCATCATTAAGCTAGAGATGTAAAGACTGTTAAAATAATAATGGTGACTACATACCATCAGACTTGAAGAGTATTTTAACCTTTTAAGAATCATTTAAAATGTTTTAATTTTTCATTGGTAATTTGATTTTGACGATTTACAAGACAAACATTCTCTCCCTTTAATGATGGGTCAACATGCTCTCTTCAAATTAGTTGACAAACTAACTTTAGTGGGTGAACATGGAGTTAGACACCTTATTTTATACTCTTATATTGGCACTAAATTTAAGTTTTTAAGTTTTTTCCACTTGGTTTTTATCTCCTTATCTTTCTTTACATTTTATTATTTCTTTAAAATAGATTTAAATAGAAAAAATCCCCCTTTATTTGCATATTATTGCATTCAAAATAGGGTTCATTCAATTTTTCATGATGAGTAATTATCAAAATCATTATCTCAACAATGTCCTCCTTTTAATGTTTAAAATATCTTTGTAAAATTGGCTTGAATGGTTTACGTTTCTAGCCTTTGCAAAATATAAGTGGCTATAAATAATTGATTAAATCTTATTTTCATACAACATTTTCTTTGTTAAAGTTTCTCTTGCTCCCATTGAATAGGTGCAAAATTTTCTACAATAGTTTTCCTTTTTGCTAGGCTAAAAAAGATACATTTTGCAAAAAAATCATGATGAGAAATACACATTAACTGAATCAATTTTTTCTTCAAATGCCATCTTATCTATAATTCTCTTCAAACTGACTTCAAGTTGATCAAGGAAATCGAAGAGCTTATAAAGAAGTCAGGGAAGAGTTGATAGCCGAGAGGAAGAGGAACTTACACCAAGTATGTTGTTAGTGATGATGGTGAGTTGGCTCCTTGAATGTAAGGAATCTGCTGATCATTCTAAATACTTTATAATTTAGCCTAAATTTTAACACCATTTATGTCAGCAAACATTTTTTATCTTTGATGTTGACACACATTTTCAAACTTCAATTATAATTTAACTTAATATATTGATGTTGATGATCTCAATTCAACAATTTGGTAATTACTGCTTATTCAGATTTACTTTCTTATCTAAGTACAGGCCTCAATGTTTGACATTATAAGGTCGTTTTTTAATTTTTAGGTGCAATATATATACATATCTTTTTGTGACAGTAACATGAAACCTTTTGGGAATCAATACTTATCCTGTCACTACTTTTAGGTGATTTTCAGGCTGGATAACTTTTTCTCTTGAATTAATACAAAGATTAACAGAACACAACAAAAAACATGAGGCTTCAGAGACCATAATCAACCTACTTATTTTGACACAATTATATATAGCCACTCCACCTCCCCAACTATACTCATCATCTTATGGTCCTCCTTGGGTAGCTGTCTAAGTTTCTTCTTAAACGATAGGGAACTATATTAAAGCATTGAAGCATTCTAAAAATTGGTCAAGATAGAGATATCCCCTAGAAGTTGGGCTTATCTCAAGTTTTATCCCTTTTAAAAGAACAATCTCAAACTGACGTCGTTGAAAGCATGCATTGTTGACATTTCCAAATAATTGAAAACGCTAACAAATTAACATTGCAGCATAGAAACCTAAATGGGCACACAAAGAACCATAAAACCTTGATGCTTAGAATTATAGACTCGTGTAGAAACTCAGATGTTAGACGGAATCAGGACATATCACCATGCACATCAACAGTTCTTGTTTTCTAATCATCAGTGATAGAGAACCTCTACACTCGTTAACATTTCCTCTCAGGCTTTATCATTTATCTATAATATAATGACGAATACACTCAACTTATCTGTTAAATTTCACAATACTAAACATAAATATAAATGACAAAGGCCTTTCCAGCTACAAACCCTCTTCAACTCGCAAGACAAAGGTAGCATGGGGCTGTGGGAATTTCCGTTCCTTTATTCCTAGCTTCAGTTGCTAACTGTCACAGAACTAAAGATAGGAGATCCAATGAGTAGATATCAGACATGAACATTCCCACATAACCTGCAACCACCATCCTTCCCACTGAGAAAACCAGAGAGCAAGAAGGCTCTCTCAATCGAATGCCCTTTCTCATTCCGTAATTCCCAAGTTCGTGCCTCCCCTGGAAGTTACAAATTGAATAGAACAAGGCCGTAAGAAAGAAAGCATTCTACACCTGACATTCAGGGTCTCAAACTCTTTTTTCACTTAATTGTTCTGAGGCACATGCAGATTTTGCAACGGCTCACCTGCAAACCAGTTCGCCACACACTGCACCTGCTCTGATGGCATGAAGATATAATATAACTCTTCCAGATCCCACTGACGATGTCCTGCCACTCAAAGCAAAGGAAACCAAGAAGTGCAAGAAGAGCGCAGGCAGAGGTCTGACTCTTCCTCGTAGATTCCACAGACCAAGGAGACAGGGAACAGCAATATCATCAGGTGGGACCCACACCTCCCACTTACCATAAATAAAAGCACTTCAGGCCATGGCCGAAGAGCATTGAATGATCAGGCTCACCGGCAATGCCCTGGTGTTTACTCTGTTGCATAATGGTCACTAATATATCCTGGCATTTGATAATCCGCACTTACCCTCAGAGATCTCTTTGATCAGAGCAGGAGGGGCTGTGAGTGAAGATCTGGCATTAGAAGTCAACAACCTTTGCACTACTTTGACATCTGTCTTCAAGAAGCTGCCACAACCCACCTGATCACACTAGAATGCGCAGCTATTGGCCAAAAACTGATCTTCAAACTCACAATTCATCATCACATATCATCAGGTGAGTAATGATGCAAGCGTGCAATCATGGAACCAGGATGGGAGCCAGAAGGCACATCATGCTGGCATGGCACAGAAAGACGTGATAAAAAAAATGCTCTGCAGAAAATCTGAAAACTAACAGGAAGAAACAACAAAATGAATAAAGCCCCACAGCAGGTAAACAAAAAGGCCTGAAGCATTTAGAAAGAAAGCCCCTCTAGAGTACGACCCATCAAGCTAACGGACGGCACGCCTTATATGAGGTAAAAATCGTAAAGCTGACACCTAGAAGATCTATCACACCAGTGAAGCAATGGTACACTAACTGACGAACGGGAAATTAAGGTACGCAGCTTGTAACTTCACATAGGTCCTTCAGAACAGAAGTTTGGACGGCAGCATGGGCCTGTTGGGAACAAATTTAGCTTGGGGGAGAAGTGATATCAACTGGAAGGACATGAGGGATTTGACAATGATCGTCTCCAGAAGACATCCCCCTAAATTATAAGATTCCAAGGTTGGCCATCAGTTTCATAATGCTGTTCATCTGGTCTTCTGGTTTAAGGCTTCAGGCTTCGTCAAAGAGGCTTTGGGCGGGCTCCAGGCTTCGTAGATCTCAGCTGTTTGTTTAGGAAGGGAAGGCAAAAGGTAAAAAGAAAACGGTGCATTAGATATCAAAATATAGGTTGGCTTGCCAGGTTAAAGACTAACATCGATGCAAGTACTTTTAATCTAGTTCTGTCACGGATACAAAATGTTTAGATGGGAGGATTTGAGGCAATAGTCTACCTGCACTTTCTAATCACTGTATACTAATACCCAGGATGTTTTCCCTGGGAAACTGGGTTTGGACCAGTTAACCTGGTAACATAAAATTTGGATCAGGGTTGACGATAAACATCTCATCAAAGTCAATGAATTAAAAAAGGCTAACTTTCAGTGATAAAACAAGATCAGGCATGATCGCAACATGAAACCACAGTCTTCTCTAGCCTTTAAAATGAAACTATACCAGTAGCCTGCACCTTCGTGAAACAACCTGTAAATTTAATTAGTATAAGAGCTGTCATTAAAAAAAGGTCCTCACCCACTGCTACCAGAACGCCCGGATGGATAAGCACCATATGCACCGTAGCTGCTTCCACCAGCCTAATGTACCAAAATAGGAAAACACGTATTTCAACTAGAGAGCCATTACACAGGAAAAAATACAGAAAAACAAGGAAAGCAGTAATTCACCTGTGAGACACCATAGCCTGGATAAGCTTCTGAACCCATATCTGTTGATGTTCCATATCCACCAGAATATGAGGAATACCCTCGCCCATGACCTTTACTATCTCTGCCCCCATATTTCAGAACGTCTGAAGTATCACCTGCCATTGGGATGTAGGGAACGGGTGGTAGAAGAGCAGATAAAGCACCTTCTCTCTCAAAAAAATTAGCCTTCAGACGTGTGGTTACTTGTATCAGAGCACCTCTAGCAACATCAAGGTCACCACTGATCTGGATAAAAGTAAACAACCATATTAAACGCCAAAATTGTACGTCACAAGTTCCCTTAAACTCATGCAGAAGATGCAAAACGTTTTCTACCTGCACCATCTCATCGTCTTCTGTGGCAACTTTGGGGAGATTCTCTTTAGACAATATACGAATGTTAGCCCGAGTGGCTCTCCTCATCTCAGAGATGATGGATCCACCCTTACCAATCAAGCATCCGATCCTTGAAGTTGGTACAAGCAAACGAGTAGTGTATTGAGCCTCCCCAGATTCCTTCTCAGTTTTTTCACTGCATCTAGGCTGAAGGCGGACTGCAGCATCAATAGTTGGGGATACTGGGTCTTCAAAGAACTGGCAACAAAATCAGGATTTCCAACATCAGCATAGTCAATAAACAGATTAAAGTATCAATCATGACTAAAGGTGGCAGAGACCTCTTTTGCAGTGATTGCGATAATACAATCATCTTCAGCAGAAGAACTATCGACTTTAATTGATGCTCCAGACTCCTGCCTGATTTGTTTAATGATGACGCCACCTTTGCCAATCACCCCTCCAATGAGGGCTGATTGACAGACCAACCGAAGAGAGAACTCTCTAGAAGAACTTTCATCCCTTGGAGGAGGATAAAAGGAGGTCCAATCGGCTCCAGCATCTGCTCTGTATCCCCCATAAGGAGTCATAATCGGCCCCATGACTGGGCCACCAGCAGAACCACCAAACTGATTCACAGGTGGGAACAGACTGGCAGAAGCAAGAAGGTGCTGTGAACGAGAGGGGTTATCATGGAGACAATTTGAAATTTGAAATAGAGCTTTCCTCGCAACAGGAGCTTCTCCAGTGATCTAGAAACAATCACAACAAAATATCAGACATATGGCATCATATTGAACATAATACACAACTTTTGTTAGCATGTACCTGCAGGAGCTCGTCTCCACTAATGGCACATGGAGGAAGCTCATTCTTCAGGATACGAATCTGAGCTCCAGTTTCGCTGCGGATGGCCTGGATAATTTGACCACCTTTCCCAATTATGCATCCAATTTGATCGGATGGTACAAGAAGACGAACAGTAACTTGTGGGGCATCAGCATCAGGGTTTTCTTCAGTTGGAGCCTCGTCTGCAACAAGTCTTTCATGTACCTTGAAGAGAGCATCTTGAGCAGGACAGATATCATCACCAGTGTCTTCAAACGTATTTGTTTTACGACTTGAGCTGAAAATAGTTATAACTCTATACTCACAGCCTGGAATTGTTTCCCCAATCCTAATCTTAGACTGACTCTCAGATCTTAACTGCTTCACAATTTCACCCCCTCTACCAATTATACTTCCTATCTTTCCACCAGGGCATAAGTATCGGTAGACAGTATCATCTGGTCCAGGTGCATACGAGTCTCTATCATCTCCTGGATTTCTTCGCTTACTTCCACCATTTTCATTATAGTCCATTTGAGGGTGTGGGCGCTTTCCATAGTTATTCCTCTGTCCAGCCATTTTGGTTACGTGCTTTAAGAGAGATTATGGTTTGATCGCCTGGGTTCAAAACCATGGCATAGATGTTATGCATAGACTGTATCAAAAAATAAATTGCAGATTTTTTAAAATGCATTATTTGACAAAATAAAATATAACCACAGTATCAGTTCACTATGTGACACGAGCATTCGAGAAATTCGGAGGCAAATTTTTCAGCAATCTGGCAAGAAAGGCTGACATAAGAATCAAGTTTTCAGATATCGGCGACATAATCATAGAAATAAATCTACATTAGTTTCGGAAAGGAAAAATTGAAGGAATTGGCAGGGGGAAGATATCTGGAAAAACTGTGGCATAAGGGAACACGGTGCAACATCATGGTATCATCAAGGTTGATGTCCAAGGAAAAAAAGAAAGGAAAATGTTTCAAAATGAAGTACAAAAGCATCCCGTAAAATGTGGTTGCATTTGCATAAGAAAGGACTACTTAACAAAATATAGAACATTCTAGGCCAGCATTATCTCAGTCAAAACCTGTGAAGAATACTTGCCACCTGTAGGCCATTTTGAGGTCCCTAATTATATAATCAAACTGGTGCAAAAATGTTTTCACAGTTAATGTGAAGAAAAATTCAGGAGTATGGAAAAAGGGCAATCACATTGAAACATCAAAAAACATTGCCCAAAATGTTGCACTAACAATCACCATGTTCCACAGAAGTTAGAAAAGGTCACAAGCAAAAAGTATGCTGCGAATAAAATACAATATGAATTCAAAAAATACTAAAGAAAAATAGGTCATAGATCGACTAAAGTACAATTAAACATGAAACAGATCTTTCATATTGCTGCTCTAGTTCCTCATCTCGCATCAACAATGACAAAAAGGAGAAAATAAAAACAAACTCTGATGCCAATCATGTTTGGGAAATCTTAACAAGATGAGGGGAGGGCTAAACGCCCCTTACAAGTAATGCTTCAAAGCTATGACCGGAGCCAAACCAAGTACACCTTCTGAATACGGGCAAATTATGGTCCCACATGTAAAGTTATCTATTCCACCTGCCTCTAAAAGCAGAACCTTGAACATGGAATTTACGGACTGCAACCTTACTATTCTATAGTTCAAACAACTCCTGGACATTCCATTGCATCATACAACTCATCACAAGAAAAAACTCATGTTGGCGACTCAAAAAAATCTCAGAAGCAATAATGACAGAGAATGCAAGAACCAAACTGGGCAAACTACTCTGAAATCTTTGAGTACAAGCCAACCATTGCAGGTTCTGACACAAGAAGACGCAGACAAAATAGAAAGCCCGAGACAGATAAAGTGAAAGTTTATCAGAGACTTGAATACAACAAATCATACTATAGAATTGTTACTTTGTTGCAGTAATTCCCAACCAAATGGTCCGTAGGGTAAGCGAAACGCACGAAGACATAAACCATTGTCCACTCGCTGTTCTCCAGATAATGTTGCACTAAGCCTAAACTAGTTTCGAACAGACTTTGGACAACAGAAAGATGTGTACAGAGCTACTTTAGAGATTCGATCTGCCTGACAAAGAGAGATTGAAATTATCGAAAGAAATTGTAAACGTATTCTCTCATGAGGAAGTGAAAATAATCCAGGTCATATCTTCCTCTCGCCGACTAAAAACCAGTGAGAAGATCAGTATGAAAGGAAGGAAAATTAAAAATATGAGGCAATCATACGGCAGCAATATGCGCTCCCACGAATGGGAAGTCCTAGATATTTCTCAGATTCAGGTAAAAATCCAGTGAAAGAACGAAGTAAGGGTAAAAATAGGCACCCAATTCACCATCGGAAAACCAACAGAAGCTGCGGAATACAGATCGGAATCCCGCCACATCAGAAAAACGCAACAACCCCAAAAAATATAACCTCAGAAATCACTGCCATGAGTACAAGAGCGCACCTTTCAGTCAAGCACCCGGGGGAGGGCTTCGAATGCTTCCGTGGGGCGCCGGAAACCCTTACAAAGAGGTTGTGGAGGGAGGGGACAGGCGCGGTCTGTGCTCACGAGGAAGAAGAACGAAGGTGGGAAAATATCTCGAGCGTGAAGGGCAGGGGTTGTATATAAAAAAAACAAAGAGCTAGGGTTTTCTGAGGCGATCTGCCTTGGATGACTATTTTTGTTACTCCAAATACCCTCCTTCTATATAATAATCCCGTCGGAGTCCCCACGAAGGCAACGACAGATTCCACGATTTCAAGGAGCGGGGAAAGCGCAACCTGACTTCCCCGAAGTTGGATTGTAGAAAGGAGCCAGAATTTGACGCCATCGTAAGTCGGTGAAGACCTTGATCGGGTGGGGCCCATTAACTGATCCCTACCCATCCCACCCCCCCGACCTGCTTCCCAAGGGAGAGACCCGAGACGCACAATACGTGCATTCTCCCTCCTTCTAAGCCATGAACTAAAAATCTTACAGCGAAAAAAGTTGCAGAATAGAACATCAGATAGCTAGCAGATGATTTATGCCGCCCTCTCGTTGGACGTTTTAGAGAGTAAAAATTGCCTTTTTTCTACTGTGATTCAACTAGTCTCCGCTTCCACTGACTATGAATGAAACACGAGTGTGGCGAGATGAATACAAACGCGCGTCGCTGCCTCAAAGCGATGCGGCTCGGGTGACATGAGGAGGGTCTCTCTTCACCGTGGGCCGCGAATTGCCGAGTACCCATCGTCTTCTCCCACTGCAACCACCACCTCGGTGGAGTTCGGCAGTTCCCTTCTTCTGCCTCCTTTTCCTGAGCTCCCCGAGAATGCGGGGAGAGGATTCTCCTCCAGTGCTCTGCAGCTGCTCTTGAGGCGAGTCTCCGCGCCCTCCGGTAATCCTTCCGCCCGTAAACCTCAATCAGTTGGTCCTTGCGAGAATGAGATGGCAGGAACCCAGTTGGCTTGCGATTCGAATGGGGTCGTCACCGTCTGCAGATCTGTTATGTCGAGTTTTTCTCACCTCTGGACGAAGAGAGGCCGGGACTCGGTCGAAGGGTTTTCTCTTCTGGACCATGTCAAGACGTCCTTCTTCTTGTCTCCGAAGACGATGCGCCGTTTCTGGAGGGTCTCGGTTCTCAAACCGGAAGATGTGCTCGATATAATTGTGGGTTTCGGACCGAAGGTGGCAGCGAGGGAGGTGGATTTCTTGCTGAAACTGTTCAGCTGGGCTAGCAAGCAGGAAGGGGATTTCACCCATCTTCCGAGAACTTTCGAGTTGATGATTTCTACGCTATTACGCGCCCAAAGGCTCACAGACGCCGAATCCTTTCTGTACGACATGCAAGCCTCCGGGGTTTATAGCCCAGGCCTTAGTGATTTCTTCAGTGAGATCATTAAAGGGTATATTGAAAACTGGGATTGGAAGAGATCGATTGCGTTGTATGACCAGGCAAGATGTCTCCCTAGCGTGCTTCTGAATGTTTCATGCTACAGGGCACTTCTCCATTGGTTAGTTCAGATGCAGAAGACAGAGTTAGCTGAGAGAATCTATGCAGACATGGGAGACGTGGGGCTAGTATCGAGCAATGAGAATTATGCTCTTGATTTTGTTGTTCAGACTCTGTGCACGCATGACAAGGTCTTGGAAGCTCTCAATCTTCTCAAGAGAGTCAGGAACCTCGGAATCCATTGCGGCTGCAAGTCTCTGGACTCGATCGCTGATGCATATAGCAGGAAAAGTGACTTTGAAGATCTCTTGAAATTCTTGAAAGAATGGAAACACATGCCCAGAGCCAGCGTCTGCCACCAGATACTGTTCTCCATGTCCAAGACTTGTGGTACTGACAAGGCATGGTCGTTCATGCAGAGCTTGGAGGTGTTGGGCTTCGAGTCAGATGCAAAAACCTTCGGGATCTTTATCCGGTGGAGTTGTAGAGAGGGAAACCTGAGAAATGCTTCCCGCTATATGTCTGAGCTCTACACGAGGATGCTAAAGCCCGATGTTCACGCATGTAATGCCCTTCTCGGTGCCCTGTCAAAGGAAGGGATGTGGGAATGTTTGAAGGAAGTCTGTGCTGACATGATGGAAAAAGGGATAAAGACCGAAATGTCAACTTTCAGAGTCGTATTAGCTGGGCTCTGTATGATGAGAAGATTTGTTGAGGTTAAGCTTGTTCTTGGGGAGATGGTCGATATTGGTCTTGTTTCTCTGTCCCCACTCGAGGACACTGTTTCCATGGCTTTCTCTGTACTAGGACTTGGTGACCTGCAAGTGAAGGTCAAGAGGGACAACGGCCTGCATTCTTCGAAAGCTGAATTCTTCGATTTTCTGGGGAATGGGTTGTTCCTCGACACTGATATTCGAATGCTTGAGAGGAGACTAAATAGGATCTTAGATGATGCCATGGCTCCAAACTTCGATCTCCTGGTACAGGAGGAATGCAGGAAGGGTGGGGCTGAAGCTGCCATCAAGATGGTGGAGGAAGCTGCTCAGATTGGAGAAAGCCTTTCTTTCTCCACGTACTCGAAATTGCTGGAGACTCTTGTTACATCGAGACCTTGCAAGGTCAAGGAAGCTGTGCATGTGCTAGAGGAGATCCCTGAGCTGTGCAAGTACCTGGACGATCACACCGTCAACCTGCTACTTCTTGCTTTCTACAAGAAAGGGGTTTCAGATAAAGCAAGGATGATGTTGGACGTGTTGCTCCACAGAAGACTGCCCATCGAGGCAGAGCCTTTTATGGCTTTTGTCACAGCTTTCTACAAAGAAAAGGACGTGCATAGATTCCATGAACTCTGGGATGGCCTTCAAGGTTGTAACTGGTTACCTGAGTTTAAGAATGTCAATTTGATCCTTCATTTCCTACTAGAGCACGAAATGTTTGAGGAGGCATTTGAGCTCTTTGAGATCATGTCCCTGACACGTCCTCAGTTGATTCCAGCTATCTGCAGTACTTTTGTCAAGGAGCTGTGCGACGTTGGCTTCACAACCATGGGCCATGCTCTTGTTGACGAGGTCTTCAAGGTGACCCCCCATGTCCTGGAACAATCATGCTATGAATGTCTTATCGCAGGGCTTTATAGGGAGAAAAAGTTTATGGAAGCTTTCCATGTGATTGATCTCATGATCGAGACAACTGTCAGTCTCTCTCCGGGTATGTGGGAAATCATCGCCTACATGCTACTTGGGTCTAGCAGAATCGAGAAAGCTAGCCGACCTTTAAAGAAGCTTATCTTCAGTAAGGAATTAGAGGGTTATTCTCCCCTCTCCAGGGCATTGTTGGATGAATTGTGTAGGGTAGGGGGCAACAAAAATAATAGCCGTCAGCTGCAGAAACTATGTATGGGAGATTTGTTATTGCCTGTTGAAAGCATATTGAACATAATTATTCAGCATCGTTGTCAGGAAAAGAACTTGAGAGGGGCATACGAATTACTCTGTATTGTGCTCAAAATGAATGTACCCCTAGACATATCGGCCTACCGAGATCTAGTTTGTCTCAGCTGTTCAGTTGGTCTTGTACATGTTGGGCTGAATCTGAAAGAGCATATGCTGAGAGAACATGCATACGCCCCTCAAACCATATACAATATCCTGATGTTCCATTTTTTAAAGAAAGGAAATAGTTCTGTTGTGGATCTTGTTTTGGATGAAATGAGACAGAGGCACTATATTCCTGATCAATTTTCTTACAATTTTCTTGTCCATGGCTATCACAGGTGTGGAGATGGTCAAAAGTCTGTTGACTCCCTGAACACCATGATCTCTAAAGGAATGCAACCCACTAATCGCAGCCTCAGAATTTCTGTGGATTACTTGTGTAGGCACCAGAGACACAATGAAGCCCTCAGACTCTGTCAAAAAATGGAAAATAAATGTTGGAAGTATGGCGCTGTAACCCAGACCATATTAATCAAGAGCCTTCTGCAACGTTTCAAGATTGACGAGGCCGAATTGCTTCTAAGTCGATTGCAAGACAAGGATCTGATTCCCACTAAGGCAAATTATGACATTCTAGTGGAATGCTTCTGTAGACTTGGAAGGGTAAATACGTCAGTAAATCTGCTTAATTTGATGCTGATAAAGGGCGGCAGTTTTCCAAGTGAAAAGAGTTATAATCTTGTCCTTAAGGGGTTGGTTTCTTCCTGTGCTTTTGATGAAGCTCTTGATATTCATGCCGAGATGTTGAACATCAAAGTCCAGCCTGACATGGAGTCATATGAAATGCTCATTCGGGGCCTTTGTGGTCATGGAAAAACCAGTGATGCGGAACAGCTTTTGGATGTTATGGTGGGATCTAGCCATGTTCCTTCTAGTGGCATGTTTCAACTTGTCCTTGATAGATATCGTCTTGAGAAGAATATACATAAGACATCAGAAATTCTTGGGAAAATGCAGCAATGCGGGCTTCTACCTGAGTTTGAGACTCATTGGTCTCTCATTAGCAGTCTAAGCAGTACCAATGACAAAAGAGGCGAGAATGATGATGGAAAAGGTTTCTTGTCAAATCTTCTTTCGCAAGCGGGCTTTGATGAGAGAGGCTCCAGAACAGAAAGATGTTTGAACACTGTGCTCAACTCTGCGTTTTAGATGTAGCTTTTGAGAAGTTATGAGATGAGAGTCTCCTTGTCTGCTGTTTAGGGTTTCCACCTCTCCAGACAGATAACATTGAATTGGTGAAACTTGATGAAATGGCAGGAAGTTTGCATAGTCATGTTTGCTCTATGGAGCATCCCAAGAAGGGGCATGTTGTCATGGTAGTGTCCTGCATGGAAACTCGTTTATTATGAGAGTCAACTTTGGGTGAGTCTTCATCAAGTGGGCTTGACATATCCATCATTTAAATGATAAACTGTAAAGCTTCATATGTTGCCTTGGTGACTAACGACATGGCTTTGGAATCTGTACAGTATTGTTCTTATTTTTCAGAATATGTTTCATAGGGTATCCGTCTTCTGTTACCTTATTTCGATTGCTTTTAAATAACCAGTGAAACTCCTGCTTTTAGAAATTATGTCTTTGGACTTCATTGGAATTGTTTCTGTTTCAAGCAGAAGCCTGAGTAGGGTTTTGGTGAGAAACTTCTTGCGTGATGATTCATGATTCCCTTTTATTTTCCCATATTACTCTTCTTCTTATGTCATCTTCCCTGGGTTGTCTTCGTCAGATTGTGGGGACCCAAGCAGTTGTTTTAAAATGCTAGCGCAACTGTGGTCTCCCGGCAAGCAGTGTTTTTTAGTCACGTCCATTATTTTCTTCGTTTATGCTAATTTTATCTTCTCTGTACTTTCAACAGGTGTTTCGGAACCCAAAAAAGTGTATGTACCATTAGATCTTCATATAAAAATCCTGCTGGTGGACTGACAGATTTGTAAAAGGATTGATGACATGGAAAGCGTGTGCTATAACTATTTTATGCTCGGAATTTATTATCCACAGATTACAGGGTGTCAACATGGCAGAAAGGTCATTAATGAAAAACCTCTGTCGTCACTCTTTGTAATTTTTCAAAATCATGTCCATCTTTACTACGTGCAACATCTTTACTCATGCCCTCTGTATTTTCTGCATCTTTACTGTTCAAGCACTTTCTCCTCATCATAAAATTTTTCAGGTCAATACGTTTGGATCTATCAACCTAATTGATCTCTATTTTTTTCAAATATCGAAGCTTAGAGGCTTCCTCTTGGACGAATGCCGTAAATAAAACTCAGATCATTGAACAGAGGGTAGTGAATTTCATGCATATATTTGAAGAAATGATGCAAGTACCGCATGTCCTGATAGAGCTTTTGGTTGTGTACAATATGGGATGCTTATTTATATTCTAATCGAGTTCAGTAGTGACTCTGATGTTGCTAGAGATTCCTTTGTGCAGGTGACCATGCATCCGAAAGCACATTTATTCTGCTGCCTGCTCCCTGCAATGGAGATTGCAAGCAGTAACCGAATCTGGTGTGCCAAGATATGGAGGCAGAGACAGTGAAGTTTATGTAAATCAGCCATTTTGATGGGAATAGATGTTTATATCGTGGTTACAGACTTCTAAAGAACATTTGCACGCAAATGAAACCAGATGACACATTCAAGTGATCTTATAGTTTGTAGCGTAGTGGGAGGTCACTCTTGCCTACTCCATTCGCTAAAGAAAAAATCATATGGTTCCACTAAGCACAATAAAACTGTCTTTAACAAGGTTCATGTGAATATCTTGGTCTCAGTAAGTTTTTGTTCTGAATCCTATGGCTCAGGTGATCAACTGGTGAATATCTAGGCCTCACCAAACCTATGTGATAAATGTTGAGGTTAAAATCATAAGGCTCTAGTGACCAACTACTAAAGATCTAGCCCTCAACAAGGTTATATGATATTATCAGCAAACCAAGAACAAAGTTAAGAACAATTTTATGTTCTTGTAGTTTGGCCCACAACTTTTATAACTCAAAAAACCTTTCACTTGAGGCATCTTCTGATGGAGGATAGAATCAGTGAAGGCCTGAGCATTACTATTTTTCTTGATCCTCTTTGTGTCCAAGGATGAAGATAAGTAGTTTAGAGTTATAAGAGGAAGAGGGATGGCATGGAAACACACTCTCTAAATATTTCATTTCTATTCTTTCAAAACCCTAATCGTGGCTAAAATGTCCTTTTAATACACACGTAATGGGTTATCAACAATCCTTACAAATTTTTGTTGACAGCCAAATTAGGGACACGATTTTTCCTAAATTTGACTACTCAATGTGTGTGTGTGTAGAGTATCCTTACTCACTTGTAATATTCACAATAATTTGAAATCTTTGAATTTTTACCAATTATCTACTGCATTGTGCTCCTCTTCCAATCAACATTCATTGACTCATGTAATTTAACCATGATGCCAATTTTCACTTGAAAATCATTTTCATCATGTAGAGTATAAATTTTCACTTGAAATAGTTTTCTCTTGAGCGGCTTTCACCTTGTTCAAATTATTTAACTCAGCACATGACAATTCACATTTTAAGGGTAATAGAAAGTTACTATCTAAAGATTGCTAGGTTGATCTCTCTAATCGTCAAAATAATAATACCAACATAAGATTAGATACTTAAAAATATTTTAATCATTTCACTTATTCTAAAATCGTATTTCTAACTTATTGCATTTGCATGCATTTATACATTATTGTATTATATCATGAATTTAAAATTAGCTACACTTCAATGTTTCTACTAATTTCTTGATATCAAAACTTTTAAAACGTACGCACTACATGAATTCTTATGGTCTATTTTAAATTTGTCTATGTTTTGACCTCATTGATGCTTATGAGATATACATGATGAACCCTTGTAAGACATTTTAAGATATTTAACATTAATGTAAGACTAAAATAGAATAAGTAATCAATTTTTTAGATCTAATGATCATGAGTTTCTCAAGTGATGATAAGAAATAGATCTCTATTACTCATCAATATTACACTTTTTTAGTCTCTCAAAGTTTATCTGGTTAAATAAATTTTATTTGTAATATTATGCATGAACTTATACATATGACCAATAACCTTTCCTATTGTTGAAGGACTTTCAGCATTTTGATGATGACAAAGCTTAATTAGACATTAATTAGAATCGTAATGTTATAACATAAGAAATATATGAAATGTCTCATATAAATCAACTGAAATTCACATAACAATCATCATTACTTTTCCATGATTAATTAAAACAAAAATTCTTATCTTAAAAATGATGGCAGATGCATGTTCTTGCAACCATCCATTGAAAAGGTAATTGAATGTGATAAAGTGAAAAATCATTGAAACTCAAAGGATTCAATTTGCAATGACTTCTAAAAGATTGATGAATTTACAATTTCACCTAAAGGGATACTAGTCTAAAGTTATTGTACAAGTAATTAAAATGATTTTTATTTGAAAGACTATCATAGATATGGGCATTTAACTAGCCCTTTAGGAAGCACATTAGGGTCTTTTTCTATATACTTTAGGCACATGTGCAGCACATTATGGTTCACCAACTAATTATTTGGCCCAATAAGCTAAAGATAAAAGGAGCATGTCACCTAAATTAAGTCAAGATGAAGGAAATCTGGCTTGCATATTGTATCTTAAAAGAGGTGCTGATCTCATAAAATCATTTACATTTTTATGACAAGAATAGTAATACTAGAACTGTGGTTTTGAAAGTAAATGTAAGCCAAAAGAATTAACCATATCACTATAAAAACAAGTTCTTCTCTCCCCTGTCTCTCTCTATCACTCACTCTCTCTCTATACTCATAGGATTCAACTTAAGAAAATGATTTCAAGATGCAAAATAAGATTCAACTTAAAAGTTCAATTCAACACCCACCCCACAATCTATGTGACAAGCTCAAAAAAGACTCGACACCTACATCTACAATTTTTTTAGATTCATAAGGTATATTAAGTGTGATATAGAGCTTTAAAGTATTAATTACTTGTTGAGATTTGGACAAATCACTTATCTTCACTATGTTTCAAAAAACATCTATCCTTAATACTATTCACCATATTTAATATTCTATTTTCTTCTTTAATTTATCTTTTTAATGAATCAAAAGGAGTTAGGCTCAAGTTTCATAACTAGTTCAACATGTATTCATATATTATTTTAATGTAACTTTTAATTTATGAAATCACAAACGTCAAACCATGTACCCAACCAGTGACTTAATCTATATGTATATAGAGAGATAGATGTATTCCTTTTATTTTCTATTTGTGATATTATTTCCCGGTAAATGGATAAAACTACACTCTGACCAGGAGGGGAGTTGTCTGTTTGATTGTAAATATTGGAGGAAATGTGTGGCGCACATTATCTCATTATGTCAAACTCTTCTCCTTGGCTAGTCTAATCACTCCCGGAGCCTTCTTCGGAATTCTTCGTTGTAGATTATCAAATAAATAATATAAATTTCTCTACGTATTTTCTTGAGGAAGGAGAGGGTGATGTGGTGCTCACCATGACACTCACAAGTAGACATGGCGTCGTTCAGGACAGTGAGAGAGGTACTTTCCTTTCGAAGGGCGAAGGCAGGGGATACATGGAAGAACGGTAACGTGGGTTTCCCTCTGCAGCGTAGCAGATAGGAGGGCTCTTCCTCTCCTCAAGTGCAGCCTCCACTTCTCGGAGAGCCCGTTTCTTTCTGGTTGTACATATGTCGCCCCCTCCCAGATGATCCATAGTGCCGTTCTCGCATCGTCAGTTAGGTCTTCACCACAGAGGAAGATAGAAAACTCCAGTTTTCTCCCCCCCCCGGAGATAGGTCTTCGCTTCCTACTGTGTTGCATCTCGAGCGAGTAGGAGTCCATTGAAGGCGTTCAGTCTCAATCGGTGTATTTGGAGAAGGAGACGGGAAGGCCTATCTGGTGATACTCTTATTACTACAATGTCTTCCATAGTCTCTCCTTGCCTTCTTTCATCATGTCGGACTCTTCTGCGATCCTAAACTAAGCCGGAAACATAAACCACGGAGGTCCAGTCGACGGCTCTCGCTTGAGAATATTATCGCAGGGCTTCGGCGAGCTCTGACAGCTTCCAGCGACCAACGACGTAATGGGGATGATCAAGAACTAGCTCTTCGTGCAGGAAGGGGAGTACGAAACCTAGAAACGGGAATGCTACATTCGAAGTAGAGGCTTGGAAAATTCAGTAGTGTCAAAACAAAGGAAAGAAGAAGATAAATAAGTGAAAGAGGAGGAATAACGACAAAAAGTAACCAGTTAGTCTAGTCTTGCTACGCGGAAGTCCCTCGGAGATCAATATGAATTATATGTACCAAAGGACACCAACGCCTCATAGTTTCAGAAGCTCCCTTCTCTTCTATAAAAGTAAACTTGTTTGGTTATTCATTAGTTTGCCATTCTTCTCTTTAGGTCGCTCCAACTCCGAGGAAATCTATGAAAAACGGGGGGGGGAGAGTGGTATTGTCAATCTGCAGGGCCTCCTCCACGGACGACGAGTCCGAGAAGCCAGAAGCAAAGCGGGTCAACTGCTGCGTGGCAACCACCATCGGTGGAGAAGACCTCTGGGTTGTCTCCTCCCCCCCGGTCCCGTTCTTGCATTGTGGTCCTGCATTTCAAAACCAGAATGAAGAAGATTAATTGACGACAAAAGAGAAGTCGGCAGGAATCTAACTCGCTGACGATTTCTAAGGGAGAGCTGGTTTCACTTTGATTTCTTTTTCTTCAAAATATCTGCAGTGTGTGAGCTAGCCTCCGAAGTTACCGATGAGCGGCTCACCGGAACTCAGCAGAGCCCCAGTCCCTAAATAGTGAAAACTACCCCTCCACTGGACACTGATCGTCCTCTGACCACCATTTGTTCTGTGAGACCGGAGCGAGCGAGCGAGCGAGCGAGAGGGAGAGGGGGGGAAAGAGAGAGAGAGAGAGAGTTGTCACCGGGAAGAAAATCAAGAGGGGTCTTCTCTCCGCGGAGGGAGAAGGGGGATATGGGAGGAGGGGTCTGCCGTTCTTCGCTGAGGTTCCTCCGGTGAACGGCCTGAGAGAGCTTCCTCCTCCGGTAGGCGAGGGACTGCTCCCTGTACTTGCGCGACATGATCACATGCCAGTGGTTCTTCACAGCGTTGTCGGTCCGCCCGGGGAAGAGCCTCGCTATTAGGGCCCACTTGTTACCATAGGCCCGGTGGGCAGCCATCAACTTCTCCTCCTCCTCCTCCGTGAAGGCCCTCCTGTTTATCCGAGGGTCGAGCTGGTTGAACCACCGCAGCCTGCAGCTCTTCCCTTCTCAGAGAATAAAATCAGATACGGGTCACGATTATACTGCGTTTTATCGGCATGGTTGCATATGGTGAGCAGAAATAATAGCCGGCTGTACCCGATCTCCCCTCTAGCTTCTCTGCTATCAGGTTCCAGTTCTGAGGGCCGTGGAGGGAGACCAGCACCCTTAGCTTGGCGTCTTCGGCCGGTCTCCAGTGTCCCCTGGCGCAGAGCTTGGACTGTGTTCCCTCTCCGGTCCGCTTCTTGCTGCAGGGATCCTCCATCCCGCGGGCAATGGTCTCTCCGCTCCCAATGAACGAGGAGTCCTCGCTAGCGTCGTCCCCCGCCTTCTCTCGGTGGACTTCGATGAGAGAGGTGTCCCCGAGGGGCCTATCCCTATCGAGGACTCGTCCTCCCCCAGCAAGGGGGGAGGATGAGGGGCCAATGGCGAGGAAGCCCATGTCGGCGAACACTATGTCCAGCGGGGAGTGGATGTGTTTCATCGTCATCATCGCAGAGCCGAGAGGGGGAGCGAGAGAGAGGGGCAGGAGGGAGGAGGGAGAGAGATGGGAACGGAGAAGAGGCTAAAAAAAGCGAAAGCGCAGTTTCGAAAACCCTCAGGCTGGTTTCCTCGCAGGGTGGGCGTACAGAGAGTGAGGAGGTCCCACGCACACCCCCTGTCCTAGCAACTCCATTGTTTGCACGTGTGCTGGTCGTATCAACGCACGTACCAGGATGTTGGAGCAACCTCCACCCCCCGCGTCTCTCACTCTATGACTGTCCCACAATCGAGATGATCATCCCGTACGTTCACTCTCTTTACAGGACGGAAAAGAAGAACAGAAACCTTTGAGACTTCTGCACAGCTTTCTTTTCGAGGACGCGTTACGGCGCTCTCTCTCTCTCTCTCTCTCTCTCTCTCCCTAACCTGCCTGCATTGCGCAGAGGAAGGGGGAACCCGTAACGAACGGAACGAGTAGGACGACAGGATGATAGAGAAGATGAGCCGTCTGTAAGGGACCCCCCCCCCCCCCTCTCCCTCTCTCCCCCCGTGTTTCCGCGGGAGGAAGAGAGCAGCGCAGTCTCTCTGAACAGCTACTGTTGCCCGGTCACCACCGCCCCTGGGAAAGCCTGCCGCTAGAGGTCTCTCATTTACTGAGATCATCTATCTCTCTCTCTCTCTCCTCTTTCTCCCACAACAGTCGCGGTCAAACACAAGCTCGAGTCGACCGTGCAATAAATTAGCCAGTCCTAAGAATCAACAGCGAGAGTTGACTCTTCTCGTCTACCTCTCTCTCTCTCTCTATTTGGTATTACGTACAATACGAAAGGGCGATTAATGAAGTCACAAAGGTATTTATTTGTAAAGCACGATTCCAGATTCGCCTTCCGTTGACTCGTTTTTCTGACTCAAGATTTCATAGCTCGTTTGACTAATGAAGCTAGGTGATGCAATATATCCATCTTTCTCTCTCTTCCCACAGTGCTAGGCCGAACCTCCAAAGCCAGCGCACGTGCTCGATGGGTCTCCCGCCTTTGAGCTCAGGGAGTCGGGACTCGGGCCGTGCGGCTCATGCTTTTGACTCTGAATTCAAGTCGATTAATATGAAATACAAATTTGGAGTTTACGCAACGAAATAGTATTGAAGGTAGTAACTGGCCGAGGACTCGATCCAATTCCATTCGTCACGAATCACGTGGATTTCAACGGCTACAACCCTCCTCCATAAATGCCCCCTTCTGTTCACCGTTCTTGTACGGACAGCAGGAAGCGATAGAGATAGAGAGAGAGTGGGGGTAGTTGTTGTCTTCGGGAGGGTGAGGACGGCGGCTTTCCTTGTCGGGAGCTTTCCAGGACAAGTGAGAGAAAGTGCTCGAGGACTGACCATTTCCACGGGCAGCAGCGTATCTTTGCCTTGATATCATGCCCATCTCTATCTCTCTCTCTTCGCCACTCGTGCGCCGAACAGCTGGAGGCGGTGCTCTCCGGGATGATGCGAAATCTCGTCTTTCCCTTCAATTTCCGAGGACTACCCTCCCCGAGCCACACGCGTGGACGAGGCTCGACCGATATTGGAGGGCTTCAGGCTAACGAATCGGGCAGTAGCGAGGAGAGAAGAGCGATAACGACAACCGCGATTCATACAAACAGAATAATTTATGCATATATCTCATTAACTTTTTGATTTTGAAATGAGTCAATCATCTTTTCACTTGCGCTTTGCGTCCTATATACCACAAAAAATAAGAATCAGTCCATCTATTACACTAAGAATGGTTTAAATATAAAAGAATAAACCATAAAAATCACGTAGCTCCCCAAATATTTATCCCCGTCCCCTGTCAGCAGGTATAGACTCATATCCATGTCAATCACTCGCAATCTATCCCTCTGCTTTGACCATCTAGCATCCCCAAACCATTTCCTTTTATCCTGACAGTTAATCCCATGTCCCATTCGTCGCACTCCGCTGCCCCTCCATTGATTGGCAACGAGATAACTTGGTCCATCACTACCCACATTTCCTTCTCATATCCCCCCCCTAGTCCCCAAGCAAGCTTTCTCCCTAAAATTGAAGTGTTATAAAGGTAATAAACATAGACTTCATTACTAACGATCTAGATGGAGTGTTCTCCTCATTTTTAGGGGTAGTTATTGTGAAATATTTGCTACACGAGGAATATCTATGGTTTCACTCTGGAAATCAAAGCTCCATATTCAAGGACACAAATTTTAACGTAGTAAACTTTAGTTTCTTTCTTTAATAATTATCAAAGTTCTCTTACTGGACGTGGAGTACCACAAGCAAAAATTACACAATAAAGGCATATTATAGTTGTAATCATCATACTTACAAAAGACATGGCTAAGTGTGCTATGAACACTCAATTTACTTTCAATGACATGGAGTTGAGAACCTAGAAGTGATTAATATGCTACATAATTAGGTTGTTAATTTGACTACTTTTCAACCAAGTCACAATGAACGTGTTAGGGTAATATTTTTGGAATTGTAATCTTCTGATGTATTATGATAGCCCACTCTTGTTAGAGATCTTTTGACACATGCTGATTCTTTTCATATCTCACATATTACACCTCTCTCTTGAGATTGGGTTTGACTTTTGCCAAGTTGAGGCACTATGTTGGCACACTTTTTGTCTCATCTACTTTAGTTGGGTCAACACATTTTTCTATGCTTTACTTTACTAGTGTAGAATAATTCCTTTTCTATGTTATCACACTTTTCTATGTAGAAAAATTGGACAGTCACTCTATATATGTGCTAATGAGAGACTTTCTTAATCTCCTTTGATCTTTTGACATGTCATGATATGTGACCCTATGTTTGAGATCTTCTAGTACATATAGAACATTTTGGCATATCTAACATTTTAGATATCTTTGAGAAAATATTTTCTGTCCTAAAATTTGGTTTTGCATAGGCGTCACCATAACCCAACAAGCCTACAGCTTAAGTGACCAAGAAGTAGATAGGCCTATTCTAGCCTACATGTTGAATCCTTTAGTTCCAAAGATTAAGTAATGAATACACAGCCCTCAATAAGGCTATGTGGGATCCATTGGTTGTATTGACCAACTGTAAAATATGTAGGGCTCAATGTGACTTTATGCTGATTTCATGGTTTTAGCAAAACCTCAAAACCAAACTAAGAATAATATGACATTCTTAAATTGCAGCATGTGGCCACATTTGCCTAAATTTCTTGCACTTATAGCCAAGGAAGCATATGATGTAAATTTGAGTTAGTGAAGTCTTGAGCCTCAAGAATGTAGATCTTTAGCTTCCACTTGAAAGAAAAAGGTGGATGTGGACTCTCTCTCTATCTATAAATTTCTTTCATTTTGCTCAAAACCCTAATGCATGATGAAATCGTCATTAATTTCTTTCTTTCATCATGTTAGGCCATCCTACAGTCTATTTTGAGTCACCTCTATGTCAGTATTGATATGCTCACACTTGTCACCAAGAAGGGGTGAATTGATGATAAGGTTTGTAAATACTAAATTGCTCATGTAACAATTAGTCACTATAATTTGACTTCAAGCTCTTCCATCTTTAATCACAACTTATAGAGCTAAATTAATTCATCCTCATACTCCACACAATCAACACAGTAGGTTTTATACTAGTTAAGTATTGTACCTATGTCCACTCTCTAATGACTCATCCCTAGGTTTCAATATGATATATTATTTAAGAATAAGTACGAGTTGAAGGTTTATGACTTCAAAATCTCATTGACCCTATTAGTTATGGACCAAGTGGACTAATAAAAAATTAAAAGTTCTTATAGTCCTTTGACTCAGCTTCTTAGGCTTAACAAACTAAAGTGTAGAAGATTAAAGGCCTCTAGTGTCCTCTGACTCCACCAATTACTAAAGAAGTGAAGTTTCCAAGAAATCAAAGATTTTGATAACCCTTGTTGGACATTAGGTTCTTAGTTGGAATTGAGAATCACAAAAGACAATCATCCTTTACTGAGTACTAAAGTCCTCAATTAACTTAATTTGAGATGACCTTAAAAGACCTCACCATTGAAGCTCGTGCTTTCCATTCGCTTGATATCAATGGAGAAAAGGTTTGAAAGCTTTGAACTCTACACTTTAAACTTAGTGTAAAGTCATTGAGGATGCTGAGATGTATTGTTATCTTGTCATTTCAAGTGATGGGGATTTGGGAGATTGATGACTTGGTCTAGTGAGCTTGAAAGTGCATTAGTGGAAGAGAAACCTCATTCATACCATAACCTGGGGTGAAAGAAAATCTTTATACAAGTTATTGGGATGATTACCAATCATTCCCAATAATTTAGTCATTAATAGATACCTTCACCTCCCTATTTTCCAATATTTTAAATATTCAAACAAATTCATTGCATAACAAACATATAAAATCCAAAAACTTTGTATAGTTGGAAATTTTGATCCATCATTTTACAACATTAAAATCATTGTAGAATAATCTTTCTAACAAGTTGTTCCATGCCCTATATGATTCGATCTCTAAAATTCATTTTCTCCTTGAGCCCTCATTTTTCCTTTGCCCCTATTGAAATTCCACCTTGATTAGTTATATCATTACAAATAGCAATCAATGTCTTAAATTCTTATGTCATTATTCATCTTTTAAGATGTCTCAAACCACCTTTATTGTCATCAATCTTACCTGGATAATGACTTGAGTCTGCACGTGAAATTCAGACGTTATAAACACTAATTAATTTTCTAAAAGTCCTGATAATATTAAAAAAATTAACACAACTTATTACATAATGTTCCTCTTTCAATTAGCTCTCTCTCTCTCTTCACACACACACACACTCACTCTCTCTCCCCTCTCTCTCTCTCTCTCCTCTCTCTCCTATCTCTCCTCACTCTCTCACTCACTCCCTTGGACATATGAAAATGGTAACATCAAGAAGGGGAATTGAATTGGTCAAATTCTACTTTTGACTACAATCAACTATCCAAATATTTCTTAATCTCTTCTTCCAATCATGAATTTCTTTTGTTCTCAAAAATCTAAATCTTGAACATTCTAAAATTTTTAAAGTAGTTCAATCCTCTACCTATACTTTACTAGGAACACCTAGTTATTGCCTTATTCTAATTCCTTAATGTGTACATGTTGATTAAAAGGGCTAAATTCCTTTAAAATCATAAACTAAAATTATTGAAAATATTTAGAGCTTAATCTCAGTTTTTCATAGAAATAAGATTTTTTTTTGAAAGAGGCAGTTTTTTATGTTGATGAAGAGTTCAATTTATGATTTCCATTCAGATTTTCTAGCAATCTGAGGCCAAAAGATATTGACATTATAATCTTCTTGCAAAAAAAGATCAAGATATCGTTCTTAACTCATTGCCTTCTTGTCCATTGAATTAAACTTGGAATTTGCTCAAATTTGCATTAAAGAAAATCAAGGCTTTAGAAGTCAATATTGACATTATTGTTCCCCCTCCCCCTCTCTCACACACACTCTTACTCTTTCCCACTCTCACTTTCTCTCTCTCTCTTTCACTTTCTCTATCAATCTATCTATCAATCCATCTACACATTTACTTTTCATGCAGAGTTATGGCAATCCTCAAAGTTGATTTTGACCATCATGTGCTGCCCTAATGTACAAAAAAAAAGTTTCAAACAATACTCTTTTTTTGGAATAATGCTCATGAATTCTTTTAGCAAATGATGTCACCCTAAATAGTAGTTTATTAGTGCCAAAAATTGGTAAACTTAAACACAATATTTGAATAGGAAACGTCATAAATGAATTTACTCCAACATAATAAAGAAGTTATAAGATTGAAACTAGGATTCTTGTGGAGAGTTTTATCTTCACTTAGCATCAAGTTCATTCAACTTACCCAAATTTGATCCACATGCCGAAATACATGCGTGTATATACATGTTACACTAACTTACATCTCCTAATCTATCTTATTTTAATCTATAGTGATTCACACCATGGGTAACATAAATTATCATCAATACATTAGCATATTATCTTTGTCATCATCAAAATGTTCAAGGCTTTTGAAACCAATGGGTTTGACTTTAGTAGAGTCAATATAGTAGGGTGACACTTTCTCTCTAATAGAATTTATATAACAACATGTAAAACTAAGTGGGTGTTCAATTAAGTTAGCCTAATAATTATTTTGAATATTTGTACTTAGAAGTCTGATCATGTATTTCACTCAAATAATTAATAGTATTTGGTTTACCAAACCTACTTACTCTCCAAATATTGAATTCTAGGGTTCTATGAAATCTTTAGTGAAATACACATTGAATTAAGACCTTAATCACCTTCATTATATTTGATAGCTCTTGTGAATCATAGATTTAGTCCATAAATTATCTTTTAGATTCACAGCTCTAGAGGGTCAACTAAAAGAGAACCACCAAAGAAATGGTAACTATGAGGAATCCACTAGTCTCATCTAAATTAACTATTCTAGGATGCCCAAGTAGAAAAAGTTGACACTCTTCTGAATTGAATGGTTATTACTTGAAACAAATTCCCACCATGTGAATATTATACTAAGTTATCAATTTTATGGTGTTTAATTCCAAGCTTCATTGAGGCTTGGTTCCTTTAATTTCATATTTCACAAGATTATCGTGAGGATATTTGTTGTCTTTATTGCTCTTTGATTTCTCACCCTTCATCTTGATTTCTTTTTCTTCAATCTTTTCTTAGGAGAGGATTCCTCATAAATCCATTGATTCTTCCTTATTTTGTGACATTTTAAATATTTTTTAATGGCTCAAGTCAATCTTTTGCAAAGATGGCACATCCAAATGGTTACTTCGTAAACTGAATGATCATTATTTCATTGGGTGGATTCAAGTTTCTTTGAGTTAGGTTTTTCTAAGATCCTCTAAGATAATTTTAGGCATCCAAACTTGTATAATCCTTTTTCTATCATGTGAATGCCTTTTATTTTTTTCCAATGGATTTTAGGTGAGCTAGTTATTTGGTCTTATAACATTTTTTTCTTTTTTTCCCCAAGATTTAGAAGAGGAACTTTTGTAGTCACAATACTTGTGCTTGGTCTTTATTGGTTGAGTTAATTTCTCTTTCACTAACCTATCTAAACAAGTTTTTCTTTCATATTTTGAGTATTAAGGACCAATAATTTTGATTCTTGATTTTATATATTGTTGAAATTTCACATTCATCATTAATATATTACAAATTATTTCTTAGACATTAGTTTTTCTTAATTTGAATTTTTATTTTTTCTCTGATCTTCTTGTATGAAGAAAATAATTCAGCTGTAAATTTGTGCATCTCATCAATAAAAAATTAAGCCTTAGGTTAATTGATATGTCCTTGTTTTCCCAAGCTATCAAGCATATATTTGAATTTTCTTTTTCTTCTGATTCAAAAGAAGAACTTTCTTTGTCACTCCATGTGGACACCATTGTCTTCTTCTTTTTCTACTCTTCTACATTGGGCAATCTATCTTGAAATGTCCTACCTTTTATTCCCCAAAATAAATAAATTAATCTTCTTGTGAGAATGTTGAACAACCTTTCTAATAACAACTTTTGTGAATTTCTTAGTGGAGCAAGGCTATGTGATCTTTATCATCATGCTCACTAGAGAGATCATTGGAATTCTCTATTCATAGATTGACTATTTTTGGAATTTTAAATGACTTACTCACCGCTACCTCAAATGTTAATAATGATCATCCAATGTCAATTTTGTAGAATCTTCTAGATGCACCACTCCAAGGGACTAAATAGAGGAGGGCATCTCCTCTCTTCTAGATTAGGCTTTGAGTTCCAACACTCAATGTACAGCATTGCTATGATTCTTAGAGCTCAACTCCAAATCTTCTCAAGGCTAAAATCTTTCTAATTTCATGTTTGAAGCTTCACAATATGGATCCCCTTTGTGCACTTGCTTGTTTCAGATTCTTCACCCCCTTAATATTTTTTTTTCATTGATCCTTAACATTTTTAGTTGAGGAGAGTGTTCCATTATACACTCCTGATTTTTTCCTTTTTTTGGGATTTTTGAATGGCTCTTTAATGATCTAAAATCCATCATTACATAGGAACTAGTTCCCCAATAGAGTTATTTTTTAATCATTTTTTTGTCATGCCTAATTGTTATCTCCTTCTTTCTCCTCATATGTTTACTTTTTGTGTCAATAATAGATTAATGCATTGATAAGTTGTGTAGATAATATTTTATAATTTTTTTTAAATCATTTGAAGTTTATCATATGACATTTCCACAGGTCACCAGAGAATTAGCTTTATTTCGTAATTTCAAATTATTATCCCTTCATCTTGATTTTAGATAATTTTATAGCTTCCTCAATTGCAATCATTACAATCATCAAGATGTTTAATTTTAATTCTACAATCATAATCTTTATCAAGCTATTCTTCTATATACTATGCTCATCTTTAAAACATGTAATGCTCCTAAAGTGAACATGCCCTACTTTACTTAATTTGGGCTTTAACGCATTTTGGACCTTCAAACTTTTCTAATCCACAATTTAACATTTTTGTGCCACCAATGCACCAATTGCACTCTACTTATTTCTTAGAGTGGTGCTCTAGATTATAAGTCATATAGAAAAATTATCAAAATCTCTCAAGCATTAAAAAAAAATCACATAAATGTTCATATTAAAGTTTGTAGTCATTGACAAAAGTTTTTTATGATTGTTTTCTTCTATTATTCGATTTTTAGTAATGTAGATGACAGACTGTTAACGATATAGTTCGTGACAATAGACAAGTTGAGAACAGTCCAAAGCAATTAGGGGTGGCAAAGGTTATCATATATGCCATATAGCATCTTCCAAACATTTGTAGGATAGATTTGGGAGAATGTACATAGATGGGTGCATGCAAAAGTGTTGTGCACTCTTGCGTGCTTCATTTCCATTTAGACGCTTGCTTATTAAAAGCAATAACCCACCCCTCCCAGCATTTGGCATGCCAGCATTTTTCTCCCTTGAGAATAACAAATTTGCTTCCCGAAGTCTCAAAACAAAACTGTCTCCAGAGATTTATACCACACAAAATGATGATCAAGTTTAGTCTACTTAATGACGACCTGGAAGATTGTATTGACTATGATGTCCACGGGGTTAAAATTGTTGTATAGTACGGGCGGGAGGATTAGAATATCCCGTGGATGAACGGCCTCCTAGCATCTTATGTGTGTGAAAGAGAGAGAAAAGAGAGACTGAAACCAAGTGGAGTGAGTGCTGACTCACGCCCATTGCCTTACAGAGGTTCCGGTGGCGAGAACCACATAAAAATGGAAACATCTACCAACTGGAGTCGTGTCGACACCAGCTGCCCCGGTGCTTTCATTTTACTTGTTGTACAGGTACACAACGCTGAAGAGAAAGAACCCAGCCATCTGCAAGGCAAGAGGAGGCTTTCTTTAGAGGTATCTCCAATTTAACAAGCTCATCCAGAACATTAACACCTAAGCAGTGCACTCACCGTAGAGAATGATCCCCCATAGTAGGGGTAAGCAGCTGGTATGAACCTCTCATACTCGTTGTGCCTGAACGGACGGACGGGGATCTGCAACTCAAAGGGTAAGGTGCGTCAGCTGCAGAGAAACTCTATCCAAGACGCTCTGGAGGAATAGGCGTGTAGGGTGGGTTGCCATACCTGCTTTGAGAGAGATAGGGTGCTGTATCCCAGCCTTTGGTACTCCAGCTTGAACTGGAAGACCCCATAGACGTCAGGAACCTTGAATGATGCCGAGTAAAGCCCCTGCAAGGGAGAAGAGGGTGGGTCGGACGTTTGGTCACAGGGTGGGTTTTATCTTCCAATACGTGCGACTTCCAGATGACCGGTAGGTGCTTTTCTGATTGTACCTTCTGATCATTCGATAGGGTCTTCAAGATGTAGGGACTCATCATGTAGAACTGGACCTGAACATCATCAGCAACATAGGGCTTCCAGCTCGTTCCAGACCACTCGTAAATCTCAACTGAGTACTCCTTCAACCAGAAGAGAAGAAGTGTGAGAGAGAAATTGCCGCCTCCATCGCATCACCCTCTCGATCACTGCGTGAGATCTACAACAGTTTCTCTGGAGAAATTAAAAATTCGAGAGTAATTACCAGATCGTCTTTGATTCGGTACATTGGGGGCTCTGCAACTTCGCCAACTTTATGATGCCTGACATTGATGGCCTGGTGAGAACATATGATACTTTAAGCCTAGAATGTCGCAATAAAACTGCCCACATTATTTGCAGTGTTTTTCCAGGTTTCCAGTAGGAAAATTGTCTACAACTGCGTATCAACTAATTTTTTCATGGCAGCTAACGACGTAAAATGCCACTAAGAAGGTGGTAGAGAAATCCGCATATTCAACGGTGTGGAGGAAATAGAGTTGTCTTGCCTTGAGGTGGCCCCTTTCGTGGAAAACCCATTTGCTGATTTCAACTGCAAATTGCTCATTGCCGGATTTTTCATGCCTGAAAACATTCCGCAGGAAAATTAATCTCGATGGATATCAGGTTTATCTTACAATCAACTGACAGATCAGAAGGAGAGAAACTACAAGCTGGGCAAGAAATGTTCCACTCCATCATAAATTCAGCACAATCTGGAACATGACGTTGTTGCCCAAGGCATTATAAACATATTTTTGAAATCAACCAACTCCAATCCAAATCCACTGATTTGGGCTATTATTGGTTGCATCCCCATATCCAAACACAAATCCCAAGGAGAAAACTTTATACTTTGAGGGGAGATGGCGAGTTTCAACTGCCACCAAGAAATTCAATACCCTTCCAAGAGAAGGGAAGGTCATTTCTGACAATTGACGTCATGAGAGCAAAGAGGAAACAAGATCAATTGCAGAACTTCATTGATTAACTTCCATAGAAACGTGTGCGTAATAATGAATTATCCAAAGGCATCACGCATAAAGGAAAAGTCACCAGATTAAATCAAGGTACGACAAGATTTTCAATGGACAGTAGGAAAGATATTGAGCAAACCACTTTGAAAAAAGCAACTGGAATTGAATAAGTGATGAAGATTCACTTACTTTGTTAAACTCTTGAACTTCTCCACACCAGACTTGAAAAACCTGATTACAGTGTTTCGCACATTTATAAGTGGATTGGTGATTTTATGGAAACTCAATAGAAAATGAAAGAAGAGAATACCGATCACTAAACAGGTCCAGAGAACCACAAATTAATATTCGAGCATTGTTCCTCGCCTGTGGAATAAAGGTAGCACATCAAATTATCAATGATCTAAAATCTTTAAACAGGCAAGATCTATACAGAGGGTAAATGTCAGATGAAAACGCCATTGATATTAGCGAATATAAAGTTATATCTTTGTATCAGTTTTAGATATGTAAGTCAACGTCAAATGAAGGAAATGCTGGATTCAAGCAAAATGACTATTCAAATAAGAAACATAATGCAGCCTGACAACGACAGTGGATTGACAGTGCTTCTGTCACTAGTTATTGCCACTCACAAAATCATTTGAGCATAACCCAACCAAACTTTTCTGACAACAAGAAAAGAAATGCATTCAACTAAATACCAACAGTTTAAATCAGAGTAATCTTCTAACCAACAACCATTTACCGAGGCAAAAAAATCCACTGTCGTAACCCTTAATGCATTCTGAACAGAAAGTAGATGAATTATTTTTCCCTTCTATATACTAGAAGAATATATTAAGATTAGAAACTTTGACAAATTCTGGATTCTAGATAAGATCTGTTGGTCCGAGATTAGTCAAGTAAGCTCTGGGAGGATCAAATTATCTAAAATTTTTACTCATGCATTTCCATTGTTCAAATATAGGAGTATGACTGCGATTCAGTAAAATCTATAAACAACCTCATTGAATTTTCCAAAACACGTGATCTAAACTGTAAAGGAAATAAGTCAGCAACTGGCATAAACTGGAAAATAGAACTATCTAAAAGAGGCACTGGTACTTTCATTTGAACTGAGTTAACTTATGGCATGGTTGCAACGGTGCACCACTTCGAAGTTCTATTATCATGTCTACAGCAACAGAAGTGCTAACAAATGATAGACGATCCTAATTACGAAAACCAAGCGAGACACGAACCTTTATCAATGACTACATGAAGGCCCAGCAATGACTACAGAAATAAAGTAACCCAACTAACACGTATGAAAGACTCTTTCCAAAATAAATCCGGAGATCCGAAAAGTTTCTATGGTGATTTAAAAAATGATAAAAAAAGATTATTCCACAAAAGAACTGAAAGGAAGCCCAATACTACCTGCACAACAGAAACTAACGAAATTGCAGATCCAGTAAGAGATGGGGCCTTTGACAGCCTAGTCTTTGGATTTGCAGAATATGCTGAAGGAGAGGCAGATAGGACTTTCACAACCTGTGAAATAAACATATTAAACCATGAGAGGGTGAAACGAATGCAGCCTACTGAGCTAACGAATAAAATAGGACAAATTCGATTGCATCTAAAAGTCCTTCATGTTTGAAAAATGAAACAAACATAAAAATAGAAAATAGAAGATCTCACCATAGTATTGGTAGGATTCAAGGAATGGCCAATCCCACGAAAAAGCACAGGGGCCTGCATGATTTATTTTACAGTGAGATCAGTGGCTGAATAAGAAACAAAACAACAGAGTAAACAAAAGTTGATAGAACGCAAGCAATAAAAAAATATAAAATTATTTACTTCAGGCATGTCATGACAATTATGGGGGCAAGTTTACGGAAACACTTTTTCTTTTAATCTGTAATAAATACTGCTTTCAATGAGTAGGTTAATGACGGAACAGAAAAGAGAAGTAGAATTTTTCCACCACATTAACCCAACACAAAAGCCAAAACATCCTATTGAAAAGTAGCATAACTTTTTTTGGCTTGAACTTGGTCATGGTTCACAAGATTGACCAGGCTCCAACCAGCTGAAAAGTTGAATTGTATTTTCCTTTGTGCATGGCATGGTACATATTTATTAAGAGTTGTTCATGTAAAATTCATCAGATACTGTTTAAATACAGGATTTCTGTGCTTGAGCTAAACAAGTCTCTCCAAAATATTTCCAATTATCTCATGAGATGGGTTATAGATTTCAGTTTTTCCCAAAACTGTCTAGTTTGAACCTGCTCCACATATATACGATTACCACCAGTGAGAATAATGCTACGCTTGAAAGGGCACTGCATCATCAATTTGGAGAGAACATTATACAAGTAATTTTAACGTAGTACAGTTGGAAGACACGTTCTGTAAGAACAAGATGATGGCTTGCTTTTAACCTCTATTTCACTCATCTTTGTTATTCACTATAAGTGAATAAAGAATAAATATTGAGAACAACTGAACATAGTGCAATCAGGTTCCTATTGTAAGCATATTGTAATCTTTGGTTTAAATATAGAAGCAAAGCAGTTGGTGCAATTAAAAGGAGATAAAAATAAATAATTCAATAATACTAAACAGAGGAGTTCATTGGTTGATTAAAATTTCATAGGTCGAATAGGATGACTCGGAAAACATCTAAAAAACGATTATCCAATCTATAATCAACTGAGGAATGTATAAAAGAATTGTCCACTCTATAAACAACTGAAGATATCGACAATCAGCTGATCATCATGTGAATAACAATGATTCATCTTCATACGAATATGTAAAAGCCCCTTTAACATACGATGAAAGGATGACTTTAGGGATTACTGACTTTCGTTTGGTGTGAAGAGTACGACATATTCACTAATCTAAAAATGTTGAAGACTAGGGATTTATCAACATAGAATTGAAGCCGTGACACATGTATTATGTAAGGCAGATGGTTGATGATTAGTTTGTAGTTAACTCCACCACTCTCAACTATGTTCCAGGGAGCATCTTTACATCCAGATAAAATTACTTTCAGCTTTGAGATGAAATTATTTTTCTACATTTCCGTCTTCTTTACATCAAGATGCGGAGCATTTTTCTCCACACAGAACATGATGACACCTAAAGTGTTGGATATAGGGCTCCATGAACCAAATGGTTCAACTCGTATTCAGCTACCTCCAATTATACGTAAGAAAACTCGGAGATTTCCAAACTGGAAGGCCAAAGACAACATAGAACCCTAATGAAGCTCAAAAAGTCGACCAATTTTCGACATTAATGGGGATAACAAGAAGAATGGTTTCCTTTTTTCACTTTTGGACCTAACTATTTTCTTCAACACCTTTGTAGTTAATTTTTTTGCCCCTTTCTTATCAAGGACAACTATCACTAGGATAGTCTACTTCCTAGAAACTACTTCCTTCCCAACCGCAAAAAGAAGTAACCATCAATGAATGATTCACACATTAGTGATCAGGCAGTTGAATGCAAGTAACTAGTCTACTAAAATACGAAATATAACCCTTACATGGCCAATAAGATGTGAGTATAATATAGGTCAATTATAACTATTGTAAAATAATACAAAACCAAACCAAACGTGTTGACAAAGACGTGTATGATCACACACCCAATTGAAAGAATCATCACTCACAACAAGAAAAGATTCTGTGGATGCCATATAGACGACCAGTTATATGTAGGTGTCAAGTGACCATAAAAGTATAGTACAGCATAGTCTATTTTCCTTCAATCATCATCAACTTTAAATTTTTCAAAAACTATGAGATAACAAGCTCTGAAAGCATTTTTAACACTTGCAAACTTTAAGAGAAACAAGTAAATAGAGAATAATATAAAAACATCCACGGAGCTCTCAAAACTGTGTTGTATAATAGAAATATGGCATGGAAAAGACACCATGTATAGACAAACATCAACCATTTACATTGTCTTTATGATTTCCATCATTTTTCAATTTATAAAAATCTTCAATCAGACGCAGCTGCATTTTGATTACTTCACATTCATGGATTCAAGTATCCATCCTACCTAAAAATCTGGTCAAATGATGGTTCAAGTATTTGAGAAATCAACAGTGTTTCTAACACATGACAGCCTAGACTACATCAATACCAACTACTATTGTAGTCAATGATTTATGGCCTTGGACGACACTGGAAACCAACTCCATGACCAGAATCTGCGAGAATCTAAAAGACAAGAACACTAAATAGTTAGAATAAGATGCATTGAACCTAGACAGAGAGCGTCCTGAAGTCCCCCAAAGACGAAGCGAGATCTTTTCAAAAATAAATAGCAGCCAAGATGAGACAACTTCTTAAAAACAAAGAAATAAAGGGCAGATGATAGTAAAAATACCCATATGAGACAAAAGTAGATATGGATGAATGTCTACCTTGATCTTCTCTGAGCCCAAAATGACATCAGATTGAATGAAGTCATCACTAGCAATCAGCGTATGATCCAGATTAGTCTCTGATACTGCATAGCCAACATGATCAACAACCACTGAGGCAGGATCCTGAAATCGAACGAGAAGTTTTCCTTATGATCATGCCGATCATAGTGCATCAAAGTAGAAAGTGCAATACTGATACGAAATAAATCTTCTCCCCCTGCCTCATCAAAATCCACACCGCACTCTGTGGCAATATCCCGGATCAAGTCTGATGCGGATGGATCCGCCGCCAAGATCAAGTCATGCCCCGAATCCACGAAATCCAACACCGCCGTAAGGTCCACAGAGCCACCAAACTCTGACAAAGATACCACAGAGTACAGGGTTACGAAAATATGGTCAAATTCCCCTTCAATTGACGCATCTATATCGTAAATGTAAATTCCACAAGATATAATGTGAGAAAATGTTCGTACATGGAAAGAAACAGAGATCAACAGTGGATTCATCAAACCACAAATTTATGGGAAAGAAACATACATGGAGAAAGATCCAAAGAGCAAAACGAGATCAGATCGATAGAACACCGCCACAATGCCCCAGCGTTATACAGCTAGGGAAAAAGAGGAAGGTACCAAATGTATGACTCACTCTTGGCGGAGGGGGAAAACAAGACGAGCCCATCATAGAGGTACTGGCCGTAGCGCTGCAGAGCTAGCTTGGGGTCATCAGCGAGCCGGAACTGGAGGTCATAGCCCCGGGATTCGAGCGACCGGAAGTAGATGGAGTGTGAAGAGCGGACGGCCAGGTCGTCCACCAGGACCAGGAGCCGGCGATCCGTCGGGCTATCTGCCGAGAAGGCCCGGGTCACCGAGATCAGTGCAGGGAGGAGGACGAGGACGAGGGGGAGGACGAGGGCCCGCCGGATCGCCATTGCCGTGGCCTTCGGTGAGTCGGAGATCGGCTGCTGCGAGGGCTCACAAAGCTCCCAACTCACTGTAGACGAACGACTAAATCAAGGCCTGCCCCGGCCCCCGGTACAGTTTAGGGCGAGTCTCGAGTGGGCGGCTCCAGAGGTGGGGGTTTAGACTCGTTACTATGAACTCCAATCGACAAGAGTTAGGCCGGAGCTTCTCTCTGTGAAACGAAACCAGGGGAGCAAATTCATCATATTCTGATATCTAGAATGTACCAAATTCATCGTACGGACGCATGGAAACCACACGAAGCGGATCCGTGCTATGGCAACATAGTCAAGCAGCATAGTGATATCGAAACTAGTATGCACTTGATTTTTTCTTGAATTAACAACAAGAAAATAAATCAAGAGATACTTGAACTTGTGTAAGAATAGAAACGAAATGCATCTCCTTAATTATGTCTCCAATCAAGAATATAAGGGTGACTAGATTAGAACTCTATAAAAATGCTGAACTGATAATTTCATAAAAACTGATCACATCAAATCCCAACAACATGCGGTCATATAATTTATATCTTCAACTTTTTATCTACTAGGACAATAATGTGGTTCAATGTGTTTTGTTATCATTAATCACAATATCAGAAGCAACTTGCAATTACAATTTGATTATCACAAAAAAAATTATTTTGTTGAGAAGATTCAAACCCCAAATCTTGAAAAACAACTAATAGACAAAAAAATTATAATTGATAAATGTCTACATAGTTATTTTGTTTCAATCCCTGATCTAGTAACGACATTTTCTTTCTTTCTGTCTTTAAATATATTTCCTCCAACATAGGTGTAGTATCTTTTTTGCAGATTTTTGAACAATCTAGTCGCCAACCTAATAAATGTCTGTATAGGTAGTAGTAATATTAGGTTCTTCTTCTAATGTGCCTAGCGAACATCTGAATCATTGCAACTTTTGTTGATTGTCTTCAACTTCTAGAATACTTGTATATCTATTTATGACTAATATTGTGCAATATAGTCAAGTATCAACAAGCCACATTAGTTTGCAAAAGAATGTATGAAACCAAAAAATAAGGAGCAATAATGCTCTATCATCATTGAAGTTACGTTTTTATGAAGAGTTTCAAATAGCTTTACACCAAATAATAAGTTCCTAAGGTAGAACTATGCTTGTTTTCTTTCTCATGGCATGCTTTTCTTTGAGTGTGCAACTTTTAAATTTTAGAATTTTCAAATCTAACTATGCTTGTTTATTAAATAATGATAAATCTACCAAGTGCCTCTTCGACCTATACAACATCATAATAGAATTGATTTTAATAGGAAATAGTTGCAATCACTCATCACCCATACAATGCCTAATGTTTGTTTAAAATAATTTCAAATATTGATTAACTTCGCGTAAGATAGTAATACAAAATATTATCATCTTTTTATACTTTTTATACTCAACTCCAAATAATTGAGTCAATCTTCTAGAAATAACCCCATCCTTATGTTGCTTAATCTATCACTTGTATACTTTATTTGTATAGCATAAAAAAAAACAATTTTCTCCATATAGTAGTTCTTGATGGGAGGCTTTGTGATTATGGAGAGACTTTAATTATTACATAAAATAAGCTTGCATCTGGTGTGAGACCTATGGTAGATGAAAAAATCTTGCATTATTTTTTTATGGCCTCTCAACTTGATCTTTGTTAAGTTAAGGTGTTTTGATTGGTGGAGATACTTTAGGGTAATGTCTCCTCTCTTGAGAAATTCACATTAACGACTTTTGTTGTTATCAAGAGAGATATCACACCAAATAATTTATTATGTTGGTCACACAAAAAAAATTCACTAGACCTATTTTACATTTTAAAAAATACTAAACCAACTTCAAAATCCTAATGAATAATTAAGGTGATCAAGAAAAAGAGCCACATTTTAATATGGTTCCATAATCTGTACCTTCTCTATTCTACAAAAATATCTTATTTGAGCTTCATTATTAATGATTGTACAAAATTAAAAAAATACCATACATCAACTAACCTCTACTACATTCATAACTCTAACAACCTAAATGCCCCATTATTTGTTTTTAGCTCTAGTAATCTATTGCTATCTCATTGTTTTAGACTAATGGCTCCAGACACCATAGTTTCCACCAACACTTCTAGAGAGTGGTATACATTAAATTATGAAACAAATGGTTTTCAAACATAACTAGTTTGAACCTTAGAATCATTAGTTCTAATACTTATTTGAAATATGATATGTGCTGACTATTATATGAAGGTAGTAGGTGAAATAAGAGAGGGGTTGAATTAACTTAATTTTGTGTACCTCTTAATTTATAATTTCATTACCTATAATCTTCAGGATTCCAGTAATATGAATGAGAGTGCAGCAAAGTTACTTTCACTATAGATTTCTTAATATTATATATAAATCACTACATATCAACTTAGAAAATATAATCTAATTGACATATTGGATTATGTTGTTTGGTTCTTTGTAGTTCATAAAGAACATTTGAAGTGTTTGGCAAGAGACAATAAACACACAAACCAAACACACAGAGTTAGAGTGGCTCAAACCCTCAGCCAAGGGGGTGAATTGGCTATTTTAATTTTTTGACATAACAAGATGGTGAATATTTGATAACAAGAACTGAAGGGCGAATATTTGATATGGCCAAATAACTCTTAACATAGAGTCAGAGTGACCAAATGTTCTTGTTATTTTGTGGTGTCTTTATGGTATTGTAAGCTAGGTAAATTTATTTATTAAAACTAAATATTCAATACCATAAAGACACTACATAATAACAAGAATTTTTGGTCAATTAATGTACCCATTTAAAATGTAAATCTCAACCATTTTTTTCATGATGATCATTTTTTCTGTGGGCACTGTTATGTTGTAAATGAGTCCATATGGAGAAAGCTCTCCATTTCAACATAAAATATCTATAATAGAAACTCATAAAGGTTGAATTTTCCTTGTCCTAATCATAGTTAGTTTACCTTGATATGAATTCATTGAAAATTGTGAAAATAATTGTAGTTATAAGTGCTAGTAGAAATAGGAAGATACATTTAGTGAAAAACTCATTATTTGTAGCGTAGATACATTGCTAGTTGAAGAGAGGAAGAAAAGGAGCAGCTGAGTATAAGAGGCATTAGAGTGTATAATAGTTGGATGCGATATAGGATAATAGAATGGAATGTCATGTATTAAAATGTTATGCTACTTGAATATCTTAGTTCTATTGTCATGTAAGTTAGACGTCACTTAGAGTGTTATTATACATAATTACTTTGCATAATTACTTTTCTTCCTATTTGATGAACACACGGGTTGTTATTAGAGATTACCCTGGATCTCGTAATTTTTTTATGGTGCACTAGGCTAAAAGCCCCGTGCTGGCCAAATGTGGAGTAGAACGGCCGGCACCTTCGCCTACGCCCAGATAGTGAGGTGGCGGGCGTGAGTCTCGCGTGACGTGTCGCTGGCGAGTTGGAGAGTTTTCCCTGTCCGCTCGTATTGCCTCAGCGTCGCTCTACGTCTTTTTTGCTCCTGATGCTCTCACTCATGCTCGCTTTCTCGCGATTCCAGACGCGAGGGTGATGGCGACAGGCGCCCCGGCCGCGGAGGCTTCGACTGTGGCGAGGAGGAACCCTGTCTCGCAGTCGCCGATCCGGCTTTATGCCGTGCCCGTCGTCTTGTTTACCTTGGGACTCTTCTTCCAGCTCGTCGTCCTGCCATCCTCCTTCACCACTTCTCACTACGAGGGTGAGCGAGTGAAGAAAAAAAATAGTCCCAATTTTCTCTGTCCTCTGATTCCATCGTCTTCTCTGTCTTACTCTGTGTGTTTGTTGTCGTGCGCGCTGTTTTCCTTCTCGGGGCTGTCTTCAGTTCTCGGACTGGTGGAATCGGCATCTGTCGATGAAGTTGTAAGCGGCTACGAGAAATTGTCCTCCAAGTGGTATGACCCTCCTTGCGTTTCGTCTGCCTCTTTATGCCCTTCCTCGTTTCCCTGGAGGACTGACAGATTTTGACTTTTGTGTACGTTTTGAAATTTACATTAGTTTTGCATGATAAAGGTAGTTCTTACGTATTTTTCTTCGAAGCTGATCATATCTACTTTTCAAATCTTTTAGGAGTGCGGGATTGGATATTCCCACGGCAGCCAATTTCATCAAGGTTCGATTTTTTCTTTTTTGTCATCCTAAAATTCTCATTGTTCTTATGCCACTCTCAGAAGCTGATCTTATCAACCTATTTTAGTGTAGTAATTTTATTATCCACTCCCATATCTAGTCGCGTTGTCTCTGTCATGTGAAATATGAAACAGCATTTTGTGGTTTTTATCATCTCCAGGTGTAATTTGATCTTCAAGGCATTTACTTTCAAGCATATGTTAAGCATTTTTTATCCACCATGTCCCTTATAAGCGCCTTCTCTCTTTTATGCATATTCTTTTGGGATGGTGGTCAGGGGAAAGGCCCTTTCGGTTGTTATATTTATTTCGTTTTCCTTTGAAAGGTACTCACGAGACAACATTGCAAGTCAAATGGGAGATAAATGAAGAAAAACATCATATAAACATTAGTATCCAAAGGTATGCCTTGCATCATCAAGAGAAAACGTGATGCAGGAAAAGCTCTGAAGAAACATCTGAGCTGGAAAGTTGAGGAGGGAAGGGCACTGCATTGGCGTCGTTTTCTACTTTGATAGAGCCCTGGTGATGAGAAGTGGCCATTTATGACATGCTAGGAAGTAGTTCAATGAACAGCAGAGGGGGCAGTTTTTCAGCTCCCATAAACACTCTCCATTGAAAGAAAGATGATCAAGAGGATGACTGGATGATAGTTGGGAAGAAGAGTGAAAATGTAAAGGAAGAAATTTTCAATGCTCAGGTCTGGAGCTTGTATGCCACTCAATCTTTCTCCTTTTCTTGTCTTGTTCTACATCAATTGCTTTCAAGTTTAACATTTGGGGAAATGTTACAGGAAGCTTGGAACTGTGAAATATTCCAACTTCCCACATAAGGAAGAACTGTAACCAGTGAGATCTTTTATATTCCTTCCAAGAGGCAGTTTTTTTACCATGGATCTGTTAAATAGTTGAAGCATGGAATCTACATGGAGTTTTGAACAAGTGATGCTGAATCTGAATTATGCCAGAAAATAGATGACATATCATTTATGATTCACCGTTCAAGTCTGGAAAACTAAGGGCAGTTTGTGGGTGAAAGAGTGAGAGACATTTAAGCTTGTCTGGCTGCAGAAAAGAGAATGGAGGATAGGTCTGTGCAAAGCCTCTTCCAGGAAATGTATCGCCTTAATGGGAACAGTACTACTTAGGCAAGGAAACATTTTTTGAGTTTGGCTACAAGATATTCCTGTTCCTATCTAGGACGCCTCAAATTTTCAAATATGACTATAAATTAAAGATTATTGCTGAAATGCCTCTTATTAAATTTGGGATATATAAAGCTCAACCAACTTAGTGCAACTTGTGTGACCCATTGTGTTTCAAATGAGTGACTGGATTTGACCAGTTAGGTTGATCTTGCTCAAGTTGATTTCTAAAGGAGAGGAGGTGCACTGTTCCATTTCTATTGTATCAAGCAATATACTAGCCTAAAAAACTTGCGACTCATTTATAAATCATCCTGCGAAATAATCCAAATTGTGGTAGATCCTATAGAAGGAGCGGTTTGTTTAAATATGTAAAAGGAGTTTTGATTGGATCAATTGAGGAAGCTTATCTCACCTGAACTTAGATTTTCTTAAAACGAAAAGATCAAATGGTAGATTGTTGTATGACATCTATCATTTATGCCTGAAAAAGTAGATTCTCACATACTGACAAGTAAAGAATGAGAAGCAAAATATGTAGAGACTCCACTTCATAATGGTTGGAAATTTTTCACTGAGTTGAAGTGTGTGCACACTTAAAAACATAATTCAGTTGGAAAAATTGAAGAGTACAATGCTGATTTTTTTCGAGAATTTTACACTCTGTGAGGACTCTAATGAGATATATTGGAAACTGTTGAATTTCCTTCACTTTCTCTGGATCCTCAAGGACAAAAACCTTCTCGTGTAGAGAGAGGGAAAGGAACTTCTATTCAAAATGATGGAAATATTGTATTACATCAGTTCACAACAAAGGTTTGGCATTTATATCAGACCCCTCGTGGAAGGCTGTGGACATGTGAACCTTATACACACTAAAAAGAAAACAGACACTAAGATAGTCATGTGAGTCACTCAACCATCATGTGACACACTAAGGTAGTCACGTGATTCACTAAGATAGTCACGTGACACATAAGGCAAAGTATTTTAATAGAAACCAAAGTGAAGTTTATCAAAAGCTTGTTGTGTCTTGCTATGCAATAGTAGTCACTCTTTTATCAAGTAGATCTTCACGCTATAATTTACTAGAGAGTTACATTAAGGTTGACATTAAAAGAGAAGGCTATTGCTTGGATGACTGAAACAATCATCATGAACTTTACTTAGTTGTTGTCCATGTTGTTGATCAGTAATACTTGCTACCCATGTTAGATGCAAGAGGGTTATTAGCTGTTCACTTAGATATTTAATATGTTATTTGTTTCTATATTTATTCAATAAATAGTTGATTTATAGTTCTAAGAAGTGATTAGTCATTTAGAGAGGAAAGAGTGATGCAGCCCATTTGAGATCTGTATCAAGTGTTGAAGAAGCACATATAGCCTTATGACTTATTTAAGTTGGAGTTAAGTCAATTACAAAATAAGGCTCATATTTTTATTTTTAGTGTTTCTATTTTTTACTCCTTTCTATTCTTAGCTCTTACTATTTTTATCATCTTACTTTTAATTATTTCTATTTTTAGTTAATTTTTATTTTTAGACCCTTACTATTTTCGTTCCCTCTTTTATTCTTATTTCATTTTTATTCTTAATCTCTTTTTATTATCTTTCTATTTCTATCTTCAAATTTATTTAAAATTCAAATTTTAGTGCCAAATCAAGATACTTCAACCTATTTAAAAGCACCCCATGTAGCCCAAGAGGCATTTCAATTTCAATCAATACATTTTGTGACTTTTTTCTTCTCTGAGGTACTCTTCATCTGTAGATGGACTCCAACATTCTTGTGGACTAAGGGAATCATTTTTTATCCTATGGACTCAAGGTCAATCTCTTGTGGATTCAAGGGACGAAATCTCTACGTTATGTGGATTTAGGACAAAGAGTTTTCAACTAAATCACGTTCCTTGTGGACTCAAGTTTGTGATTTTACTTTCATAATACTTTGGCATAGCTGAACCTGATTCAATCATCTGTTCTTCTAGTTTCTGCAGCGTCAAAGAGACAATATGTGGTATGTCGTGTAGAGGGTAAATACAGAAAAATGACTCATGGGCTAATAAAGTTACTGAGGCTATCATTTTTCTTAGGAGATGTTAGCATTGAAATGGTGAGAATGCTCAAATCTATTGTAATAATTAAGAAACGATCATGTACAAGATGATAAGACATAGAATATGGCAATTGACCCTTTATTTGAAAAAAAGTTGAATTATAGGGAATTGTCTCTAGTTATGTTTGGAAGATAAGGTAGAGGATAATGAATTTTACAAGGAATAAATTCAATCTAATTTATCTTTACTCTAGGCAAGCTAAGTGTAGTTATTAATCTGTTTTGTTTACCCACATATGTATAATTAAGACACCAGTTGTACATGCCTGATGTATCTCTTCTCTTTGGTTCTATTCCCCATATCTTTTTCCTCTTCTTTCGACATTATATTAAATTATAGGTTTTGTTTAGGCTTGAGCTTTTTAGGATACAATGTGCAGTGTTTCCAGTTGTCCATGCTGCTGAGCCCACAGGCCTAATATGTTACTTGCTTGTGAGTTTTTATGTGGGTGGTTTTTGCTAGCATATGGTAGGCCCCACAAAAAGGTCTCTATTACATTGGTTGGGAACTGTATTAGGTGAATGTGTGATTTAAAAGCCAGTTTCTTTACAGTAGTTATTTTATAGAAGATATTCTCAATTTTCTGTTTTTCATTAGCATTTATTCTATCGTTTGATATTAAATTGAATTTATATTTTTTCAGACTCCTATGATGGGTAGGCATTGATTTGTATTACTTATTCTCCCTGATTTTTTATCTGTTTCATTTTCATTATTATATTTATAAAGTATTTTATATTAGGAATATAATTTTAGTGGTGTCTAGTTAAAATGAGAATTAGTTTTTATTTGTGTGATACCAGTAGCATGTTGAAACGTACATACTTGATTTTGTTTGATAAACAGTTAAAACGTTTGTAGTTAATTGAAGATTTTTTTTCATATTCGCATTTATCTGGGCAATGTTGAGACTGGTAGAACTTGATGTTTTGCCGAATGCTTGGTATCGTAATTGATCTTGTCTTCAAGAAAAGTAAATGGAAATGTGAATGTGGTTTCTGACCATTTGCTTGACAAATGTTATGGGGTTTTTTTCTTAATCAACTCTTTTTAAGAAATGACACGATTTATTGATTAATGAATCGATTTATTATTGACTTTGAAGTGAAACTAGTGGTTATACTTAGTAAATGGATTTTATTCCTTTGCTTATGACATGTTTTGGAATATTTGCAGATACGATACGCATTTGAGCTATTGACTAATCCCTTGTTAAAAAGAGATTACGACATATTTGGGGTTGATGAGCAGCTGGTGAGATTTGCTTTTTGTTGCAAAATGCTTTGATTTAGTTTTGTAAACTAGAATTAATTGAAAGGATTCAGTGTTGACTAGTATTTAGGGATTTATCCATGTAGCTGGAATGACTTATGCAATGTATTTTCATTAGCATCTAGATTACATTTTTCTCGAAATAGCTACTATAGCTTTTAGGTGTGCCAATGGGCTGAGGGGTAGATATTTTTAAAACTCAAGCCTGACCCACCCATCCTCCGTGCTATGTAATGCTTTATGGGGGTTGGAAATCCGACAAGTTTATTTCTAGGGTCATTCAAAGAGTGCAATCGGTGAGGGTCTGCCGGGGGGGCAAATGGAATATTGTGTCTTGGAGAAGGCATTGAGGTGATGTCAGATTAAGCGGCATGATGAGTGTGCTCGGGTTTGGGAAACATGGTGGTCGCAGCATGGAAAAAGGTGATAAGCGGGGTTGGAGGTATCAAAGGCCAGACCTGCCCAAGTAGTGGGACACACTGAGAAAATTTTAATTCTTGCATTTAATTTTCACGCCTAAATTTGGAAAAAATCTGGGACAAGTGTGCCTGTGTTCGGGCTTTTCTATCCCGTTGACACCCCTTATTATTTATGTGATCTTGTGATTTGAATTATTGCCTGCAGCATATTATTGAAACAGTCAAAAAGCAATATGATGGGAAGCAGTTTGCACAAGTACCCATCCCTCTGCTAAACGTTTCTTTTTCTGGTAATTAAGATACTTTCAATTTATACTTTTTTATCTTTACTTTGTGACATAAATTATGTGGCAAAGTTCTTACTTTCTTCTTTTATTCCTATTTTCATGTGATCGATGGACTAGATTCAATGGAAAAAGCTGAGGGAAAACTTACATCAGAGGACTTTTTTTCTAGTGTTGGGAAAAATGAGACATGGCTAATACAGGTGGTTACCAAATTCTTTGGCATTAAATATTTCAGCAACACCAGCTGTTGTGTCCATCTATTATTCCATGTTCAGTACCTGGGAAAACATGATCTGCTGGTCTTATAGCTAGCTATATGATTGGTTTTCTGTCTTCTACCGGCATAATTACTTGGGATTAGTCCTTTAGCATGTTCCAAAGAGTTTTGATGGTATACAACTCTGATTAACTTTATGATCCAGGCTTACTCAGCAGGAAGCCACCGCTGTGCAAACTTTTCTAAAGCCTGGAAAAGAATTTGTAAGTGTTTTGGACGATGCCAATCTTTCTGTTTTTATTACATTTTATTCAAATAAGTACTGAGATTATTGCATCTCCACAAGTTCTCTAAATCTAGCTGTACAATCACACTGAGGTTATTGCATCTCCACAAGTACTGAGGACCTTCATCTTGTCACACATCAGAAATTTAACTGTTTGCTGTAAACTATAGGAGATACAATTTCATGGCTTGATGAGATTGGAAATCAAGTATATAATTTTTTACTATGAGTGGATATAATTTTTCACCAATCTGAGACACTCAAAATCTGTGACCAACAATATTTTTGCGAAACCAATTTAATGAAGTTCCTCTACTTTAAGATACAACGTGATAGGAAGTGAGAGGTTGAATATGATCCAGAGTGGACGCAAATACCTTAATTATCAGTGTTGTTAAACAAGGTCTCTTTAAGGAAAGAAGGGAAGGTCACTCCACCTTCTCCAACAGAGTGGAAGTTAAGAACAAAATCGTACCTTAAATCCACGTGGCATGAATCTCAATCCTCGAGTCAGGAAGTATTGATTTGGATGACCTTTAACCTACAAAGATCAGAATAATATTCCTTGGTCCACAAGTGAAGAGAAATCTTTAGATATAACAAAAGTTTTACCAATCTTTGAAAATGTGCTGCTACAATGTGTGGACCTTTAAATAAGCCGACATTTTCTTCTCCTTAAAAGTAGGATCAAATAATAGAACAATAAATAACCTCATTAAAAGGAGAAACCATACTGATCTTAGGAGACTAAGGCTCTATTCACGCTTTTGGAGCATGCTAAGTTGGATTTAAGCTTTAGACGTTTTGAGCCTTCAAAAATTTCTGTTACATTCAAAATGGTCCGAGGTTGAATCATATCATTTTTTATCTGTTCTTTCAATGCAAAGGATGAAGAAAGAAAAGAAATATTATCTGTCCAGAAATAAATCCACAATTCTATTCTTTTCCCAGTTCTTTTATGTCGCAGGGTTGAAACCAATAAATTTTTATTAATTTCTCAATGTTTTCTAACATTCAATTTTCAAGTTCTTTCATTATTCGTTTTATAACCAGAATTATTTTGTTAACCCATTTTTTTTCTTTTTAAATAGTTAAAAACCATTTTCTCGATTTTTTAGAAACTCTTAGAACTAGAGAAGCAGAAAATGTTTTTTGCAGTTCTCTAATTATTTTTTTCTTAGCTCTTTCAAAATAGGTTCAAACCCTAATTGGATTTTATTTTTCCATTAAATGGAGCCGAAACATGTTCGGCAGTACCACCATTTGGGTCACAGTTTCTAGGCCTTCGTTTCTTGGAATTATGTTCTACATCTCTCTCTATCAAGAACAGGAATAGTGTGTCTAAAAGCTCCTATATATTTTGAGAACTCAATCAAATGATTATTCTTGGAATTATGTGTTGCTATCAGAAGATTATGCTGCTTCTTCTCTGGAAGGGTTTCTTGTATGTGGTAATTGGTATCACGTGAAACATTTGACCAAATATTTAAAGCTAGTTACATGGAGTCCTCTGTGCGTGGATAACTAATCCAGTATTGTACGTGTAGAAGGTACCATAGAAAAATGTGAGGGGAAGCTATCTGCAACTTAAATAAGAAGAGGAAAGCAAAAGCCTATCTTGAGGTAGAAATAGAAGAAGTTCTTACAAGCCAGGACACATTAAAGAATTCAGGAAAATGTTTCATGATCATCAAAATGAGAAATGAGTCCTGGTGTTTTTTGAATATTTACTGCTTTCATCGAATCAGAAATTTAGGTCCCACATCTTAATGTGAAGAATAAATATCTGCCAGAAACTGACGAACCATATGCTTCAGTGCTTGAATCTTCTGATGCATAGCTTCAAATTCATCATTGGTGTAAATTGTTCTTAATCGGAGGAAGGTTGATGAAAGTACCGTGAGATTTGTGAGAACAGTAGGGAAGAAGTTGTAGATGTAGATATGCAGTAATAAATTCTGTATGGTTGTGATACGATTCCACCAGGAAAACTTGATCCCGAGGGTAACAGGGTAAACAAAGGGCAAAAACAGGGTAGAAGGTGAAGGACAGACTAAATCCCGATGGAATCCAGCCCACTGTGTGGGAGATGGTTCGAGAGATCTACCCCCCTCTCCTCTTACGACTCACCAAAAGGGGTGCCCTCTACATTATCGGGGAAAGACATATCCTAGTTTGTTTCCTAAATTCTGGACCACTTTACTCAACCGAAAACCCTACTTAATGAGGGCTTTTTTAGGTTTTTTTCCTTCTCGGACTGTAGGTTAACAGTGGGGGCGTATCAGGTTGACATGGCTACACATGTGAATGTTCAATTTATACAGATACTGGTATTGTAGATACTGGTGGAATGTAGTATCTATCAGTCAGGTGTATCCATTTTTTTTCCTCATCTTTTGGAGATGTGTCATATGTATATCTGTATATTATATTTGCAACGTAAGTAATGAAGATGGTCTGTTAATAGAATTAGTAATTTCCGGTTGACTCATATGGTTTCCAAAACAGTTGTCCCTAAAGTGAATTGAATGTGCATCTACCTGTAAAAGACATGCACATGCCAATGCATCAGCCTTATATGCACAACAGTCTAAACTATCATGTAAAAAGTGGGAATATGAAGCCTCAATAAGCTTAGATTCCTTGGTCAGAGAAACGCTCTCACTGATTTCTATTGGTAGTTCTAAAATGACATCACTTAGAAGTTCCTTGTGATGATCGTATGAGTTATCCAAACTCTTTGATCAGTTCAAGTATCCTACACCTCATCTAAAACTCTTATCCTCCTAAAATTTCTACGTTTGTGCGGGGATGCTAAGGCATGTTGATTCATCATGGACTTGTATTCCCTAGTAAACTTGCAGTAAGAGAAGTTTTGGGCACATTATTGGCTCAGTGAGCCACTAAAAATAAGTTAACTATTGATACAATTTACAGGTTTTGTGCTTAGTGATATTAATTCGAGTCTTATAGTAGGTTCAGGTACCCTTATTTTTCCTGTGTATTATATGATGCTCTATTTGTTTTCATTTTTTTATTGAAAATCCGTTAAAGATAGGCTGTGATCTTCTGCAGTCAAACTTTTTATGACAATGTAAATGTTCTTAGGCACACTCAATATTCAGTGCTTGTTTCATGTTGTATAAATTATTTGAAGTAAAGGCATTGTTTTGCTATAATAAGCCTTGTGGTTGTCTCATTTCCTGTTCATTATGGTTTCCACCCCTCATCAACAGCAAGCTTATTGGATGGAGTTGCCAACACCGGAATTGTGGAGCTTGGTGAAGTTGAGTTTGCATCATTCTTAGCAGAAAGGAGGTCCACCGGGCAGCCATTTTTCCGACATGGTAGTTCCTTCAAAACATAAATCATAGTCCTACCTGATTAGTGCCATCCCAGTAGACACTTGAAAAACAAAGGTGAATGACAAAAAGTTATGAAACGTCAAAAATGAGCAAACTATAAGCTGGAGACTTGATACCATAAGGAGATTTAATCAAGCTCACTTTCAGATTGTATTAACTTCAGTTGAAAATTAAACAGACATGGACAAATTCAATTATCTCTTGCACATGTCTATTGATAAAGCACCTTTTTATAAATATTAGATTCCATATGATCTTGGATGTAACAAACTGAACATGTACTGAAATTCTGAATGTTTGGTTAACTATGCTATGCCACCCATACCAGATGTGTACGTTTAGTTGCTACATTACTGTCTAGCCTATGTTACTCCGTTGCAGAACATGGGTTCAAAGGATCAAATTGTGGAGTCCAATTGGTCACTCCAATCCTGATCCCAATACCAATCAGGATCATTTTCAATTGTCAAATCACTTCCATCATCCATTGCCCATATAATTTTGCATCTGAAGTTTGTTCAATTCTTTTCAGAACCAGATGTAGGGGCTGCCATATAGTGTAGAAAGAGCAGGAAAATCTCTCATGCATTCCTTGCAAGAATTGTTTTTAAGCTATGTAATTGAAAGCCTTAATGTCTAAGACAAAATAAGCTTTTTTTGAACATGCCTGTGAATGATTAAACTGACTCTAGGTTTATTTGTTGGGGCTAAGAATTTCGAAAGTTTAACTTTTGCTGAGGTATGCCATGTTTTCTTAGTTGATGCTATACCTTCTGGGTAGTGGGCGGTGACCAGTATATTTTCTCTTTATCATCATCATTTCCCAATTTCGGATATTGTGTTTCATTAGTGCTACAATAATATCATAACAATGATTCGACAATTTTAAGGTCTCTTGATAGTTTTTATGGAATGATCAAATAACCTTCAGTTTCATTGTCTTAATACTGCTCACTTGCGGGATTCAACTTTAATGTTTTCAGGTCCAATTGAACGCATAAACAAACCTTTGGAATTCCAATAGTAGCTTAAAATAGATCTCAACTTAAATTAGGATCCTTTCTTCGTTATATGTGATAGCCACCTTATTCCTGGTTAGTGAAATGTTGTGATTACGTTTTCATTTTGATTTTTCCTCACAGGCTTACCTGCCCTTGTTGCATTTTCTCCTAATTGTAGAAGCTCACGATGTTACACGAGGTGAGTTGTACTCCATTATTTTAGATAGCAAAATAATTTTGCACGACCTATTTGAATATTGACCGGTTTTAGATGCATCTGCACTTCAAGAGTCTTTGTGCCTTTCCTTGGGGTATTATAGGAGACCAAACTCATTTTTGTTACATTCTGTGTTTAGATACGATGGTGACCTCTCAGTAGATGCTATTGTTGACTGGATTGCAACATCTATACTTGGTTTGCCACGCATCCTTTACTACTCAAGGGAAACACTGGTACTCTAAACCATAAATGTTTCTCACTTATTTTGCTTGCATAGACTGTTTCACAATACTCGTGGAAGGCCATCCATTCACTTTATTTTACTGGGTGAACTTTTAAAGTCGTTGACAACAACACATTGATAATCCGAAAGCAAAACACAAGACCGTATTGTGGAAATGTAAAAGCAGTCATTGCTGTCTGAAGTTCTGTGTATTTCATTGGTTCATTCTGTTGCCCTTGTTCTTGTCCTTTTCAAGATATATTGGAGGAGTGTTTTCCTTATTTAGCCATTTTCAAATGGAATCAATCTTTTTATTTCGTGGTGCAATTTTTGACGTTTTTTTTTGAAAATGTATGATGGAAGCCATAAAAGGATAAACTGTTGGGAAAAAATCTCTTCTTCTACATAAATCATAGATCAATTGCTAGTTGTTCACACTTACCTTGGGCACAAAAAAAGGAAACTACCTAGGTTAAGGAGACCAACTAGGAAACTAACAAACTAGGAAGCTGACGGGCTAGGTAACCGACAAATGAGGAAACTAAAAAACTAGGAAGCTGACGGACTAGGTAACTGACAAATGAGGAAACTAAAAAACTAGGAAGCTGATGGATTAGGTAACCGACAAATGAGGAAACGAAAAAACTAGGAAACTGAGAAAGAATTTTACGTTTTTTCCACTGTCAATAGTAACACAGAATCGTTGTCCATTTATAAAAGAAAAAGGATATTGATAGGGTTCCGGATTCCAGTGAAGAAACCAAATAGAAAATCAATGAAACAGTAGCACAGGAATAGAAAGTTGATAGAGAACGATAAACAGGGCTCCATCGGAACCCTAGCTTTTTGGTGACCATTTGAGAGGGTCACCGCCCTCCCCTTAGCATCAAAAGACTCGATTCCCCTTTCCCTCTGTTGAGAGCCCTATTTCTATCATAAGTCCCCCTCCCTGGACATTTGGTAAAAACCCCTTACACTCCCGCCTTGAACTCTTTTCCCTCCTACCCGAAATATATTGTGTTGGAGCCATATTAGATACATACTAGTATATATAAAACTCATATGGTAAAAGAGATCTCATAAACAAAAGTTAGAAGTCTGGGCTAAGATGGTGCATGGCCCTCATCCAGGACTCTAAGAGTGGAAAGCTCACCCCTTTCATGTGGCAAAAGTCGTTCAATCTTGCGAAGACAAAAGGAAAAGTTTGTCTACCAAGGATTTGGCTGCTAAAATAATGTAGTGTTTCAAAGGAATTATAATTTTTTTACTTGCGTTACATATTCATGATTTTTAGTGATCTATTTGTTTTGATTTTTCATTATGTAATTTCATGATGCGATTTCAGATAAGATTCTGTTCATTTGATTAAGCATTTCTTATCTTGCATTTCAGGTGCAGAATTTTATCGCAAAAAGTGGACAGCATAAGGTCTGGCTTCTATTATCCTTGTGTACATATCGGTTGTACATGGAACTACTTTCTTCTTTCTTATATATATTGATATTATGTGAAACTGTTATGTTAATGGTTGACTATGATTATCACTTGTGACAACTTGATTTTTTTTTTATTAGATGTCTAACTTGAAAAGACAAATTGAATGTGAACCTAGATTCTTAAAATGCAACAGATGTACCCCTTGTCCTACTACATTGACTTGTGGGTAGGGAATTGGCTTCTCTCCAGTGCTTTATATTTTTGGATCCAATCATATGTTCAACTATCCTACTTATCCTCTTTGTCATTTTGCATTTCTAGTTGTAGTATCCATTGCTAACCATATTTAATAATACTTCTGGGTGGATATGTATCCTCAATGAGACCTCAAAGGCTAATTTGTTCATGAAACCTTTGGAATCATATTTGGTCTGTTGAGGTGGCTTAATACCATTGTAAGGCTTAGCTTCTTCCTCGAGTGTTTTACCTCAATGTCTGTAAAAATATGCAGGATAATTCTCTTTTAACCGATTGCCTTTTTCTGCTATTTGGATCATCTAAACGAATTGTTTGGTACTGATCTCTTTTAACAGATTGTCCAAATATTTTGACATAGTTATTCAAAGCTTACTTTTGGTTCCAGGCCATAATAGCATAAGTTTCATCATTGCAACCAATTCCTTAATTAGGTGTGTTGATTATAACCGTGATTGGATGGAACAATTTATTCCTAACCGCAGTGGCTGCCAGTCTCAACAGGCCGGATTATTTGAGGAAATGGATGGACTGTATTCCAGGCCATAATAGAAGGCAGAAAGTCTATATTACGGATTTAACCACAAGAACTGTACGTATCACAACTCGGGGTTTGTAATTAAGTCGGTTTTTCAGTCACAATGTAGGAGATGTTCTCCAGCTGTCGCTGAAATTTCATGAAAGACATCTAGAGTTACAGCCAGTTATGAGACAATTGTCTCTGTAGGAGGTAAACATGGGAAAGGACGCTGGGAGGGCAGTTTTATTAGTAGAATATAAGAAAGATGTTTTTATTGTATCTTATTTGTGGATGCCACTTACTAGTAGTGCCTTACGATGGCATGTTGCGAGATTGAAAGGAAGAAAATCTGTGAAAATCGGGTGAGCATAGCTTTTCTCCTGTGACGAGAGGCTTGTTTCATTTAAGGGTGTCATCCTGCCTTCCTATATATTGTTTGCCATTGTTGGTGATCTCAAAGATAGTAGAGCCAGGCTTAGAGGATGTCAGAAGGTCAATTGAGAAAGCATAGTCAGATAGAGAGAGTGGAGGGCTCAGTCTTATCAATATCAAAGACTCTTCAAATGGCACCATTGTGCAAGTGGCTATCATAATTGGGTCAAGGATGGGGGTTATCTCTATAAATGATCACTTAAATGTACTATACTGCTAATGTTATCAGGTTGTCTAGCTGAAAATTAATTGGCAATGAATAGATAAGCCCATTATAAAATTGGCTTACATTTACACTACCTAAATAGAGTGAGCCAAACTTCAAAGTCAATGTCCTCATCCTACCTGTTGAAAGGTGAGTTTCAAGGAAAGAAATCGGCCCAAATAGAAAAGTAGAAGAATGATTGGATAACCTGCCCTATCATAGAAGGCAAAGGTTAACTGTAGATGGTCCCTTCGTTAAATGACCATTCCCCTTGATTGATGGCTCAAATATGGAGATCTTTTTCCATTAGTGATGGGTACAAAAGGTTCATAACAATGAATGGGTGCTTGACCTGTGTGACATATTTGGCAATTTGGAGCGAGAATAATCTTTATTTTTCATTGCAAAGCTTCTTGCCATAAAAGTATAATTGCTATTTTTTATGATAGGGTGAAAGAGTGATCTTAAAATTTTCGTAATGAGAATGTTAGAAATAATTTTTCATTTACTGTTTCGTCCTTTATTTCTCTGTCCATCGTACCTTGAAACAAAACAATAGACTGAACTGGTTCAAATTGAACCGGTCCGGTTTACCCTCTCCCGTTTCATAACAGCTGGTCGGTATAAATACCAACCAACATGTAAACATTAGTGTATGATGAAATTTAGGTCTTCGGCCTTCTTCTTTTCATCTCTCTCTCTCTCTCGTGTTCACTACTAGCACAGACAAGAAGGAAGGGAGGTGTTCAGAGATGATCAAAGTCCAGCACGATTTCTAACAAGAAAGGATAGTTCTCATTTATTCTGAGGATCAGAAGGATAGCGTGACTTTTACCCTTTTGGTATAAAACCCTTGAGTGATTTGGAATTCACATGAATTCAGTTTTCATTCAACTATGTAGGACATGTAGTAATATCTGCTTCAAAAAAGTTTTGATCTTGTGATTTATTTTCATTCATACTTTATCATTTCCTAGTTTTTTTAATTACTATTGTTGGGATGTGTCCGATATACTGTTTACTATACCTTACGTTTTTTGTAGTTATATATGCTTGTGTGTCTAGAACCTTCTGTGGGTTTGATATAAATATCAGACCTTGCTTCCTTTGTATGTGAGTTTTTTCCTTTTATCAAATAATATAAGTTTTTCTCTCCACGGGCGTTGTGATTACTTGTCAATGCACCAGATCAGATTCAAATCTTCTACATGGTATTAGAGCGAATCTAGGTGCAATTTTTCCTTTCTCAGTGATCTATTCTCCCACAGTTACGGTTAAAGTACCGTTTTTCCTTCATCTCTATTGAGATCTGTTGATAGAATACTAGATCTGGTGACTACTGGATCTATGCTCCTACAATTATGATTCTTGTACCATTTTTTTCTTCACCTCCATTGAGATCTATTGACCAAATACTGGATCTGGTGAATCTGGTCGTTTTCTTGAAATGACAAATGTGGGAGATATTTCTTGATCCTCTATGGGAGATCCTTTTTCCATGAGGGATTCTAACCTTGGTCCTAGTGGTCCATGATTACTAGTAGAACTCCGTGCGATGCTTGTGGAGTTCAAATTAACTAAATATAATTTGATACAATGGTCAAGATATATTTGAAAGGTTCTAACTAGAAGAGGAATATTACATCATTTGGTGGAGGGGTAACTAGATCCCTTGTCCCATGAACACCCTAGATGGAGAGACGAGGATGCATTAATCAAGATTTGGATCTAGGGAATGATGATTCCCCAAATTAGTTGAGATTTTTTCATCTTAACTATAGTTATAGATTTGTGGGACATAGTTCACACAAATTGTCACATAAAAATAATAAGACTCATTTATATAAACTATATAGTTGACCAGACATCTCATATGCAGTGAGTATATTAAGTCAATTTATGTATCAGTCAAAAAAAATCTCATTTACATGCAGCCTATCAGGTGTTACATTACTTGAAAGGCACACTTGGTAGAGTTCTCTTCAAATGAAGTGAGAAGGTAGAAGTTGAAATGTTCAAATGCATTGATTATGTAGGATCAATGATTGATTGAAGATCAATTTCTGGACATCTCACATTTAATAAAGGTAACCTTGTTACTTGGAGAAATAAAAAAAGAATGTGGTTACACATTCATGTGCTGAAGCTACATTCAAGGTACTTGTCCAAGGTGTATGTGAGTTACTATGAGTAAAGAATTTACTTGATGAGCTAAAAAACTCTCTAATTAATCCTATGACACTTTAATGTGACAAGAAGTCAGCAATTAATCTTGTACATAATCTGGTACAGCATTATCGTACCAAACATGTGGAGATTGATCGTCATTTTATCAAAGAAAAGATTAGGACAAATTTGATATGTATGTCATACATCTCAACAAACAATCAACTGGCAGATATGTTTACTAAATGCATCTCAGGCGCACAACTACAGAAGATTATTCTCAAGCTGAGAATAGAAGACATCCACTCACCAGCTTGAGGGGGAGTGTTGTTGGGATGTGTCTAATATACTGTTTAGTATACGTTACGTTTTTTGTCGTTATATGTCTGTGTCTAGAACCTTCTAGGGGTCTGATATAAATACCAGACCTCGCTTCCTTTGTATGCAAGTTTTCATTTTTATCAAATAAGAAAAGTTTTTCTCTTCATGTGTTGTAGTTACCTTTCAGCATACTGGATCATATTCAAATCTTCTACAATTACCATTTATTCTGTTGTTGAATATTTCAGAATAAAATCATCTTCTTCTCAAAAACGGGAGAACGTGCTGCTCCTTCTTTGCGCCAAACTGCCAAAGATTATTCGGCTTATGCTGCTTTTGCATTTGTCCTGTGGAAAGAAGAAGAATCTTCCATGTGGTGGAACATGTATGCTGTCTACACAGATTTATTGGGTTTTACTGTAGATTTATCCTCTTACCATTTGCTTGATGAGAATGATGTTTTTCAAACAATGTTTTTATTAAACCATTTATGTTATGATTGCAAGGGATTTTTTCTTATAATGTTGGAAATTTTATGAAAGTTCAGCATTGAATCTTTTTACTTGGAAACCTTAACACCTAGTGCTTCATGACTATGTGTCTTAAGACTATGTGTTAGCACCAGCATTCTGTTTTGAAAAGTTTCTGGTTCTTAAAATAATGCATCTTAATTGACTAATGGTAATACCTGCTTGCTTGTTATTCAAGCTATATGCATTATCTAGATGCAAGAAAAAGAAAATTCATATTCCAGAATTCGTCTAATTTTAATAGAAACGAGCGTTGGCTAGCTCATATTCTTTTTTGCTTGGGAATTCGTCCCAAATGAAGGACACCTTTTTTGTCACATCATAATCTGAACTTTTGTTTAAGTATTTGACAAGTTTTTAAAGGTGGTCTTGTCAAAAGTTGGATGAGATCAGTTGGTAGGTTGACATATCCATAGCTTCAATAGCAGAACAGGTTCTTGACGAAAAAGGAGAATTATGCGAATTTTGGTGTCTGCTTTCAACAGAGGGGAGTAAGCATGTGATGAGTTTTACAGACAGATAATTGTCTATGAAGAGATGAGAGAGAGGGGGGAATGAAGGAAGAAAGGAAGAACGAAAAATGAGCTGATCTATTCCTGACACCAGATCCCTTAGGGACCCCCAGTGAGGATGACATCAGGTTTACTATTAGTCAAAAAAAGTTGTTCAACTCTGTGATCCTTAAACTCGTTTCCAGTTTGATAAGATGTGTATGGTGTATCTTGGTGCACCGATCCTGCAACTGTTTCTGGTTGATACCATTGATGGTCTGTAAAGTTGGATTGGGAAACGTGGAACAGCTGGGAATGGTACATTACCGTGGTATATACATACACTTGACATATCTAACAAGACTATATTGACTCCTTTTAACAAATGTTTATGGCTGATCTGCTTGCATGTGTTGGTAACAACATTTTCATTTATCTCTTATCTTATTGCCAGGCTTGAAGTGGAGTCAGCACCTGCTATTGTTGTTCTAAAAGACCCAGGTGTAAAACCTATGGTTTATCATGGTACGCTCCATGCTCATTTCGTTTTCATTGTTTCATTTTATGACTTTTAGAGTTTAATTTGCATTTATGTCAAAATTTTAGGGTCATTCCATAGATCTTGGTTTGCGAATATCATGGAGGAGAACAAGCATCAAGGTAATAATACTTTCTCCATTTGATTGTGATAAACTAGTACTACATTCCCTGTTCCTTTTCTTAGTTTTGTGAGCTAACTTTCGTAATTAGCGGTCCATAATGGATAAGACCCTTCATAAATTTTAAACTACGGTTGTAGTCCTTGAAATGTTTATCTTAGGTTTCAAGTTTTAATTCGAGGCCTTTTGGCTATTTATGCAGGTATTTGCACATAGTCCCTGGAAAATGGATGACTTTCATTTCATGTTGATTTTCTGTGTAATGGCTTGTTTGATCGGAATTCATAACGATTTGCGTGGATTGATATTAATCACTTCTCCTTTCTCTCACGCTGCACGGGTCCTCCACTTTAGTACCATCTGAATATCAATCACCTAGTAGAATTAAGCACTGATTGCTTTGGTTTTTTGTGAATAAGAAGACACTTCCTTCAACACTTTGTTATCATTTGTACAATTTTATTTGTTTACAGTTTTCAAACTCCTTGAGAATGCATTTATATAAATGTATTCCAACACCTTAACACTTTGTCATCTTCTAGTCCTATGGTTTCCGCTTGAAATTGTACCATAATTCTTGTGGCATACTCTTTCCTTCACTATAAATAACAATAGGATAGGATATCTGTTTATTGTACGTGCATACCCTTTATCTTCTGGTGAGTCTGAATGAAAAACTCTAATCTATTTCTGATCTTTTAGTTGTTAGGCTTTAGTAACCAAGGTATTTCTCCTTGTACAATGAAGGTGTGCTGATGATTCTCCACTTGCATTGATAACTAATTTGGAAGAGGATACTGAGATAAGAGGAAGCTATTTTTTTTTTATCAAAGCAAGCTAGATACTTTTTCATCTATGATTAGGACCATCATGGAGGATGCAAAATTGATATCTGTCATTTAGGTTTTTCTTTCAATATTGGTTCAGTCAACTCAAAATAAATTCACAATGACTGCTTTGGGGTCAATTTTGTTTAATCACATGATTTCTATCTTGCCAACTAATGTGAGATTATTTTATCACGTCTTTTGACATTGTACTTTTTTAGGTTCTGTCATTTTTACTCAGCCCAAAGACAAACTCATATTGATGCAACGATTAGAGTAGTATTTGCCAAAATGTGGAAAAAAAAAAATTAACACAATTCTTTTTGGAGTTATGCATCACGTCCAGCTACATAATCATAAGAAGTTATTTATGGGCCTCCAAAAGCAATTCGTTGTTTACCATGCAGATCTTCCCCAGTTACGAAGCATAACATCTATGGAGCTTGGATGTGATGCTATGGGCCATTCTCGCGCTGGTAACAGTACTTTGGCCTGGTATTGTGTAGTTGTTGCTGGAAGGCCAAGTTTCCAATTGAATATTATGCGTGAGGTAAGAAACTTCTATGATGCTTTGGATTCAATTGATCTTTTGTATTATTGTTATATTAGATATTATTGGTGGATTCTTGTTCAGTTACATTTTTTAACCTTTCTCTTTCATAGTTTATTATATGTGTGCCTCTGACATTTCCATAGACCCTCCGCAGTGTCAGAAAGATATTAATGAATGATACTGAACCTGATTTTGCCCACGAGAATGCCCTTCAATTTCCATTATCGGCAGCTAATGCACTAAAAGAAAGTCGTTTGACTTTTGCATGGCTTGATGGTGAAACACAAAGTGTAAGTTGCCTTGTTGCATTTTTCTTTTGCTTGGTTTGGCTTGAGGATACCTAGCTCTTTCTTGTGGAGTTAGGATCCTATCTGTATACCCATATTCTGATTTCTTTGGCATCCTTAAATAGGCTTGTATCAACCCATTATGCTTTTTGGTTAGTTTTCGAATGCTTTCACTTATTCCAAGCAATATTACTGTAAGTAGTTCAGAAAGGGAGAAAACTACATGTTGCAGAAGTTTTCACAAAAAATGCCTTACTGATGTGATTCGACCTTTTAGATATCATATAAATTTCTCATGAGTGGCATACATTAGCATCAATTGCTCATGATCACAATGCAACAGCTGGACACGAAACATTATGTCTATATGATATCTAACATAAACCATATAAGGGTAAACAGTCAGGAAAAATCTCTTCTGCTACTCAAATAATAGTACAATTTCTAGTTATATATATTTACCATAGACACAAGAAAGGAAACTACCTAGATTAGGGAAACTTACCCAACTATAGAACTAACAGACTGGGAATCTAACAAACTCAAAAACTAACAAACTAGGAAACTAACCGATAGAAACTAATTCCTAACTATATGTTTTTCCCACACTTTCCTTCAAGTTGGTGAATAGGCCTTTTCCATTCCCAACTTAGATATTGTACTCAAAAATATTGTACTTAATCCCTTAGTAAATACATCCTCAAGTTGGTGATGTATAGATGCATAAGGTGTACAAGTTAATCCACTCTCTAAGTTTGATGTCTGTCAATCTCGATGTGTTTTCTTCAATCATGTTGTACTGGGTTGTGAGCTACACTAATTGCAGATTTTTATCACAATTGAATCTCATTGGGCTAACCCCATTTAATCTTCAGTCTTCTAAGATGATCTTCAACCAAAGTAGCTCACTCAAACCTTGTGGCATTCCTTGGAATTCAGCCTCTGCACTAGACTATGCTACCACATTTATTTCTTACTTCTCCCTATCATGAGATTACCACTAAGAAAGGTGTAATATTCTAAGGTTGATGTTCTATCAACTATTGGTCCTTCATAGTCAGTATCTTTGTATGCCTCAAATACCAATCTTGTGTTTCTCTTGAACAGAATCTCTTTTCCCGGTGTCCCTTTGAGATACTTCAGCACTCGGTGAGTTGCCAGCAAATGTATTTCCTTTGGACTCTGCATGAGCTGACTAATCATAATTAGTAAGATATATCTTACTATCTGCTGCCACATCTTCATCTGTCTTTCCTAGTCTACGATTCGGATCTATTGGAGTACTTGCTGGTTTGCATGTGGTCTTTTCTGTTTCTCTATGAAGATCTGTAACATACATTTTCTAGGAAATGAGAATGTCCTGCCAAGAGTGAGCTAATTCAATCCTAAGAAAATAATTTAGTTTCCTTAATACTTTAATTTCAAACACAGCCAAACACTGTCTCAGGTACTGTCTCTTTTTGCCCTACTTTCCGATTATTGATATGCCATCAACATAGACCAAAAGTACTAAACTTTCCTTGAGGATGCGTGTTTGATGAACAACATGTGATCCCCTTGACTTTGTTTGTACCCCATTACAATCATAACTCCCGCAAATTTACCAAGCCATTCCCAAGGTGATTGACTGATTCCATACAATTCTTATGAGTAGAGAAGGGGAAAAGACTTTGTGAGCAGCCAAATTATTCTCATAACCTAGTGGACCTCCATTTAAATTTCTTCATCTAGTCACTGTGCAAAAATGCATTTTTAGTGTAACTGCTGCAATTCCCGGTCATAATTACTTATTAATAACAATATGATTCTAATAGTATTCATCTTTGCAATTGAAGTAAACGTCTCTACATAAACAATTCCATTGGTTTGAGTTTATCTCTTGATAATCAGCCTAGCCTTGTATCTCTCTATTTCACTGTATAGAACCATTTACAACCAATGGGTCTCTTCTGCTGGCAACCTTACTAACTCGCAAGTTTTGTTATTCTCTAACACCTCTATCATCACGTCATAACTTGTTCATTCCTTATTAAACACCAACAGGATGGCAATGGTGTTTAAACTAACAAGAAAGGCTCTTTTAAAATGTTTAAAGAACAAGAAGTGTGCATGAGGATATAAAATTCGTTTTGTGCATTCTCGAGTATTTTTGCCTAATGGTAATAAAACGATCCTAGTTTTTATTGCTCATATGCAATTTAGTTTCAGCTTGCAATGGAGGATTCGAAACTATTTTATCATTCTTAGGATCTATGTTTGTCCTACCTTGCTTATCAATATTATAAATTGTTAGATCCTTATATTGCAGATGTTTCAGAAGGCTCCATATATCAGTGACAGTCGAATACATGCTGAAATAAAACCAGTACTGTACAAACAATCCAGCTGATAAGTAAAACATATCTTTCATCTATATTCTCAATTCACTCTCTTGCGTACTATTAGGTTTTTTTCTTAACCATCGATGTATCCCCATAAAACCTCTTTTAAACCAGGATACCATTGATGAAGTATGTGAGGAGTTGAAGGAGAAATTCGACTACCTTATATATTCCTATCCACCTCAGATTTCCACTATTACTATTCACCCATAATACAGCATCACAATGTAAATTCCCAAAGGAAATAATGATTACCATTCAGGCACGTAGGAATAACCCACATCTTTGTTTGGATATCCATTGAGCAGTAAATTCTAGAAACAAAGTTCAGGCAATCCATGATTTGAAACAATGAGAGATACATTGGGGATCATCTTGTAGCTTGAAACAATGAGGAAACCGTAGAGTTGTCTAGAAATATGTTTTCCATGATCACGAGATAGAGCAATTGAGGTCTGCACCAATGTCACACCAAAATATTGGTGTTGGAAGTTCTAAGTCATAAGGAAATACTGTAAAAGACTAAGGGTATTTTGGAAAGTTGTGTAGGGTTTCTCCCTATATAATGGGTAATGGGTGTTAGAGGTGGATGAATCTTGAGACGGTTGTTCACTGTTCTCCCCTCTGTACTCCGTGACAGAGGTCATTCTCTCTATGCCTATTGGAAAACATGCTACTAGAGCAGCTTTGTTCCTCTAGCGCTTCATTTTCATGTGCCATTTGAGGCATATTATCTTTCTACCATTTAAAGGCGTGTTATCCTATCATTTCGAGCAGGTTTTCTTTTCGCCATTCAAAGCTAGTTCTCCTTCTGTCAGTCCTCTAGTAGTGACGATGAGTTTTCTTCCTGCTGGAGGTAATGTTGCTCCAGAGTGATCTTTGTCTACCATTCGACATAATATCCGAATTCATCAGTAGCTCCCAAGGAATTTAAAATTAAAGGTATGAGTTGTTTAAGATACTTCTGGCGTGACCAGATCTGACAAGAGCATCTACATTTCTTAATGAAACTATGTCCTGGACTTGTTGAAAGAGCTTTGGAAAATGAGGTACAACCATGAAAAACTCCAGTTACGGTTTGATAGTGTGATCGAGGAAGATATCAAAGTTGTTATAAGCTTGGTTATCTTTTCCCAAATGTCTTCTGGCAATTCTCAAATGAATAAAAAGTTGTCGATTGTCATATTCAATTTTTTCGTTGAGTTGCTCTCTTGCATCTTTGATTCTTAAATTTTAGTGCCTGCTTACCTCCCATGTCATACTTTCTGGCTGCTGCATAATTCTGATAGGATGGGAAAGCACATTCATTGCCAGATGCACATGTTATACTGAAACCAAAAGCTGTTATTTCAGTATTCAGAAATAAGCTGGTCTAGCAATAAAGAAGGGCGTCTGAAATATTAAAATAGCATTAACTACTCATAGCCACTCAGGGTATTTAACCAATATTCCAGTTACTCTCTTTAGCCTTTACAAATTGTGATTTATATGCGTCACTTATTTGTAGATTTCGTAATTAGGGATACACACAATTGCTAGTTCAATTGGTTATCGATACACTTGTGGAAGTTCTTGACTACTTCCTACAAGGTTGATGCAATCTTATTATGATCTGGTAAAAACCAATTATGTCTAGTGTAGTAGTCACTATATTGGAATACTTATTTTATCATGTTAATTCTTCTGTTGGGTTTTGCTGTTACTTTCCTGTGGACAAGACAAGAACTGTCGAAATGGAGTTCTGCATTGGATTTATTTTTATATTCACCCCTAAAAAGTACTGTCGCCAGTCACTGATCATTGAGCTATCATGTTATTGAAATAAATCACCATCTTCTTACGAGTATTATTTGATCATGAGATATCTTAAATGTAAATCATAGCATTGCCATGTTCCCATCTCACGCACTAGTGCCACATTTCTCTGCAGAAATACTGTTTCTTCTACCTTTATTTAGAAAACAGTTATGAAACATGTGGACCCAGAAGGCATGGAGATCCCATTGATGTACCTAAGCTATTTATTGTTCGGTATAGAAGAAATTCGACAGAAAATAGTCTAAAGCCGACGAAGAAGGTGAAGAGCATCTGGAACAGATTCGAAGATGAGGATGTGAACCTGGCATCACAGCTCGTGGCAAGATATAATGGTTCAGACAACCTTTATGAGGTATAGAAATTTTAGTTTGGTTTTTCTCTTAAACATATGATAGAAGTGTATTGGCTGATAAATTCTTGTCATATTAGTTTCATTCATTTACAGGACTACGATGATATTTATTTCTTTGATATTTTGATATGCTCAAGCAGAAATACAAATAATTGACCATGAGTGTTGTAACCTAGTTATATTGTAGTGACGGCCACAAATGAGGAAGTGAAGCTTAAAATTGACGAGAACATATCATTGTATGAAAAATGCCTTCATCATATTTACTCCATGTTATGCAAAATGACACTAGAATGCAGTCTATATTTTCCAGAGGTCCTGCATGATGATTGGTATTTATGTGATTAAGATGGAGTAGTCAACTTTCTCTATCCCGACCTAAACTTATCAATGTTTGTCAAGCACATGTGAGCTGCTGCACCTGCCCCACCCATGACCATGTTGTCTGAGATTGGATGTTTTTGCATGGGAACAGCTTTCGCACAGAACTATTAAGAAAAATCTCTAGTAAAACGAAGGCATTCAACCTTTGTTTTCGTTAGGTTTTGAATCTGTGGTTGGAATCTTGTCACTTGCCGAAGATAAGGCTGTTTTACAGTTGTTTTCTTTGGGGCACTAGATATTTTATTTTCTTTGGGGCGCTGTTTTACTGTTTTACAGTTATTTTCTCTCTTTTTCTTTTCTAAGAAAGAATCTAGTATTTAAATATGTATGGTTGAGTTTTTTTTTGTTTTCTTATGCAATTTGTTTCAACTTCGCTTTCTCTCTCTCTGACTTGTAGGTTATCAAGTGGATCTCGCAGATAATAGATGATGGAGACAACAGGAATCTTCCTTACTTTGTAAGTGGCATTTTATATTTCACATTTCACATTTCACGTTTTAGTACAAATTAAGCCTTCTTCTTTAAAGAGTTTCGTATTATTATATAGTCCTTTTTGGTTCAACCAGTCATAATTTGGATGCCCCTCTTGTTGGACGACTAATCATTTCAGTCAACCCTTTATCAATCGGTAATTGGGATAAGCATTTTCAATAGGCATTCATAAATTTGCCGAGTAAGAAGACCTGAAAAAAATAAGTGGATGAATCATGGCCATCGGTCACATTGAGTCTGATTCAATTGTGTTAATTATTAAGCGCGTTATTGATGAGCTTATCTTTCTGCTGACCCCTCACATCTGAAAGTAAGATTAGCCAGTGATGATACAATATAACGTGACTTACCCTTCAAGATAATCCTGATATTCCTAATGAAATCAAATTGGGTTTTGAAAAAAGCTATTTGGGTGTTGTTCTGGTGTACGATGGGCAAGAACTAGCCAATGCACCTTTTGAAGGGGGCCTCAGTACATAAAAACAATACTCTATGACATCACTGTACCTTACAAAATGATCAGGATGTGCTCATTTTTTAACATCCCCATTTATCACACACAGCTATGTAGTCTTGAACCGTGGGCATCTTTCCTCAAAGGAGAAGCCTATCGGGCCGTGTTCACCACTGATTTTCCTCCTGTTCCAGAGGGCGAGGACTCCTGAGCTTGTCCCAGAAGACAATGATCCAACATGGCCGAATGCCTGGCACACGATTTCGAGAGGCTGGAGGCTGAAAACGAAATTACAGGACATCATTCAAAACGTGTACAGTCACACGGCAGATCCCAGGCTTGGCCCTCTCTTCATGCTGGGAGCGTGCATCTCATTCAGCACCATTTGGCTGCGGAATGGTGCGGGAACTCGGCAGACAGAGGTGAAAATTTGTCCCTAATATATGGTATCTCAGCTCCCATCTCTTCTGGATCCTTTTTGAAATGCATGCAAGCCCAGTAACTTGCTCACCAATTTCTCCAGGATGAAGATGACACCATGGTGAGAAGACACTATGCAGCAGCCATGCAGGCAGAGCCAGCAGATGCCCGCCAGATTTTGTCAACTGATTCTGATTCGGAATGAACAGGAACTGTTGTCCCAGGGATTTGAGCATCTCTGAAGATGCTGCAAGATCAATTCTGACGGGAATTTTATCTTAATGTAAAACCCAGTGCTCGGCAAAATGATATATACAAAAACTTGTACTATCTATCCAAGGTCAACAAGCCAGCTAATAGATTTCTATTTGCCGATTGTAGATCTGATGTTCTGTTATAGCCTACCCACCCATCCCTCTGGTATGATGCTTCTGTAGTTAACCTCTAATATACCAAGGTAGGATATATGACAGATCTTGAGAGGAAGAGCTTATCATGAGGGTTATGGCAGAAACGTTTTGAGAGAAATTTCAGAATAAGTTGTATTTTTCCTTTTTTTTTCCTTAAGTATAATATTTTCTTTATTACTAAAGTGTTGAACCGGACCTGTCCAGTTCAATCCTTGTACTAGTTTAGTTAATGCTAAAAGTGTCTTATTTCCTACCTTTTCGATGGAGATCAGGGTTTTGGTCTCGTCGTTTTCTAATCTCTACTGTCTTGAGACGTCTCTATCAGAAGACGCTTCCGTCAACAAGAAGAAGAGATGTGGTTGGAGCATTCTTCTCATTTACTTTGACTCTTTTTCTCTGTGGTCCTCAAACCTTACTTTCTTATTGGCCGTCGGGTCGCATTTCCTGATGTAGTGACACGAACAACTGATTTGTGCATCTCTTCCTCTCTTCTTGTGCATTAGAGGCGCGTGTGAGCAACTAGAGCTGTCAGCTATAAATTGATTCTATCAAAAACCGATTTTTCTGCCCTCCTTAAGAATATAATATATTTTTACTTACTCAAATATATCTGTGAAAATTCGTACTCTTGAATCGTAAGGATTCCAAGGGTCATAATTCAACAGTTATGCAGATTGGATGAGCACAACTTTCTCAATTGGCCTTTGTTGATCACAGCCATATCGAAAAACAGAGGAAAAATGAGTCACCTCTTAGGCATAGGGCTCAGGTTAAGAGATTCCTATTTTTAGATATGGGATGAAGAAGACTCTAGAATTATAGTGTGAGTATGGAGTGATATGGTACAAGAAATCTGCAATACATGTATGTTCTTAGCTATAGTTGAAGATATATAGGACAATATCCATCATACTTTCTCAAGAGCTAGAGATGCAATGCAAGTGTATGAATTGAAGATGAAGATGATGAAAATGACATAGAGAAACAAGATTGTAATAGAGTATGCAAGTCAATTGAAGATTCTATGATATGAATATGATCAAAACAAGGTAGGTGAAGTGATACAAAAAGAACTCTATTTTTTGTTAGTCCAATCGATAAGAAAAGAGCATATGAAAAATGTAACTGGTTCGTTTGTTTCCATGGGCCACTATAAAAATTAATATGAAATATCCTGAAGATAAGAGTTAAACTTGAAGATTTTAGGTTACAGGCTAAATTTCTGGCTGAGCTCAACCTTGAATTTGATCAAGCGAGAGCTTAGATCAATGGTTGAGAAAGATTAACATTTTTCAATTAGTGGCACTGGTTAGGGTTGAAGGGAGCCAAAGACTCAAGGCAGGGATGACACAATATTTGAAGCTAGAGGTATTAGTAATTTAGCTATAAATATGGAGAAAGCTAAAGTTACTCCAACCTCCATTAGACACTCAAAGAGTCAAACTCATGACCATAAGGATACTGTATGGTATATTTATTACAAAAAGTCATACCACACTTGTGAGAGTTGTTGAAACTTCATGGTAAACCCCAAAATCAAGAGTCGGGTCAAAAGGAAGGGCAGCCCTGTAGCAGTCAATACTCATATCATTGTTATCTTTTATGGTGAAAAAACATCATCAGAGTAAAATCAGCTCATCCAAAACAAGGTTCAGAAGGGTGCAATCATTTCTAGCCTCATACTATTTAGAACATTTAAGCTATATTTAAGTGAGTTTCTACTTTCTGTTTCTTGGATTATGAATTAAATAACTACTGAACACGACTAATTCTTCACAATTTTTTTACATATTCTTCTTATTCTGATAGTAATAAAACAACCATGACTATGGGATATTTAATAACTATAGTAGGTGTAGTGAATGTTCACCTTACTCCTTTCATCTTTAAAAAATATTCTTCATGTTTCAAAATTGACACAAATCTAGTGTCTATTAGTAAACTTGTTATAGATCTACATTGTAAAGTGTATTGTTATATCATAACTTTTGTGTCTTTTATGACAACAGAATCAAAGAGGAATATTGGACATTCTGGAGACAAATTAATTCTACTACTTTGTGGCACTAAGCCAATCACACATTGCAAAAGGAGAGCGCAACTAGTCATTTAAATCCCACTCATTGACTTTGGAAAGATTTGACTTCATCATTATAGACTTGGCCCTTCTTCCTTTAAAATTGTCAAAACGTTTTTTCCATCTTTGTTTTGAAGTTTAAATGTTGTTTACTTTCAGTATGACTTCGGTAAATTTATTAATTCAGAATATATTATTTTTTAAAAATTAACTCAAATAATTTTACTCCTTTCTTTCATATTCATATTCATATTTAGGATCCCTTATTAATTTTGAGCATTTCTAATGCTAGATGATTTTTTTATCTTCATTGGTGATTGTGGACATGCCACATTGATTTTTTTTGTTCAAATATTAATCCAAGGTTAGTAGAAACTCATTGTTCAAATTTTGTTCCCTCATTAAAAATTAATTTTGAGTCAATATTTAAAGAGTCAACTTAGATAATGTTATGAATTATTTCAATCAAAGTTAACCTCTTATTTCCAAAAGGAAGGGATACTACATTAATCCTCCCTTATTAACACACCAAAATAAAATATCATAACTGAAAGAAAAAAAAAGTTATCTTTTAGAGGTAATCAGAGATATCCTTCTAAGAAGGAGATCTTTGATTACGTTCTTCAAAAGTTAAATAGTTTTTGGAAAGGGTTACTTTAATAGCTATTCACCTCATAAATCATCTAACACTAGAGTCTTAGGATTCTAGAGCCTAATTGAAACACTATCATCTTTCTATCCTAATGTCTCACTAAAAATTAATCTTATCTAAGATATTAGGTGTGCAGTATTTGTTTATGTTCATAATTACGATAAAGATAAATTGGACCTCATAGCATTTAAATGCCTTTTAATTTGTTATTCTCAAACTAAAAAGGACTATGAATGCTAATATCTTTCTTTAAAAAGTGACCTTCATTTCAAATGATCACTTTCTATGAACATGAATCTTACTTTTGCTCACCTTATTTTTAACAGGAGAATCTAACTTATGAAGATAGAGGTCATTTCTTGCCTCCCATTTCATTATCTACACTGTCACTTATGTCTACTTTTGCTATTGAACAATTATCTAACTCAGCTCCTAGTTCTAACTTCAAAAATTGAGAGATTTGGCAAAGTCTATTAAAGGAAGAAGAGGAATGTCCAAGATTTATGAAAGTTCAGGAACCTTAGATACTAAAACTAAATAACAGGTGAGAAATAAAAATTGGCAACTACCTATCTTTCTTGTTAGTTTAAACATAGCTATCATCCCTACATGGCCTTGTCACAAGATATAATGAGGCAGTGAGTTATAAATAAAGATACAAATGATTCACAGAAGAATGAAATGTGGGAATAACCAAGGCTACCAACATAAAAGAATGATGTCAACTATGAATAGGTCTATATAATAAAATATCAAGTATATGGATCCATAGAGAGATACAAGACTTAAGTACTTGCTAAACTATTTACTCAAGCTTATGTATGAGGTTTATTATTCTGAAACGATTTCTCATACAACAAAAATGAATCATATCATAATTTTGATTTTAATGTTAATTAATTATGATAAATATATTGAAGATTTATGTTGAAACATATTTTTTGCATGAAAAATTAGAAGACAAAATTTATATGAAAGTTCCACCAGGATTAGAAAGAATTTGGTTAACAATATGATGTGTAAATCAAATAAAGTCTTGTACGAACTTAAACAATCACCTTCAGATTTCTTTAGTAGATTTATGACAACTATGATTACAATAGGATATCGACAAAGTCAAGGGGATCATAATGTTTATTAACTACTGATCTTCAAAGAGAGTCACGATACCATACTATATCATGATGACATAATTGTGACTAAAAATAAAGAAAATGAAAGAATGTTAAATAATTTTTATTTGCCAAAAAAAAGTATATTGTAGAATTTTGAAGGAAATAGACAAAATTACATGTAAATTTGCAAGCATTTGGATAGCTTCAAATCTTAAACTTGGGAAAGTAGAGAAGGGTGTTCTATATAGATAGAGAAATCTATCAATAGATTGGCTGGAAGATTGATTTATTTACTTCATACACAACTAGCTAAAACATATATAACAAGTAAGATTAGGCACATTGTACATAATTCAAGACAAGTACATCTACATGCAACTCATGAAATGTTATATTATCTCAACAAAACATCAGGAAAATATATTTTATTCAAGAGGAATGGATGATTGATACTTAAGGTCTATATTGATGATGATTATGAAACATCTATTGTAGATAAAAGGCATACTTTGAGTTATTAAATCTTAGTGTTTTTAACATGATGAAGTAAGTAAAATATTATATCAAGATGACATGTAAAAATGTAATTCTTACCTATGACTTCAGATTAATGTGAATTATTATGGGTGAAGATTATATTAAAAGATTTAAAGATCGAGAGATATATTCTGATGAGATTCTACTATGACAACATGTCAACAATTAACATAGTGTACAATCTAGTTCAACATGACTGAATGAAGCATATTGATACTAATCCAAACTTCATCAAGGAAAATTTAGAGAACAAACTAATTTGCACACTATATACATCTATAATTACTAAAAACTTAATTAGTACCAAATTTCAACATTTTGTATCCTGATAATGGATAATATGCATTCACTAAATTGAGGGGTGTATAGGAATCCATTATATTTTTCCTAAAAAGTGAAAAATATTTTCATAACAAATTATTTTAGTAGTCCTTTATATATCTTCTCTAAAAAGTGATGAAATAAAATAAAAATAACCTTAAAAACTAGATAGCACAAGACCCAAGTGACCCCTAAAAGTATAAGGAAATATACAATTATGGTGGATATTAAGCCTTTTTTTGGGTTTCTGTAAATCTAATTATGATACAACTAATAAAAGTCTAAGGTGATTAATAGGGAAATAAATAAAAAGTTAGCTAGAGTATGTTATTGCCCAATAATTATGACTTATATGTAAAGCTGTATTATTCTCTATGTGACTTTTCTTCTTTCAAATATCTTTTGATGAATAGAGATTTCCATTGATCATAACTTATCTATGCTAGAAAAGTGTATAATGAATACAAGTATCAAAAAAAAATATTTAATGTAGATTGCAAAATCTTTAAGCACTGATTTTTTATTTCAAGTATCTACGGTGCTAGTTTGAGACATCATGATTCATCCCGTGAGCCTCTTTTCATTCAGAACACATCATTTAAAGAATGTAATTCTTTGAAAGATTGACAAAACATCCAGAACATTATGTAGATAACTTCAACAATTACTCACATCAAGATATAATTTTAAAATGATTACATATATTTCCATTATAGATACTTTTTAAGTTTATCCAATAGACTACAGATCAATTGAGTTCAAATCCCATCAGAATTCATTATAATTTTGTGCTCCTATTTTTGTTGAATTATGTATTTTCACATTATTAGTTAAAAGGTACAAAAGTGTAGCAAACATCAAAGATAAGATGAAGCGAGCGAGCGAGAGAGACAGAGATAAGATTAAGTGGAATAATGCCCATAAAAAAAAATCTTTTGGAATATCATCTACACAGAAATAAATATTGTTAAAGACTACAGGGAAATCACTCGGCATTTAATAATAAACCTTGGGATTATCTCCTACGTGCCATTTATTTTATTCATATGTACCGGCTTGTCATTTAATCCTTCGATCGACCGATTTGACAGATGGAACAGTGACAAAAACGCCTTCGGCACGCTTAGACGTGCCGTGTTCATAGAATTTTAATATTTGTTCACATTCTGAACTACAGTTGGGATTCATTTGAGTCGGTCTGCTCTGCGGTTGTTTTGATCTCAGCCAAGTATCTATCTCTCGACAAGACGAGCGGCTATGGGCAAGGACTCGAAGTCGAAGGAGCCTTCGGGAAGCAAGGGCAAAGGGAAGCAACCATCCGGCGGTGGGGCAGACGACGGCGGTGCTAAGGGAAAAGGGAAGGTTGGAAAGTCTTCGGATGGTCTTGGCACCTGTACCTATGTCAAAGGTTGCTCTTTTCCCCACCTCTCCCACCCTCCTCCACCCCCGAGGGAAACCATTTCCTGCTCGGCCCTAATACGGATATAAGAGCTTCTTGGGTTATCATCAGTTGATCCTGTCGGCATTTCCCAAAAGCGAGATTCGTTTGTTCTGGCGGAGGAGAAAAGGAACCTTGCTTTTTTCTCGTTTTTTGTTGACATCCTTTCATACTCGAATTCGAGGAGTTGATCATGGAGTGGTATGCGTCGTACAAACGCGATGATCTACTAACATTTCTGACGCATGAGAAAATTAGGAAAGTGAATTACAGAAAGGGATGGAGCACGCCTTATTTGATATCCGTCAGGCGGGTGAGGGGGTGAACCAGTTTCTGGAAGCGTAGACAAGTATGTTCAGAGGCAGCACTCTCTTTCCGAGAAGGAACTAAAGACTTTCAGGGAGTTTGCTCATGGGAGCCTTTACTGTCACTTATTTCCCGCATCATAGGGCGGGCGTCTGTATACTAGAGAGAGAAGTGGAACTTATAGTGGCACTCGATCGATGCATTCTTTAGGATACCCTCATTGGGATTAGGAAAGAAAATCCCTTTTGGGGTACAGACAGTACCATTTGACCTTTGAGTAGCCCTTTTTTCTTGTGACTAGGTGAGAAAACAAAAGACCAAGGAAAGAGAGGTTGCTTCATTAACTATTTACTGACTTGGAAATGACGAGAGCCTCCCAGGGCCTAACACAGCACATCCTCGAGTTTAATTCTTGGTACCTGAGCTTTCCTATGAAACAACATCGGTCTCCCATGATTATCTTTTTTCTTTACAACTTTTAACATCCATCCCTCGAGCTTTTATAACTTCTTGCTTAAATGTTAAGGGGACAAATTTTCCATTCAGAAATAAAACCCGAACTATATCTCGTCACAAAGATTCTTCTGGGTGCTTCCCAGTCGCTCATTGTACCTTTGAGTGCGCTCTTTCTGAACATAATCCTGTCTTGTTCATGGTTCGTTGATCCGCCTACTCAGAAAGGACGGTAAAGTTCGTAAAAGTGGTTGAAAGGATGCCATTCCCCCGGATAAAACCAACAACAACACTGCACAATGTCTTCCAAACTTCTATTAATGACTTTTTATTTGACTGTCTTCTTGGGGGGATGAAGAGAAGGTAAACTTGAGCTTATTACCCTTTTGAATCTTCGAGGATGTATGAAATTGCCTCACCAGATTTTAGATGTCGATCATTGATGACAGTCCTAAGTTTATACGGTTGTATAATTTCCTTAGAAGTCGAAATTTGGTCATTCATGTGTTATTGTATGTTTCATCATTGCTGGAAAGGAGTTGTTGTGGAGAAGTTACCCACAGTCATCATGGTATATTTCTCCTCTTTTAGTGTAGGAAAGCCTGTGTACTTCGTATACGTGTTACTTAGTTTTCAATCACTAAATTCCTTTATCAGACCATGAGATACAATATCCTTCGTATACGTGCAGTTCGTCCTCTTTTTTCTGCATTCATTTTCAGTGATGTGTGCTGGACTTCAGTGAAGGCTCCACTTTTTTCTCATAAACAATCCGCTCATGTCATCCAGCTTACGTTGAGGCTTTTTGGATGCAGCAAGGCACATCCTGTGTGAGAAGCAAGGTAAGATTAATGAGGCATACAAAAAGTTACAAGATGGCTGGCTAAGCAATGGTGACAAGGTTCCTCCAGCTGAATTTGCAAAGGTAATCGTCTTCAATGAAATTACTTCTATCTTAATCAAGGAAGCCCCTAATGCTTCTTTTACGTAGCATGGCTATTAAAGTTTGGTCTTGTTACCATCTGACCAATAGTCAGACGGGCTACTTCTTGCTTCCTTCTTTTTAGGTCCTGAACAGCAGGACTAGTTCTTTTCGTGGATGCCAGATCGACCAACGCTTTGATGCGGTGCAGAATTCGAGGGACAGAAGAAGCATGAAAAGGAATCAGGCCTTTCACAGTTTGGTTACATGAAGATGGGTCTACCCTGTGCAGTTAAGAAAAATTCTCTGCACGCGAAATGTTCTGGTGTATTTACAGAGATGAAACCCCAGTTAGGAAAATATATAGGTAAGCTTGTTACCTCAAAGTAAAAAAGAATGTAGACAATGATCAGAAGGAAAAAAGAGAACTGAATAGGAAGAACCCTAGTAGTTAGCGTGAGTTATTGGATCCATGTTACTTTAGGTCTGAATATTCGAGTTGTTGTCTTTCATCACTCAGTGAGGGCCTCACTTGTTATGACCTTTTCTGAAGGGATTGTAGGCGAGTCATGCTTCATGGAGTGTACACTTACTAACTAGGAATCCTTGTTAGGTGTGTATGAGGAAGATGCGTACAGCTTGCTAGTAGGATCCTTAACATATGGACCCCTTGCACCATTTCAGTTAAAGTGGTAATCCAATGAAGACTTTCAATGCTTCTTTTCTGATGAGGAAGTAAACACCATATACAGTACTTAATGGAGGAATTCTTGTAATTCGAGGAATTCTTGTGGAAAGAAAGATTCTTCGTGGGGGGAAATCTTCGTTCTCGATTCAATACATCGAGAGATTGCATTCTGACTAGAGGGATGTTACATTGATGAAGATTTAAGAGCGCAAACATGGACATTCTTTTTCCATTGGATGTGAAGGACGAGGGTGGTAAGGGGAGCAACCTGAAGAGATCCGAGAGATGTATGCAACATGAAGATGAGATGTTGGCTGATATTGGTGGGTCAGGTATGGGGAGCGAATGAGCTTGGTTGTGGGTTTTTGCAGGGAATGCGGCTGTGTTTGCCGTCGTCCCTTTCGGTAGGTGCTGCAGATATCCGAGGCAGGATTTAGTATTAGATGTGTTGAGGAGCAGATGGTTGCTGTCAATAGTGAAGATTCGGCTTGGTCACTGTTGGAGTGGGAATTTGGAGTGACGTGGAAACTGCCCTCCACTAACCATGATAGGAGACTCTCAGGCAGGCTGCCTCTCTTGAGGAGGCCAAAGCTTGCGTCTGAGGTAGTGAAGGCTCTTTCAGGTCATGATTCCACAGAGCTTGCCGTCGTTTCCCTCTCCCTTGGTTAAGGGGTGTGTACATCTGCGCTGATGCTGCAGGCACTATATTTTCCTTGTTTCTACTGTTCGCGGTTAACTGAAGGTGTGGATCTTGTCTATCCCCCAGATCGCAGCGGAGTATTCGGAGTGCCCTTCCGGGAAGAAGGGTGGAGACCTCGGATGGTTCCCTCGGGGGAAGATGGCGGGGCCATTTCAGGACGTGGCCTTTAGCACCCTCATCGGAGCGACCAGCGCACCGTTCAAATCAACGTACGCACCACGCTCTTCTTACTTTCATCTTCTCCTCTCTCTCTCTCTCTCTCTCTCTCTCTCTCTCTTCCACTGCATGGATTTTCTGGCGCTCCATCCGACTTAACATTGCAGGCATGGCTACCACGTGATTCTGTGCGAGGGTAGGAAGAACTGATGTGGCGCTCGTGAGGTGATGGTGTTACAGCCTTTCCCAGCGTTCGTGAGGGCAAGAAAAGTTGTACGCATGGATGCGTAGACTGAATGAAAGTTGGGTGATGACAGTATGAGCTGATCTCGGCTCTTCCCCTCGACCTGGGAGAGATTGAAAACTCCTCGGCGCTCTTGAAAACTCTTGTTTTAATGCAGTGAAGAGAGAGAGTACGGATGGAGGTCATCTTCATAGTTTGGCAGATGCATACAAGAACCGAACGAAGTAGAGTGTGGATAGAAAGCCCACGGCCCCTGAAGCCACCGCCACACCGAGCGCCCGCCACCACCGAGTACCAGAGGGTGATTATCTCTGGCACGCTAAAGGGCCCCAGGAAGTGGGTGCCCAGGTAACGGACGGCAATGAAGAAGGCGTGCGCTCCGCTGAAGCCCGACACCAGGAGCGATTTCCACCACCATCTGCTGTCGCCCGCGTAGATGTGAAAATAAGCCACGATGATTGAGTAAGTGCTGCACGCTATCGCCCACAGCAGCACGGTCGCAGTCGTCAAGGCGGTGATTTTGTAGTACCGCCCATAGCAGAGGCTATCGATGACCAAGCGGAATTCGCGCTCGATATCGGCGAATATGAGGTAGCTGAAAGCGACGATCATCACCCACAAAAGCCCCTGGCGTATGCCGGCGGTTGCGGCCGCCTCCCCCCTCGGATGGGGGGGGATCACGGCGTTGCTGACCGGGTAAGAGCGCCTCCTCGCGGCCAGGAACCCTCCCAGGAACGTCACCGGCGACAAGACGCCGCCCCACAGCGCGAGGAGGCACAGGAAAGAAGAGAGCGTGCCGACGGCGAGGACGACTACGCCTGGAAACAGAGCTGCCGTTGAATAGAACAGCGACGTCCAACCTTCGTAGCCTCCAGTGATGTTCCTCCACAGGCGTGCCCCGACGTACCCGCCGAGGGCCCCGAAGAGCAGGTAGAAATTTAAAATCCAGGTCAACAGGATTCCGCTGGGGGACGGGTAAATTACGCTGAGGGCCCCCAGAGCGACGCATACGAAGGCCACCACGAAGATCTGGACGCCCGTACCGACCGCGGCGCAGAGGAGCTTCGGGCAACTCGGCGGCCTGAATATCTCTCCTGCGATCAGCTTCCACCCTGGGATCCGGCCATTTACCTGAGTCTTCCGTCGCCGTCTGACGGTACCGTTTGCGTCGTCACTGTCGCCAGTTCTCTCAGGGTCGATCTCCAGTGTTTAACGAAGAAGACTATCACAAAAAGGAGCAGTTTCCCCGATGATCTGGCTAAGGAAAACAGGGGATCATGGCCTTCGTCGACGTAGCACCGATCCCATCTCGAGCTCCACGAGATGTTCCTGCTCATGACGTACTCGTAGGTGAAGGTCACCCTTTCGCCCGGCCTGGCTTCCATGAAATTGTTCCTGTCCCACCGGCAGTCCGGGGGGTCGATCGTCTCGTACATGCTGAGATTCAACTCCTCCCCGGGGCGGCGTGCGACACTGCACGGTTTCACGACCTCAAATCCAACTATTTCGTATGAGGCCGCGGACGGGCGGGGGGGATCTTCGACTTCTGGCATCCCAGTGCCAGCTTCAACCTCGTGCAGCGATATCCTGAATTTCAGATGATTGCGGACGTACACCTGATCGACCGGGTAAACGCTCATGTCGGAGAAGAGGAAACCTTTGATAGTCTTGAATGAGAAATCCTGGTCAAAGCTCAACAGAGGCAAATCGTCGAGGAACATGTTGACTATATAACCCTTGAGCTTGCGATCCACCAGGAGATGAACGTCTCGTCGGGTAAGGGGGGCCGTGGTGCACAGGTAGAGGGACTCGTTGACATTAACCCGGAATCTGTAGGGCGAAGAACTCCGGATGGTCCCTGAGGCGATAATCTCCCCTAGATTCCGTGGGGCGGGAGGCCGTCCCCCCTGAGGGGTTTCGCAGGACGGGAGGGGGTAGTAATCCATGGGAAGATGATTGAGAACACTAGACATGGGGCCGGCCAGAGCATAGATCTCCTCACCGTGACGATAGCTCATGTATCGCCACCCTTGGCTGGATAGGCAGTCGCCGGAAAACAAGGAACAGAGGAGGACAAGGCCGAAACAGACCGAGAGCCGCCGGCCATGAGACGGAGAACGGATCGTCCCAGAGGATGGAGCCTGGCGGGCGAACTGCCCACCAGGGGCCGGGGAGAGAGACAGACCCAGGAAGAAAAGTCAGACCCGACGACTTGATCTTGGGGGGTGAGACCGTCTCCTGAGTATTTCTAGCTGCTGAAAGGACGAACCTCCACTCGGAGGCCCAGAATTTCTCTCAGGAAATGAATGGGTAGAAGAAAGTCACTGCATTGTCAATGCTTGCGATAGAAGAAACGTTGAAAGTACGATCCTTCGCTGAAATCTCTGCCGCCGCACGCGGTTTTCGAACTCTGCCGTCAATGACGTTCCGGCTGCGTTAGTCAAAACCGAGTTCACGAGCATTCTTCTATTACTTTTCGGCGTGAAGGCAACAGATGTACTGTCATCGCTCAGAGAGACGGAAATGTACGGCGGCAGCTTGATCGGCGCGAGTACTTCTCCGGCGAAGGGGAAGTGACGACGGCGACTGAAGCAGTTCGGCCCCCAACAGGCGGGAGCAGGAACTTATACTCGTGAGGAAAACGTTTGACCTCTATTTTTCTGTCCTGTGGCGAGCCGTTCATGGTTAAAGCTGCTACTCAAAGAGAGAACAATGCAGTATGAAGGAGGCGAGGGGGCGGGCGGGTGGGGGGGTAGAGGGAGAGAGACAGAAAAACGACGCTCTGCCGCTCTGCACTCAGGAGTACCGCTCTAAAGAAGCTTCTTCCTCTCGAAGAAGGTCTTCAGATGCCACAGCTGCAGCCCCGCCACAGAGAGGCACACGCCAAGGGAGAGGAAGCTCAGCCAGGCCATCCGGGAGTTGGTCGTTCTGTTCAGCTCCTGCATTTCTTCCTCCCTGAAAAAATGTGCAGCCATGCAACAACTATCAGACCGTGGAAAGCATTTGAGAAACCAAAGACCACGCCGTACCGAGCGCACGTACCGTGAGCGAAGGTAAAACATTTCATCATGGATAGATTGGACGGTCTCTTCCATCTTCTTCAGCTCCGCTTCCATCATCTGGGACAAGGACAAGAACAAAACAAAAAAATATTGTAATCATGCCAATTTTCTGCCTTACTCTTCTTCATAAAAAGCAGGAGCTTCCATTTGAAGGGTTCATACGGATCCCACTCTAAGCTTCAAACAGAAGAGCAAATGCATCTGATTTCAGATGAAATATGGAGACCAAATTCAAGAACATGTTTCAACTCTTAACAAGGGTTTTTTACAGTATATGGAGGAAAGTTGGATATCAAAGCGCGGCTTCACGTCCAAACTGAATCAACCCTCTCTCAACAAAGATTGAGGGAGAACACAACCCCTCATTATGTTAGAAAACGTGGAACCTATCTATGCCTTCAATCGGAGTTCAGCACTCTGACACGATCCACCGAGCTCAATGGCGTTTTCTGGTGCCAATCTTAAACCTAGCCGTAGATTGTCACCTAGGAGGTCAGAGAAGGATCCGAAGGTGTTGGTTGGGCAAGCACTGCCCCCAGACTTTTCTTTACTCAATCCCACAATTCTCCAGGGTAAGCAATCCCCTTGAGAGAAGAACATAACGACACTTCAGTGACATTACTCGTTTTTGAATTTTCGTGTTTTTATGCACTTCTATAAGCATCAGAGGACAGGACAGTTCATTGGCTCTAAGATCCATACTTGAAACCAGAAACTAGACCATGACGCTGCTCCATCGTCATCTGATCACCCCCAATTAGATGGGTCACAGAAGATTGATCAGTTTTTGTTCTTCGTACTCATAAAATTGATAGTGAGACAAGGAATTCAATCACATAAGGTTGGATGCAGAATTACTGATTGTTGCCTCCGTATAAAGGCGGCATCCACAAAGAAATAACCTAATTTTTCTTGAGAAATGAAGAGAGAAACTGATGATGAAGCATGTGACAAAATAAGAATAAAGAGAGGGTAAAATTAAACAGAAAAACTATCATGAAAAATTTCAATCCTCATCCAGCAGCGCAGCTGACTGCTTGACGGCTTGATAGGCAAGGGAATATCTTCTTTGCTTGACTGCTTTCATCCTGTCTTCACTCTGTACCAACTCGGTACAAATGTCAGTGGTGTAATAACTTCTGCATCTCCTCGTGATCTTCTTCTGCAATTTTCTACTATTTCATTCAGTTCATATCCTAGACAGTGAATCGGCTAAATGGACCTCCAGCCAATCAATATCAGTGGAAAAGGACAAACTGTATGTATTTTTCCCAAAAGGTCGATGATACCTGAATAATTACAAACTTAAACCATACTGAATACTTTTCCACAGTATGTTCACAAACCAGGGGTTTACCAGTGGCCTCACGCGAGGCGTGCAAATCACACTAGATATTGGCATTGGGCTGAAATTAGAATTTTCTCACACTGGACGGCCTTATGTTGGTCACCTTCCATGAAGAACATTTTATTTTCGGAGAAAGTATATTTCTCTGCACAAGCATGAAGTTTTCTCCACCATAATCAATGGATGGCTTGGATTTGCATTACTTCCATGCCTACATTATTTGGCTTAAGCAATTTCATTCTACACAGAGCTATCCTATACTAAAGTATGTGACACTAACAATAACAGTGGATGAATTAATTCTACACGGTGGCTCATTCTTCTCTCACATATATACAGAAATAACGAAAAAGATGAATATCACGAAATTGGAAACTGAACGTGGACAGCAATTTCTCAATCATTCACGAATATGTAGCAACCACTTTCATGAACTTTCAAAAGCATGTTATGAATGTGTTCCATTGTGCATATTCATCCTTTGTTCCTAAGTAATACTATCGTAATTTCAGTAAAAAAAATTAGAGCAAATGCATCTAGGCTATAGGGAAAAACCAATCTTTTCTCCAGGCTTATTGCGAACTGCAATGCTAAGCATCACTATTTCCCTGAAAGGAAAGAGAAATGCAGATGCTGTTGCAATGAAGTGACCGAAAGGATTCAAGATGCTGACAGAGAAAACCATAAGAAATTATGTACGACAAGTACTTTTGCAAATTAAAATCAGATGCAACAGCATTACAGCTAGGTTAAACATTCAAAACAACTGAAATTTATATTCAAGTGCTCAGAAGCCATGGTAATAATGCTAATCAAGAGACTTGATCCAGGTTGTACCATGGACAGAAGAGACAGTCCCCAACTAGAACAAGTGTTTAGACATGGGTAGTATAAGCTTTTTAAGATCCCCAGGCGAGAACAAGTGAGACTCAATAAGGAAATCAGAAATATTTTTCATTACCATCAGCTACAGTATTTTAGAAAACCAAGGTTGGTATACTTTCTAATTCGGACTATCACTTAATCTAATGTGTATCAACCCATGTCTTCTGTGAGGAATAAAATTGGTTTTTATTTATTTCTTTTCGTTACTCTATGAACTCCCACAGGAACAGAAATCATAAAAATTGTAAGGGTTGTCAGGAAAGGAGGCATGACTAGACAGTAGAGGCACTTAGGATGGCAGAAAACCATGTCTTTTGCTGGTTAAGAGTTCAAAAGAAAAACTTCAATGAGTTCTAGAGGGAAAGAGTCCTTGAAACGATGGGAGTACTCGCACACAAAGGCAGTGGAAGCCGCAAAATGGCACTACGGAGACATGAGAAAGAGAGCCGGAAAACGTGCAACCACAGGCTGGTTGGACCCAGGAAACCGGGGACTTTTGCACTGGTTGATGTTATTCTGGGCAGTTTTTTCCTCAACATGGCCAGAAATCTGAAATTTGAAAAAGACCAAGCTGTTTTATGAAACAAAGCTGCAGCTGAAATCCTTATAGGAGAAAACTCTGAGGGAAGAAACAACTTCAGACCCATCAAATTTTCAAGAAGAAAGCTTCAGATAGATGTCATGTTTTCGTTTGCAACAGACGATGATAGCATGGTGATTCACCAAAGCGATCTCTCATCCTCTTCAAGATGTTTGTACATCCGGGGATAAATATTTCAAATCCTGGTTTATTTTCAATCACATTATATCAAGTCCAGGATGATTTTATGATGGGCAAATTGTTGAGGTACGGATTCTATAGATTCAAGAATGTATTCCGGCTAGTTTATTTTGTCCTTCAATCAGTGGGATGCGATTTTCTCTCATTAAGAAGAGACAATGAGATACAAACAACACATATGCTTATGTTTCTAAGACATACTCTCTCTTCAAGTTTATCTGTTCGACTAGTGAGATTCAAAAAACACCTCGAATTATCACCCACCACACGGCTTAGGCTTGCTAGTTCTTATCACATGTCCTGGTTTTTGTACAATTCAATGAGGTCCGACAGACGGAGGAATGGGTGAGAACTGCGATGCTTACCTCGACCTGCCCTTTCTTGGCAACGTTGGGCCAGTCCTTTGCAGCAACGCCAGACTTCCACTCAAACTCTACGGTCATAGTCACAGCTGGCTTATGGTCGGCTGACCAGAAGCAAGCCAGGTAGTCCCCATCTTCCCCGGACGAGAAGTGGAAATTCCCAGACTCGACGTTTTCCGAAGAATGTATGGTGTTCCCATGAGGAGTAGTAACCTAAACAGAGAAATTGAGAAGAAAAGAATTGATACACGAAATGAAAGATATGACGGCGGATGGAGAAGAATCGTCACCGAAGACCCACAAAACGAAATTAAACAAAATCGATTCTTTAAAATAACTGGGGAAATGAAAACAGAAATCAAGACCAAATGAGGGGAGAAAAATATTCGCTCAAATGAGATCACAAAGAAAGGAAGGTATAATTCTTTTGGAAAGACATATGGAAGGGTGGCGGGGGAACGTACCTTCGCAGTTACGCGATGGGTCTCCGGGAGGGGGGGAGACTGATGGCCCTCAATGGCGTTAGGATTGATGACGGAGTACTTGCCGACGGACAAGGAGTTGACGCGGATGTCCTCGGCTATGCACTTCGTGTGGCCTGATTGCAGGTCGAACCGGAGCCCCAGCGTCGGAGGAAGAAGAAAGAGCGCCAGGAACCCTAGGAGCTGGCATCTGCTGCACCGCCTCATCTTTGCCTTTTCCTCTACCCCACTCGACGCACGATCGATCGATAGATCGATCAATCGATCGATCAAAAGAGAGAGAGATAGAGAGAGAGAGAGAGGGGGGGTGGAAGAAGCAGACGAGTAGATGGGAGGAGGAAACCGGGAGCGAATTGATCGAGAGGATTCGGGTGGGGAAGGGAGACGGGTCAGGCTGCAAGTCTATCCACGGAAGGCGATCCCAAAGTCAAAACTCTACCAGATTATTTCCTTTGGCTTCGCATCGCGGGGCGTTTCCTTGCAGAGGGACATGGGATGCACACTCAGCCGTTCGATTGTCAGCGTTCAACTTTTTGACTCCCATCTCCTGCGATAACCACGAGATCTAAATTCAGCCGTTCGATTAGCTTCCATGCTGCTTATTTCTGTGCGCGAAGGCCGTAGTTAAACAACGGCTGAGATTATTAGCAACTCAAAGCCATTAGCTGCGCAACAAAAGGGTGCACTCTCCCTAGTTTTGCTTACATTTTACGTCTATAAACTTCATCATCAAATATTGTCCCTCCCTCCCGCTCTCTCTCTCTCCCTCCCTCCCCCCCTCTCTCTCTCTCTCTCTCTCTCCCTCCATCCCTCTCTCCCCCCCCCCCCTTCTCGCTCGCTCCACCTCCCTAGACAAGAGAGCAGTCAGCGTCGAAGTAAAAACAGAGCATCTTTCATGTTTCCTTCGACAAAAATATGAGGTATTAAGATTTTTTTTAAAATAAAAATAATTGTTTAAAAGAGGTTTTAAAATATTTCGTTAATATTCTTCACGGCCTAGGGAGAAAGCGAACAGTGGTTTGAACATCGAGAGGTGCAAGAACTGTAGAGACACTCAACAGACGGCGGAAAAAAGAAGCACTCGTTTTATAACTCAAGTAATATCTGAGAAGAGTACAGCCATGCAACACTGATCCCATGTTAAATTCCCACAGTGTATGGGGGGTCAGGAAAATTCACAGCTCCGTCTGATTCTTCTGAGCTTTGACCCCGAAATCCAGCCTGGAACAAGTTTCAAGCCACAAGACTGACTAATCGGGCATCACCAGTCTCACCCGGTGCGATGGACGCGTGCTCGCCCCCTCGAGGACGCATTTACGTCGACGGCGGAGAGTCGAATCGATGGGCGTGAGCGCATTGAAAGTGGGCCTCTGCCACGACGACGCCGTGACGGCCTGCTCACGTCAACTCGCGTCGCCGCCGGCAGCGCCGCACGCCTCCTAGCTCCTCTAGCCGCCGTCACAGGCCGGAGCGTCGTTTTAGGCAGTGAAGTGGTCAATGAGGTGCGGTCGCAATAATTCCTCCGCCTTTCGCATTGAATTCCGACTCAACTACCTACAACCACTTTCTGCACCATAAATGGCGGTAGATTGGGAAGCGGGCGAGAGAAAATAGCACACTGCAAATTGCCCGCTTGAAGGTAGACATTGAGCAGAGGATGGAGTACAGTCGCTCTATGGAGACGGCGTCGGAGAAGAAGATGACGACGGGGAATATGGAAAGAGCGGCGGAGGGAGGAGCCAAAAGCTCCTTCAACACGGCGGAGACGATACTCCGGGTGTTGTCTATGGGGCTTTGTCTAGCGGCGCTGGTGGTAATGCTCAAAAACACCGAGTCATCTAGCGAGTACGGCTCCGTCTCCTATCGGGACCTTAGCGGCTTCAGGTGACCACAGAGAAAACCCCCAGCTGTGCTATGGATTTTAGCGAGAACCTTAGTTCTTCCCACGTTTCTTTTCCTGCTTTCTCCCGATTCCATCATCTCGCCGAACGCAGGTACCTGGTGTATGCGAACGGCATCTGCGCCGCCTACTCCCTGCTTTCGGCCTTCTACACCACTAAAGCTCCCCGGCCGGCGAATCCTGCCCGTGCGTGGACCCTCTTCTTCTGCGATCAGGTAAACTCGGACGTTAGCTATCGTTCACTCGCTACCTCCCCCCCCCCCACTTCGATCGATTCTCATGCAAGTGCACAATACACATGAACAAAAGATGCTGACGTACGTGTTGCTCGCGGCGGCTTCGGCGGCGGCGGAGATCCTCTATCTGACCCACAATGGCGACGATCAGGTCACCTGGAGTAAGGTTTGCGACATGTTCGGGCCCTTCTGCCGGCTGGCTGTGGCGTCCACGGGGGTCACATTCGGGGCGGCGGCCTGTTACGTGGGCATGTCGCTGGTGTCCTCGTACTGTCTCTTCAGCGCCTACGATGCCCCCGTCCCTTTCCTCACCAAGGGCCTGGAGGTCGCTGTTCCCATCCCCAGATGAGCCACGGGCAGGGAGCCAGCAGTTCCGTCCTCCGGCCTTCACTCCTCCCCGGCTCTCCCGTCCATCATATAGGCAACCACGTTCGTGTGATGCCTCCCCCCTCCCGTCGTCATGTCAATATCATCTCTACTGCGAAGAATAACAACTCGTACTGAAGAAAAGAGTAGACTCTCCCCTGTGTTTCGGGCTTTCATCTCCACAGAACTGCATCTTTTAAAGTACTTGGAACTTTTTCGTGAATAATTGCACTGAATATTCGTAAGATTACGTTTTCGTATCGTGAGATGCATTGCAAGTTCGGATAATCCTTCCGCAGATGCCACCCCGTCAGGGCCATAAGGTGCCCCCATCCTCTCGGTTTGAGTTGAAAAATCCTATGCTAACAGGTTTTTAGCTCCTGCTTGAAAACGATTTGGACGATACATCAGCACCTGGGAAATTTACTGCAAGGAGTCTGTTCTTCTCCTCCGCTCCTTTCATCGGGCCCGTCTTCGTCACTTCAGCCGCCGCCTGCGTCCATTCCCCTTTCCCCGCTGGCCTTCTCTTCTTGGACCAATCAATTACGCCTTCCTCTATACCGGCCCAAGAAACCCTATTTTCCTTCCCAAGCCACCAGGGCCGTTGCGCATTCTTTCCCTTTCCTATACTATTCTCTGCCGAGTAAACGATAACTGGTCGTACCCATCTTAAACTATAGATTATCTTTTATCACAAACCTTGAACTTTCCAGAGAAAGACTGACTAAAAAGAGCCATAGAACAATCACCTTTAGCGGCCGTTGAAGGGAAATTTTGGCCGTCAACTATAGACGTTTTCCACCGACCAAATCAATAAATTTTGCCGTCCGCTTCACGCAACTCAGCTCTGTCCTCATTGCTCTAAGAAAAATAAGACAGAAGAAGACAAGGAAGAGAACGGTGGGGCCTAAAGCGTTCCTCGCGGGGAGGGGGGGCTGGAGCCTTCTTGGAAACCATTTCATCTCCTTCTTCATGAAAGCACTTACTTGTTTGATGTCTCTTCTTAAAGATCTCGTAACATTAGATTCAGGAACACAATCGATTCCTCCCTCAATTATCTATTCAAAAACAAATGGGAGAAAAGCTACATTAAACGATTTCATATTTATGTATTTCAAGATATCAAAATAATGACTATTTTATGATCAATGTTAAGAGTGTGGTGTTTGAACGATTAAGTTGGTAATGGTTGCTCTAAGTATGCAATCTAGTACTGTTTGCTCTAGTAATGTTTCTTCATGAAATCTAGTAATGTTTGCTCTATATAAAGTGCGTGATATTTTAAAAAGAATTTGTAAGATATGGTATAAGCAATTATTGGTAACTAAATAATTAAAAATGATGTAGATAGATTCTAACAGCATACTCTTTTTAAGGCCCATTATATTTTGTTTTTAAGTGGTCAATTAGCCATTGACACATGTTCATCCAAAGGTCAGATGGAATCCCAATAGGTTTAGTAAATCAGTATTTAACACATTTATTTTTATTCTATACTTAAATAAGTTTGGTCAACATAGTATGGGTCGAGTCTACATAGTCTTAGCAAGGTAGAACATTTTAAGTTGGGTTGACACATTAGGTAGACATAGAGTCTGACTCGATTAAGTTGACATATGATTAAAAAATTAAAAAAGATAAATCAAAGCTTATATTTATAGTGTTTAGATATTCCTTGTTTTACATACACTTACCAAAAGTCATTAGCTTTGGTTTTTATTATTCTTCCTCACAAAATGACTTCATGAGATGCATGACACCACCTACACTATGTCTTCTTATGTTAGACACTTAATCATTGGGTTATATTTCTCTCTATTGTTAATTGCACTCCTCAAATTGTTTTTACAAAAAAGATAACAGTAGGAGGCTTACATATTTAAGAACAAAGAAGATGAGGTTACTTCATTATGTACTCACTGAATGCTTTAAAAACTTTGGTATGATTAGATTCATAGTATAAATATAATGACTAATTGTATGTCAAGTAGAATGAATTAAAATGTCAATTAAGAGTTTTTTGTAAATGCCTAATGTATGAACACTTAAGCAAACGAAAAAGTCCTAAAGTTTGTGACCTAGGTGGCATGAAAATATGGATTACAAATGTTTGGAGGCCTAAAATGGCTATAAAGTCCAAATTTAAGTAATTAGGCCCAAAACCATGGTGGATAATATGCTAGATCTATACAATTAGTAATTATTTTAGTATAAATTCTATTTATAATATTTTTTAGCTTATCTAACTTTTTAGGAGACGATACATTTCGAACTATTTAAAGGCCAGCATGTTAAAATTTCAAGAATAATATTAATATATTACTTTCCTTCACTTTTGTTTAATTAGATTTATTTGTATAATAAACCAACACTTGTGTATACAAGAGGTGTCATTTTGATCCATGTAGATTTAAGGATCATCTAAAGCAGTCATTGTGGACTTGAGATTGAAGGGATGATTTTTAACCTTGTCTAACGTCCCTTGTGTCAAATAATATAGAGCAAGGTTTCGTCTTAGACTGCCATCCATCTTGTTGATGAGGTAGGTACTCTATTAAGGGCATACATTTTTTGAGTCAAAATGATATTTTCTAGAGCTTGGAAGACATACATGGTACATTGCTACAAAATATTTTAATGAATATAATACTAGGTATCGGCTAGAATGATAATGAGTTGAGACACTATCAAAAATTTGATGGGGACTGATAATCATTCTTTGAATCTATCTGAAAAATATAAAGCAAAGGTTTAAAAATTAAATAGATAAAGAAATATATAGAAGGAGACTTTAGAGAATGATTGTTTCATTTATTTTTTTCAAGAAGATTATGTTTACACCATTGAAAGACTTTTATCTTGAATATCACAATGTTTTTAAAACATGATGTAAAATTAATCAAAAGATATGCAACATTATTATTGACAATGGAAATAGTAAAAATACATTTTTTTGTTGAATTCTATATTACTGCACACAATATCAAGAGGGGATGCATTAGTTTCTATTTTTCTATCCAGATGTTAGGATTTAGAAGACTTTTATGTATTTCACTCACACAATATATAATGATTTGGTAAACTAACCTACTCCACTCTTCAATGATTACATCTGTAGATTCAACTAAATCCTTAGTAAAATACACTAAATTTGTCTTTATTGGATCTAATTATTTCAACCAACTCAGAACTGCACCCAAAAAACATCTAGATTCATAACTTTAGGGGGTCAAATTAGAGGACTACTCTCTTTCAAATTCATGATTCTAGGAAGCCAATGAGATTAGCATTGGGTACTTGTCCATAGATAGATTTTGAGCACAAATGTAGCATAAATACAATGTAGAACCACAATTATAATGTTTAATACTTTAGAATAATGACTTCATTGCTTTGTGGATCAAATTTCCTCATTTCTTTTTTATTAGTGAAGATATAATGTTTAAATCCAAATGGTCTCAAGTAATTGATAAGTCTTCATTATCATGAGTTAATAATTAGTAAATAATATAGTTTTAGCCTTAACTCATGATAAATAGACTTATGTTTGTGTTAAGTGTGAAAAGTAGTTTTTAGTTGATTAACGTGAATTTTTAGTTAATTATGTGATTTTCTATGAATTTATATAATTTTTATAGTCTTATTTTTAAGATAAATGATGAAAAAGAAATAAAAATAAAAATATAGCAAAATGGGGGGTACTCGCCGGCCAACCGGGCCCGCAAGCTAGTCAGAAGTGCAATCGAGGAGTCACGAGCAAGGGGGCTCAAGTGGCTAAGACCGATGGGGGCACGTGTGCGCCACTCTCCTTCCACGTCACTAGTGGCCAGTCGGCTGTGAGACAAGGAGTGGTCGTACACGCAGGAGAAAGAGACTTGTTTGTAAATGTAATATTACTATAGATTCCCTAGAAAGAATTCGATGATTTTAATACTTACAATACCCCTTATTTATAACAGAGATATACCATGATGACATCATTTGATAAGGACATTATAGTATTTATTTTAATCTCTCTTATGCAAGCGGGCAACCGACGTGGGTTCAAATCTTTCCAACGTTAAAACTCATATTTTTTTATCTGATTATCACGACTTTCTTGCAGATTGCCAGTGAAAGATTAAGTCGTCAGAATCGTTGAATTATTGACAAAAATTTCATCAATGTGATTCACAGAGCATTGTTACTAAAAATGTTGAACGATTCGCAATAAAAGGAATACGAATTCATCAAGTAAAGAATCTCTAGTTGATTGACGAACAAGTCATCGTCGAGAAGAAGACGATCTACCGAGAGTCGAGTCACCACCTCTTGAGAGCGTAACGGATGCAATGAAGAGCTTCTTCTTATTGTGCGGACCTGAGGATAAAGCTCTTTGACATATGCGCCACCTCCATCCAGCTCCTCTCTGTTGGGTGACAGCCACCGGAGAGCTACAAAGTCATCATTTTTCCGTTCTGTTAGGTGACAGTCGTCGGAGATGATTCAACAACCTATTTCATTGATCTTTAGACTTCGCAAAGAGATCTAGAGATTGCCCATGTCGTCCCTGTCCAAAGAGAGCCTTCGAGGCCGTGGACATTACATGATGATCCTCCCAAATACTCAGGATTCCAGTGCATCGCCGATGCATCATCGCCGCAACATCGAAACTCTGTTTTCTTACTTTCAACTTAATTTTCGCTTCATTTAATGATAATTTATATGATTTAAATTTACTAAGATATACTTCATTCAATTACGATTCTTCTAGCTTACAGATCTTAATTTAATCAATTAAATCGTATGTAATCACTTATGTAAGAATTGTCGGGTGGAACTCTATTTCCGCCTGATTCGCGTTTGCCAGGTGCTGACATCATCCTAACGTCAGCACCCTTATTTTCTTTTTTTATGAATTTTAAATATATATATTTTTTCATTTTCTAGTGTAAAATTTATAAAAAATAGTATTCTTTGAAGAAAATTCTGAATACTTACCTGATATTATATTACATCTTTATGATCGATCTAGAAAATTATCACTATTTTTGGAAGTTTTATTAAATTATAATTGATATATTCATTCAAAAATACTTCTAAATATCTAAAAAATCATATTTTCTAATTTTATAAATTTTAAATTTACATGATTTACTATACAACGACTAAGTCACATCAATAACTAACACTTCTCTTTGAGTAAGTCAATTATTTTTTTTAGAGTAGGTGTAATCATTACTTAGTTTTTTATATAACACGTATTAATTACTTCTACCTGAAAAATGTTTTGGTATATTATGTATAATTATAGATATATCTATTATGGTTTGATATTTCATTTTGAACTACATTTTGTTGAGAAGTTTCTGCACAAGAGAGTCCATATGAAATATTTTTCTCATGACAAAATTCAACAAACTTAAAATTTTGAAATTCTCCTCTATATTACTTTTGATTTTCTCAATTGGGGACACTCCTTTCAATTTAAAATATTCTAGAATTTCATCTTTATTGCTATAAAGTATACCCATATGAATCTACAATAATTATCTATTACTACAAAATCATACCTTCCTCCAAGACTTGGGACATTTTTTAGTCCAAATAAGTCAACATGGTTAAAAGTGTGTAGAAGCAGAAATAAAATCATTGGTTTTAAAAGGTTTTTTGACACACTTCTCTTAAATGAATGCTTCATAATCAAATTCTTCTTTCATGTAAAATTTAGGTAATCATCAAACTGAATCCAATTTCAGAAGTTTTTGTATAGTGGATATACTTGTGTCCTAAACATCTAATCCACAAGCACACATCATTCAAAGAGACTCCCCTTCACTTGTAAATTCTAACCTTGGTAGACTCAAGGGGCATCATTTTGATATTTGTGAATTCAAGGGTTGCAAAAATTATTATTTGTGGAGGCAAATGATCCAATATCTTGAACTTCGTTGATTCAAGGATTGATTTCATTTTTTCTCTAGATTCCATGACATAATGATATAATGATTAAACTCAAGTTAAACAAGGAACAACACATCTGAATAGAAAAATCAAGAAAATCAACTAAAAACATCTTGAACATGAGACGACATAAGACCATAAAGTTACTAAGAGGCTACCACTAGATTACTTAAGATCATAATTCAAGGTCAACCAAGTTCTATAAAGATGATTAAAAGTGGAAATACTAGCCTAACAATAGAAAGCTAAAATACTACTGTGGGCATAAACTGCAAGTGTGAGTATGAAAAATTATTCAAAATATATCTGAATTGAGTTAATTCTTCTAATAATTTTAAATAAGCATAGAACTAACCAAAGGAGAAGACGTTGTGTCCTTGACATTGTAGGCCTAGTGTAGGTATGTAGCCCACGACTCGGCACATAGGCTGGTTTACACAGGTGTACATAAAGATGAGCGAAACTAGTCTTTGTAGGTGGGCATGAGCAGATGGGTGTAGGCGTGACCAAGTATGGGTGGATGGTGATGGGCACAACTGCGAGTGGAAGGGGAGACGAGGTTGAATACAGGCAGCAAGCTGACGCGGTGGATGGACAGGGCACTTGTAGACAAATGGCCCCATTAAGGGGTAATGGCACGTGAACAAGGCTAGAGAGAGATTAGAAAGGTGAGTATGAGCAGGACGTGAATGAAAAAGAGGAGAGAAAAAATATGAGAACGGTTAAGCGGAAGGGCCAGAGGATGATGGAAGAACAATGTAAAAACAGCAAGAGGATGAACATGAGAATAAACGCTGAATGAGAAAAAGAGCGAGGTAGAGGAGGGAGGGGGGAGTGGAGGAGGGGGGGAGAGAGGAAGATGAGGAAGATGAAAGGAGGTCGGGGCCTCTCAACCCAAGTGCGGACCTCTCACTCAAGCTCTCTTTCAGAGCCGATAGATGAAACAAAGATCTAACGAAAGTTTTCTTATTTATTCTATATTTGCCCCTAAATGAAGGACTGCATGTCTTTAAATGATCCCCACATGGTCCACCTAGGGATTTCGACCATTACCCGGGATGTCTAAGAAAGTAAATAAGCTGAGGGCTGTCAATTATTAAAGAAAGCGTGCGGAAATCCTTGTAAAATAAAAAAATATCATGGGTTGGGTGATGAGGCTTCAATGTCAGATTCAATGTCCCCACCAACATCAATTACATCCCTTTATGAACAACGCAAGACTCATTAAAGCGTTCTGGCGGGGAGGAGAAGTCTCCATCTCTTCTTCTTCATCGTCGTCGACGTCATTGGTTCCATTCTCCTCAGCTTTGGAAGCTCATTCCTTTCATACCTAATCATGCATCTCCACGCCCCCGCTGGGGATGAGCTTTGGCTAGAGATGTAAAGTTAGGCGCCTGCCATCTCACCAACTGAATTGGTGCACGTCTTTGAACCCTAGGAATGCAGAGGATTATCTCACTAGACTGCGAGAATTCAGCCTAGTCAAATGACGAGTGAGTAAAGTTAGTAACAGAAACCACTGTTGACTCCCATAACAAGGTCTTGATAGAAGTCAATACAACTGAAAGGATCCACAGTGGCAACTCTATGATCCCCAGACCCTATTCTCTTTTCGGTGAATTGATGGCATGAGGCTGAAGAGAATGATCATACACAGGAATCTCATAGATATCCACTGAGCACAATTTCTTTCCAGGAAGGAACAAAACCGAGTCATTTCCTGAGTTTCCCAGAGGCAGGATAAAAAAAGTAATCTCCAAAACCAATCTCCAAGTGCAGTGCACTTCATGCAGCAGCCTGTAGGGCATAAGAAATGGAGGCACTCAACGAGTGAACCTGCTGTGGATCTAGAGAGAGAGAACATGCCAAATGCTTACAGATAAAAGTTGATTCTAACCAAACATTCCGACATCCGAATTTGGTCATTGCTACTACATTACAGCATAGTAGCAACCGCTTGTCAGACTCGATTCCCTGTCCAGATTATGTCATAATCCTTTATTGGGTGAATGACCCGACGCAAAGATATTCATATATTCTACATAATTACTCACGTTAATTCAGCATGGATTGAGTAAAACCTCATGACCTTTCCCCACATCAAGTTTCATGTCAACTGAGTAAGAACTAATCACTTGGGTGCTGGCAGAGAACACCTTAGTTAAGGACTACATCTCCACAGATCCTGCTGCTGTTAAATGCTCCGGTGAAAGCAGTATATGCAGTGGGAAATTAAAAAAATAACATTTTGTGGGAAATATTTTGGAGCTACTGACGGTTCTCAAATGTTTATCAAAGCATGAGTAATAGACGATCAATCTACCAACATAATCAATATTTATGATGATGAGCTACTTTTGCTACGACATGCTCTTCTAGTGCGTATTAGACCAGACATAGTTTCCACAGATTTTGAGAGCAACATCTGTTGAGAAGAAATGCCACGAGCTGGCAAAAATGAGACGGAGTTCGAAGCTCAGTGACGGTCTTAACAACTACAATTTAATGACCAAGCGGATATTTACCTCCACCAAAGGCATACATGAAAATAAAACTCACAACCAAACAAGTTAAAAAGGTAGGATCCTCTGATGCTGTTGTGGTAAGAGAGTAGAAGCAAGGCAAATAAGCAGAAGAAGATCCTCCACCCAAGTCACCAGTTTCAGGAGCATGTCCTAATCATAAAGAAACGCCTAGAAGACTGCCAGAAGATTTTAGCTCTAAAACCCTGGTGGAAGACTACCGGATTCTGGGGCAGGGCTTCTTCACGGTGTATGGCTCTCGAGCGCCTGAATGCAGGCCTGCAGCAACTCGTTCTTAAGCTTGCAAGTCTCGAAGAAGATTTTCATACTTGCTGAGCAGTGGGCTCTCCATCTCTCCTCCAGCTTCTCCGCCTCCGAAGGTTTGAGCAGTTGGAAACCTTTCGTTATTGACCCGGCCCCCGCGTAATACGCACTTTCCTTCTCCAGCTGAGAAACAGCGTCTCTTAGATACGGGTGGGGTAAACTGACCCCCACGCCAGTGCATTCGTTGCCCATCGCCGTGACAGGAGGAGCAACCTGTTCAGTTGTCCAGATCTTCTGGGACAGCTCGAACATAGCTTGATCGTGCGGCTTGATGGATCCGGGGTGGTTGCTTCTCATCTTAGTGACGGTGGCCTCGAATTTCTGCTTCAGCCGCCGGATTTTCTCGTATACTTGACTTCGGCTGAACTGCATGTGCTGGCTCACGCGGATGTGCCTGTGGATGAGGTCGATGGACGAGGACGGATCGACGCCGTACTCCTCCTGGCAATCGATGAGAGCCTGTAGCAACTTCATCTCGTCCTCTTTGGACCAAACACGCTCAAAGGTTCCCTTCTTGTGGGAAGGACCCCCATCAGAATTCAGAGCGACCTCTTTCCCAGAAGGTTCCCGGTCATTCTGCCCGTGACGCTTCATTCTCTCATCCTCCGGGGTTTCGATCTCGACCTCCTTGTTTTTCCGTTTGCTCTCGCTCTTCTTCTTATCCTCCCCCTCAGGATCGCTTTGATTTTCCTTCTTTTTGTGCTCGACAGGAGGAGCATCGGAACCCTTCGAATCCTCCAGCTTCTCCCCACCCGGGACTTCAGCAATTTTCGCAATCTTGATCTTCTCGCCTAAAGAAGCTCCCTCAGGATCACTCGGCAGTTCCTCCGACCCTGCTCCCAAGGGGGAAGCTTCCGGACCTCTCTGCGGCTTCCTAGGCTTCCTCTTCCCTGGGGAGGCCGCAGGAGGCGCCTTCCTGGACTTCTTCGTGGCGTCAGTCACCATGGTCCTCGTGGGCTGCGACGGGCGAGAGAGGGCTGCGGAGGGGGAAGGTATCACGCCGCTCTTGGCGCGAAAAGATGAACTCCGCCGGTGGCTGCGGAGGGACGCGCAATCCCGCCTAGGTTGGCCTCAGTTCACAGATCGGCACTTCACGATTGGAGGCGCCGCAGCTAGCCAGCGCAGCGCAGCGCCGAGAGGCCGGAAATCCGATCGCGGACGCCTTGCCCGTGACGGCGGAGACGGCGCGGCACAGAAGAAAAGGGGAATCGGACGCGTGCGGCACGAGGGCAGCGACGGTCGGCACGGCCAGCCTACCCCGCTCACAAGGCATGAACTTCATGCGCGGGTTCCCTGGGCGACTTGCTGGTCCGCATACGCCGAAAGACACGGCTTGTGCGGGCTCGGCGCATGACGAGGCTGCCCATCGCGAATGGTGCCGCCGTGTGCGCGCAGGGGCGGTCGCTCCCCACTCGGCACATGCGTGGCTGGTGGCTGCCAGCGAACGACAACTTGTGTGGGCGCCGCACGCGAAGCGCCGTCTCGCCGTCTCGCCCCAGCGGCGGCACGCGGCACGCGGCACGCATTTGATGAGACTGACGCTCGTGCCGGGGCAGCCACGGAGCCCAGAATAAGCGCGCTCTCTAGTGTACAAAGGCCGGCTGGAGCGGGACGAGAGGTCTACTTTCGACGAAAAAATTAAACCCCGTAGTCTTTGTGGGTGAATCCTTCCAATGCGTAGGGATACACATCGATCTTGCTATGAGACGCCAAATTGGAGGCACAAAGACAGCACTTTTACTGAATCCTTAGGGAGGTCACTATTTATCCGGTTCTCATCTCTTGTCAAAGTGAGAGCAATGACGAAGCAATCATACGATGTTCTCGAGTCAGACGCCGCACTTCTCGATCTAAATGTTGATGAGACTCCCCTATATGGCCCCAAATAACCTGAGATAACAGCTTTTCGCTATAATCGTAATTCTAGATTATTGACCGGATTGGGAAAATACCCCAATCATCGGGGATTCATCCCCATCTCGCCTAAGTTTTTGGTTCACATCGTTTTCAAATGCAACATGCACGAGGACCAGGCGGTGGCTCGCGACCCCTCGCAAAAACTCGTCAATTCCTATCGACAAGCAATAGACCTTCATAAATGGTTTTCAAAATGACTCCTGCGAGTCGAGTGGAGCGTGGCGTGGCATCTGGGGAGAAGGGTACTAGTCCTTGATTCAGGATTTTCATGGCGCGGTAGAACTTGACGACCCCAGATCTTCGTTCTCGGAAAGACGCGAATTTGGGTTCGGATTCTGGGAAACCCGAATAACCTTCTCCATTGGACCCAGGCTCTTCCCCTGTTCGCGCGGCTTCCTCCTGGGGCTCCATCGTCTTAGCTCTGGCTATCACGGGTTACGCTAGGGGTGTGGCACCGGCATCTTGAGTCCCAACGGCGGTCGAGGAGACGCAGTAGACGTGGAAAGAGGAAGCAAGATTGCGGGGGAACGCGATGGTGGCGGCGTCGGGCAGCAACGCGTATGCCAAGGAGATGGCCATCCGGAGAAGGATCTCAAACATGTAAGCCTCTCTCGCTCACTCTCTTCCCGGCGTCCACCGTCCTCCGTTGCAGCCTTTTTTTTTTTAGATGTTCGTCGGAAGTTGTTCAGGTGATCGTGCGCTCTTCGGCTCCTGAACATCATCTGTCAGGCACTTTTTTCCTCTCTTAAATATCCTAATTTCTTCAGACTCTTAAGATAACACGGGGTAATCCTCTCCTTGTTGGTTAAAATCCATCGACTAGAATGGGGGGTTGAACATGCTTCGTGTAACACGATCTTCCCAAACTACAATGCAATCCAGTCAGGTGATCAACCGGTCGTGGAGCAAATACCATTTTCCTGACCAATCTGAAAGCTGTCTCATTTGTATTAGTTCGCTATGAGTTTTTGCATTCAATGATCGTATCAACTCAAAACGAAAGAACTGAAGAGCCATGGCTTTTCATCTGGAGCGGGTTATTGTCCTACCATCTAATACCATGGTCTCCATATGTAGTTCACCGTTAGGTGATTCTTCTCTTTCCTTTGTGGGGAGGAGGGAGGAGGGCTGATTATATTTACAGACAAAAGAGCAATAGTCATCTCTTCTGGAGCAGCTGTCCGAAGCAAAAAAACAGGAGTCGGGCATTAGGTGAAACAGAAAGAATTTTTCCGTTTTATACTATCCATCTGGAAATGTTTCCCGGTACTGTTTGCTTTCTTTCGTATTTCACCTTTGTTTGATGCGGAAGCACAGGGATTGGCTTATACATTCCCAGCTTTTCACAAATGCAGATTTAACAAAAGGGAAGACGATTTTCCTACCTTAAGAGAGTACAATGATTACTTGGAAGAAGTGGAAGACATGAGTATGTACGAAGAAGTTCTGTACCTTGATCCGATATTAGACACTGCTGTTAACATCTGTCCTGTATTTTCTTTTGAAGCCTTCAATTTGATTGAAGGGATAGACGTTCCTGCCATTGAGGCCAAAATTGCCAAGTACCAAGTGGAAAATGCTGACCAAATAATCAATTCCCGAGCACGAAGGGTATTCTAAATTCGTTCGTCATATTTCTCGCATATTAGCCATGCTGCTAAGTTTACTTTTCTGAGAGAATGTGCACTAGATGTGCAGGCTGAGGAGTTGGCAGCTTCATTTGCAAGCAGGAGGCAACCTACTCAGACTGATGACTCCGAACCTGTGAGCCAATTTCCCCAATTAAGATGTGTGCCTACTGTCTGGTGTATTCTAATGGTCAATTGATATTCATGGAGATAAAACCAATGCAGTCAATGCTGCGACAGAGTGTTTTCTTTTGATAGAGTGTAAGATTTTGTCCTATCGAGTATTCAGTTTTAGCTCTAGTGAGTTTTCTCTCTTCTTTTTAATCCTCATTTCCTTTTCTTCTCCACCATCTTCCACCGTTTTCCTCCTTTGTTTCTTCCTCCAATCTCTTCCTGCAGCTCATGCTTTCATGTTCTTCCTCTGATTGCAGCACTACTTTTGAAAAAGGCCAATCCGAACAAGATTTGGCTAATCCGCTGATCTCTCAATAATCAACTGATTTCAGTTCAATTCCATCTGATGTGATGGCTTTCTTCAATATTCGACAGGAGATTGGAACCCCACCCCCACAGCCCACCAGAGTAGGTTGACTTGTGTTATTTCTGAGGACTGTGGTCAGATCCCCTTTCTTTTTGATGGGATTCCATTTAGTTGGATTCTTTCTGATTTGATGGGCCTCCTTCTTAGTTGGCTCATTTATTCAGATGTATTTCAGTGCCTGTCTTCTGTCCATTATGTGAGTAGTAGATCCACATATCAACTGGCTTATTCTATGCAGATCTAAACACCTCCTAATACTTTCCACAGCCTTCCCTAGCTTTGCTTATTCGGCTGGCATTAATTCTTGTTAATTTTTATTTTCCAATTTTTTAAAATTAAAATGGAAAGTTCTATTTTGGTATTTTCTGTGGATAAAAGATTGGCATTTTACATTCACATTTTGTTCCTTTTGCCCGAATAGTTATTACTTGACTGGGTCGTGAGTTATGTTTCAACTACAAGCTTCTCCATTGCTCCGATGGTTTTTTCAAGAGCTTTGTGTGATTGAGACTAGGGTATCCTATATCTCTGCCTTTTGTTTTTTGTTGTGGAACAAAATCATTGCCCAGTGTTGAGTGACACTACTGTTGGAAGATTACTTGTAGGAAGCTGGTCCAGACAGCACATGTTCTAGTCATCTCGAATTTGGTGACACTACAGCAATGTTTGAAAAAGATAAGGTGCAGAAAATTTAGACATTCTAATGGTTATTCAATTAACTGGAAATTGTATTTGGGCAACACATAATTATGAAACAAAAAACTGCGGCAATTGGGATTGGAGAAGGTGGATCATTAGCAGTGCTGCTACAACTAAGATAGGAAGCTTCCATTAAGGCTAGGGGCTCCACTGTCCTTAGAATGGGACTATCTGAGCGGACTGAATTAAATGCAGAATTTTAATCCTAGATCAAAAAAAGGAACTGTGAAACTACTCTAAGGTGGAGGCTGATGGGTTTTTCTGGCATTTGTTCTTTCAAGTCTGCTTCTGTACTTGGTGAATATAAATCTCCCATGATGGAAATCGAAGCAACAAGGGGCAGTTCTTTTAGTGTGAGGCATATAGAGATGCAAAAGATTTCCCCCATATCAAATGGGATAATACATAAAAACATGTGAAATGAGAAAAAAGCCTAGTTAAGATTGAAGATTGATGTTTTCAATATGACTTAGTGAAAAGAGAGAAGGGGGGACTTTAGAAAACCAGAGATCAAATGCAATCGGAGTTTTCGTTATTAATTCTTTCTGTGAAAAAATCATAGTTCGTGGAGATGCAGGGTTTGGTGGCGGAGAATAGTTTGGAAGAATTACCTTTTTAAAATATATTAAAATACCTGTTTTTGCCATTTATCGTTATGAGGATGCCCACTTGTAATGGAATACAAATCTTCAAACCTAATGTGAAAAACAGGTGTGCTAATTTAGGATGATCCCAACCTGATTCGTAGCACATCCCCAAGGCACATGCCACCTCTGGAACACTGCCTGGTGTTTCGCTATTTTTATGTTATTTCCATTAAAGTGAGGTTGTCTGATTTCCACTTAATTGGTCAACTAAGGCAATCAAAGCAATTTTTATTGATGCGATTCAGCCAATCGGATCAATTTGGGTTCAGTTCGTAGAATTTTTTTTGGCTAAAGTTATCAGAGATTATTGTTTCCTATCAAGATACATAGTCTACATGACATTATTTTTCCCGTTCTCAGAAGAGATTACGAGTGTTTCTGTTGTAGTTATATTCTTTCAGTATAGTCACAGGTACAGTGTTTGAACATTAACGGTATATTTTCTCCTGACTGGAATCCCGCAGGGTTCAGGACAACCCTCAGGCCACTACGCTCCTACTGCTCTGCCCGGCGGTGCATTTGTGCAACCACGTCCAATTGGTGGCGCTCTGCAGCCCATTCCTGTCCGAGGTGGGATTGAAGGTCTGGACGGAAGTGCAATTGACGACGTCGAAACACTAAGACTTAAAGCTGAGAGAGGTGCGAGGGCAGGAGGATGGACTGCAGAGTTGAGCAGAAAGCGGGCATTAGAAGAAGCATTCAGCAGTATGTGTGTATGATCTACAACAGTGTAATAGGACCGATTGGTGGATCCTAGTATGATAGTTCATCCAGGCAAAAGTGAGAAACAGCATAAGGTGGCTTGATATTCTCCCATGCAGAGCTTCATTGTCCTTCATATTTTTTTCTCTTGGCCATGAGATGCATTGTTTGTGATACAATTATACGTACGGTGATTAAGCACTCAGCCTTTATATTTTTTAGTGCAATTGACTGTTAAGGGCTTAATCCAGAGAAGAAAAGCGTTGAGAGAGAAAGGGCACTAGCCTTTTCAAAGAGGAAGAAGTGGGATACGGCTTGTCTTGTCTGGATAGCCATTCCAGAGAAGTAAAGCAGCCACCTTAAAAATATACAGTGAGCAGCCCCCCCCCCCGGCACCTCCCTGTCCCCCCCGTATGAGTGAAACGAAGACAAAGCCCAGCTATCAGATGCTCCAATGGCTGCATGCATGCTCCGGTAGAAGTCATGAGGGCGCTGGGTGGTAGCTCCCGTTATGACCTTGCTGTGGACGGTGTCTAGTCGTCCTCGGGATCAAAATCCCGCACTTTCACATCAGCGTCTTCTCCGTACTGAATGCAGTTGTCAATATAGGAGAGCACGTACTGAATGCTGCAAGATATCAAGGAAGGCATCAGCCATTGCTTCTCTCTCTTTGAACCAGACACGTTTGTTCTGATCAGCCATTGCTCGCTTGATGCAATATATGGATATGGCTTCAAAATCACCCTTTTATTCAAGCTACGCTGCATCCTGATGCCAAGTTTACCCGAAGCCTGATTTTGGTTTAACCGGGTACTCTTTTGGTTTTCCTTTGCTCTGATCGAGATCTAGAGTGGGGAAGGGTGTACCCAGGTTGATATGACAACTCGTGGAATGTATACCGCCTCTAATGCCTAGCATATATACATAAATACTGATATCTATGTGAACAAAGTTGAGAAGGACCAACTAACCTGCTCTGCTTCCTCAAGTCTAATGGCACGAAATTCACCATGCTGAAGTCATCAACCTGGTGAAGAAATTTAATTCTTGATCCATAAAAAACAGGATAAAAGAGATGAAGCTCACAAGTTACGCAATAAGCTGGATCAGTTTTTTAGAAAAGCAGATCTATAATGCGAAAATTACGGGGCGGTTAATTAGTATCACGATAGAACAAAATCTGGGCCCCAAGTGCCATGCCAAAAAAAAGGATGTCAAGATGAGTACTTAAAACTGAATAATAGATCTACCAAGCGAGGAAGCAATCACAAATTACACCATATATGATCTCATGTGCGTTGGTCCCCATCTTTACATGAACGGTGAATTGAATTACTTTGTTCATCATCTTCATCTTCATCTTCATTATGCAAAATAATAGACATAAGGTCGTTCCATGAGTTTAATAAAGAAAGGCTCTTAATGTTTCATGGATCTGTACACGACTACTCACAAAAGTAGATAAGGATTATCTTTGGAACAGTATGAAAGATGTGGTGTCCTATCTGTCAGCCAAATCTAAAGGTATTATGTGGATAGAAGACATTTTTCGTAAATTCTTTATAATTAGAATTAAGGTTTTTGTGAGTTCAAATTTGATTAATTGTCACTCTAATGATAGCTTTTCCTAGAAACCAATATCAGCTTCAAAGGCTCAAAAAGGATTGTCGACTTAACTGACATTGCGGGTGATTTCCTCAAAAACTACGACAAATAAGTGAGAAGGAAAAGATAGAGAGAGGGAAAGAAGCAAAGGAAAACGAGCTGCCATGGGTATTATGAATATTATGATCTATGGGAAGGCAGCTAGTATCAATTAAAAGATTCAGGAAGTGTGAGAAAAGACTCTTGTTTCAAAAAATAAATAAAAATACTCAAAAATTGTAAATGTGAAATTGGTCGCATAGGCTTCAAGACGTTGATAACATGGCAACCAAGCAACGAAAAAAAAAACTATTGAGAAAATGTGTCAGATTGGCATCTTACCAGCTCTGCCAAAGCTTTATTTAGCTTCGCAAATTGAGGTGGCATTTGCTGATTCAATTCTGAGACTAAGACTTTGGCCTCTGGATTTAAGTAACTGAGACAAAATAAAAGGAAAAATTATGAGTACAGTAAAATTGGTGAAGGCAAGATGAAAGAAACAAAAAATTACTCACTCCTCAATATCCTTTTTGTTTTTTACGAGATCCATTTTGGACAGAATATTGACATGAGGTAATTCAAGTTGAACCATTGCAGAAAGAGATGCCATGCAACCGCTTATATACTTGGAAACATCAGTTATGAACTGTACAGAAGAAAAATCTTTTAGCTCAATCTCAATGCAACACAGCGCTAATATATAATTAATATGAAACAGAGTTTACAATAAGGGGAAACCGACCTGAGAATCAAGTAAGAAAACTGCACAGACATTGAAATTTTTGCGCTTCAGGTGCTCCACAAAGTTCCGAAGAACTGGAACATGTGTAAATAGTTCTATTTGACCTGCAGGGAGTTATCAAACAGGAAACCAATGAAGAGAGGATTCCGAAAAGTTTAAGAATCTCAAGTAAATACTTCAATTTGAAAAAATAGCAGAAGAACTCCTTGACAAGAGTTTTCTTCCAGGCAAGGATTGGCAATTCTTCCAGCATAAGAAATAAGCATGGTGTACGTTTTGTAATTAACAAAGAGCCTTGGTGAACATCACCACCATAGCGTCTACAACTATTGTAAGATTCTCATTTATTGAAGTGCACATTCTATGTCAACCATAGGACTAAATTCGCTTGAGACGCCAAAACAATCCCCCAACTCCTCTTTCTCCCGGGAAGGCTCCCTCTAATCTTCTATCAGAGAATAATGGCAACATGAATAGCCTCAATAAAGATTTATTGCGCCAGATTCAGGGAGATTGAGAAATGAATTTAGCGATTTCCATATTAACCAAAGGACCACTTTGCTGATTTTGAAAGCCGCATGGCACGTACATTAAAAGTTTGTTTTATCTCTAGTCAGCTGAAACCACTAACAGCCAAGGTCACGCCAGCCCTCTGCCAACCCGTGTCACAACGTTCCAGAAAACTGACAACAATGAAGGATGCACCAGAGACCACAGATGACACCACAACATGGAGAAAGTAAAATTAGTAATCAAGAGTAGACCAATGAAGGAACCAAGTTAGAGACATTGCTCTAGTGACACTATAAAATCTGAGAGATGTGACACTAAGAACTCATCATTTACCAGGAAAATGGGGGGAATCAACAAATGTAACAAGGAAATAAATAGCATCCAATTTACTTACGTATGGTCCAGGTCCTGCCAACGTTGGGTGCAAGAAAAAACCGACCATGATGCAAGGAAACATGAGGTGAAACTTAGTCTCAATTCTGTCTATGCTCGTCCCTCGCATGCTCTTTATCATGGATTAAAATGATACACGCTTTGTAAAGAACACTGCCCACAAATGAACAATGCACACTTCTTCATAGAATACAACAGTAACCACAGGTTACCACCTTGCAGCTCCAAATAATATTCAGACTGAAGAGACGGGAATATTTGGGAAATGTGGGTAACAAACATTTTTGAAACTGTTATATAAGAGGGGAGTAGAAGATAAGGAACATTTTTGTGGAGAAGAGATGCGAAAGATGAACAGAGTGTGGGATGCGACAAGATCAGGGGAATAACAGTGCTGGACAGCGGTAATTTTATTACTTAAGATTATAATTTCTGGAGTAGTCCCGCACTGAATGAACTGAGTTGGGCATTTCGTAGTTAAATACAGAGTATTACACCATTCGCTCACGACTGGTGCCTGGTGGGATCAGCTGACACTTTAACAGCAGCTTTGACATGAATAATACCAACAGAATCTAGGAATCTACAGTTGAAGCAATTATCAGAAACATAAGGGAAACTGTATTGTAACTAGTTTCATTTCTTCATTTTCCAAATAAATCCCCTCCCCCACCGCCACCCCTATTCAACAGAAACAGTGGACCCTAGTTTCTCTGACACTCAGTGTACATGAATGCAGAAAATAACAATAAACGTCATGGCACTCCATCGTCCACAAAGCATTGCTTCTGACTAAACTTCATCAAACGCATTCAAGATCTTCCTAAATTTTCTGATTAGAATGAGATGGAATGAAAAAATTCTCCACAATGTTCTGGTTGTCACCTGTTTAGATCTGCCACTAAAGATCACTCTGATGAATGGTCAGTTTATGTCGATCCTTTTCGCCATTCACACAACAAAAAAGAATCTAATGGATAACATTGCCCAATCAGGTTTTTGATGATTCAAGCACGGTTGAAAGAGGCCAACTTGAAGAAAAAAGAAAAAAAGAAAAAAAGAAAAAGATATACACCCATTCGCATGACAACAACTCACAATGAAAAATGATCCCCATCAACCAGTAAAGACCTTTCCAATGATCTCACTGTTCCGTTCTTCTTGATGCACTGCAAGGAGAGAGACTACTCGACCAGTGTGAGCTATGTTGGTGTCTCTCAAAGAAACATTTTTAGCGGCTCATTCAAAGCAACTTATGTGAAGGAGGTCACACACTACCTAAAACAACATTTCAAAAAAAAAAGACGCCCTGAGAACAAGAATTCATGTCTACATGCAAAAGGAAATACCTGGACAATCAAAAACAAGATAATCATCATCCAAGTAGTTTTCCAGTTCTTCTTCCAACCAGTCATCTAAATTCTCTTCCAGGTGTCTAAAGCACGCTAAGAAAAATCAAGATAAAAAGCCACATTTGATTTGAAGCAGTATTCTAAGATAATTCAGCAAAACATTAACGAACCAAAAAATGGGACATACAATGTCATATAATCAATCTTTATGTCATAAATGCAAGAGAAACTAAACAAAAGTAAAAGTTGGACATGCTCCTCACGTGTCAAAGAACATTTCTACCAGGGCTCATTGAGTTGGTGCTCATATGAGTCAGATTGACTTTTTTAAGATTCCGCTCTTTATGTGGAATATTTATAGGTCGAGTCACAGGGTCCAGAGATCATTAAAGGAATCCAATATTCTAAAGTGGTTTCATCAACAGATAAGAACAAGTCAAAGTTGAGCTCGTAGGTCACGACTCTGTTTTCTCACTTTCTGACTTTAGTATATAAGCCAACTAACCCGGACAAAGACCTAGAGCTTAAGGCAAACATAAAGTTTAGCCCAGCTCACTCAACAATAAGCATGTAAGACTGTTAGAAAATGTTTCACTGCTATCACAAGCATATTCACATTAATTCTGTAGATCCACAGTATTCGAAAAATTAATTCGAAATTTTAGCTAACCAGGGTACAATTGGATTAAAGTGAAACTCTGGAGAAGTCCAGGTTCCAGGCATTGTGAGTATCCAATCCTAACCAAAAATAATACAATTAGGGTACCCACCAGTCTCCGTTCTCATGTGACAGTAGAAGGGCATCCTTTGCCCAAGGTACATTGACAAGCCAAATGATGAAATGTTTACTCGAACTAAACGAGAAAGCTACCAGTCAGCAAAAACTAATGCCATCCAAAGGAAGAGCTACCAGTCCACTATCAACTAGAAGATTACATAATATCGCTGACAATGAAGGGATGCTAAAAAATCCCAACATCTGACTTCTTTCAATAATCCCAACATGATCATTTTATGAACACATGCACCACGAATTTTCCAATTGATCGGAGCTCTAATATCTAACCTGCTTGAAATCAAGATAAGTGTCTATACAGATACATAAATATTAAAGTAAACAAGGTGGGCAGCTTTGAAGCTATAGTAACTTTTCACATTTGGATTAGAGAATGAATTACCTATACGAGTCCTTAGGCAAAAAAACAATGAGCCTTCACTCTAATTCAAACCTTGCATATATTACAGTTCCCTCAGCCAACCACCAAACGACCATCAAAGTAATTATACATATTTCTTCGTCATCATTCTTTAGGAAGATATTTTTTATTCCCGAGAAAGTGCATAACATCAATCCTACATATCATGCCAAAGTAGTGAATTACAAGTCAACATGGAGCACCTCCTTCTTAAAACGACTGCAACAAAGAGAAGCAAGATGCATGCATTGGTTACAACAAGATTTCAGTCAAAGGTGCAAATTAGTAGAATAAAAGGATACTCCATGCAGTAAATGAGACCCCCATTAGGACCCAGATCAAGTTCTTCCATTACATCATCCAGGGATATAAGTTCTCTAATATCTGCACACACGCAAGAGAAAGAGTTCAAAGAAAGTCAGATTAGTCGGGAAAAAGAATAGCTTCCATCAATGAGAAAAAAGTGCTAAAATTGGGTAAACTTTTAGAAGCTATAGCGCTCACCCATAGCCACTGGATAGTCAAAACTCTCTGCGGCAGGATCCAAGTTGATGATGTGAATGCTACGCCTCATTGTCTCACAGTGCTGATAGAGGCTGGAACAGTATGTTGACTGGAGGATGGATCCAAGTAGAAAAATGAGAGGAAAGGTTAAGTTTCACCGAGCCACAACCAATCTGAAGTTTGCAAACAACTTTACTAAAATTTGCACAGGCCTCTTTACTTGATCGGATACCTAGATGTGAAGGAACGTATTGGGATTATCTAACAAACGGGCTGTCTGCGGACTCTAACACACGCGTGGATAGGCTGCTCTTGCTCATCCGTATTTTCTAAGATATCAGTTAGAATTCAAGAATATCCCGTAAGATAGTTCTACGTAGAAATAAGCGGCTGTGCCTCATTAGTATTCTGATTATCATTACTTGTCCAAAGCCCAAGCTATGGTCGAGTATGGAACAAACTAAGTTCTTGCGCAGCAAAGCTCTGGCCATCATACATTAAAATAATTTGAACTCTACTCCTACATGACTCCATAATTATTATTTTCGTGAAAAGCGAGCTTCAATAGAACACGCTTGGTCCAGTTGGAGCCGTTTACGAACCAGAAAGTAAACCAGAGTAGAGGAGGTGAAAAAAAAAGAAGCGATAACCTTTCCACTTCCAGCGGGGCCGATCACGAGTTGCGCGAAACCCATGTCGATAATGTTAGAGTCAAGCAAACCGTTCGGGGTTTTCCGTCGTCCCTTGCGCGGTGCCTCTACCTTTCTAAGAATCAGGGGGCGAATACGGCCCGGAGGGAGAGAGGGGAGACCGTGGAGATGAACGTATGCCGGGTGAGAGAGAGGCCGGGAGTAACGAGAGCACGGCGTTGGAGGGTTTCCAGACGGCCGCCGTCGGAAGCCGTCGGCAGGACCGCGAAGGGGGGCGGCGTTGGAGCTTGGAAGGGGAGGAGAAGTTTTTTCGGCGCGGGGGCGGGGGAAACGCCTTCAGGTCGTCGCGTGAAGAACGGCGGAATCTCTGAACTTGCCCGGGGCTGTGGCGCGCGATCATTATTTATATAGAGCTAAATTATTTATGACATCATGATCGCAGGAGAAAATAAAACAAAATTCCCATTTCCTGTCCCGGCGAATTCTCTGTCACTGAAGCCCCTTGGAAGATTCAGTTGTATTATCTTCGAGTTCTCTCAAATAAATACGATTCAGTCTTCTGATCAAATCACGTCGGCATGGATACCCCTGAGAACACCCCAAAGAGAGAGTTTCTTGACTATAAAACATCTCTGCGAAACTTGCGGCCGTCGTCGCCTAACCACCTCAGTCACCGATGGCGATAAGCTTTTGAAAAATGATATCCATAATCCTCTTGGAGTAGCAACATCTTTTGGTTCCATCTCCCGCGAAAAGCACTGCTGGTAATAATTTTTTGCGCAATATTTTCTGCGTTCATCAGCCTTGTTCTAAGCCCAGCAGTCGCTTTTCGAACAACTCTCTCTCTCAAGGGCCGGCATTGGGCAAGGGGATCTTCTTGTGGTGCTTGCGCCGATAAGCTGTGGCCCCGGCGTCCTCACGAGAGAGGGGGGGACTTTTGTCATGGAAGGGGAGGAAAAGGTCCATATTTTATTCACGCGTGAGGGCCCATTGAAACCTCCCGTCCTTGTCTCCAGTCCTTGGCTGGACCAGCTGGCCACGGTTTCCCTTCCCTAACCTCCCCTTGCCTCCCCTTGTTTTCTTTTTCTCCTCTGCCACGCCAAGGCGGTCGAATCCAGCTCGAGCGTTGCCCACGCAGGCTGCGGGACTGTCGGGAGGCTGAAAGTGTTTTTCCTCCTCTCCGCCTGACCAGCGTCAGCAGGTGTACGATTTCCCCCAGCTCTAGGCAACGCGGCGCGGCGAGCCGGGACAGGCTCACAGAGTCTTCTCCACCGGCCCTTCTCTGGATCACGCGCGGCTACCCTTCTTCTGCTCCTCCTGCGACGATGAATAACCTTCTTACGGTGCGCTCCAACTCAGATGTATATTTGAGAGCTCATTTATTCTACTCGCGTCTATTCTTCTCTCCCTCTTCCTTCCTATCTGGTCATCGCTCTTTGATCCCGGATCGGGAGGTCGATCTTTGACGCGCTTTACTGTTGGAATATGTGACCATTTCAGTGTTACTACGACAGAACTCTCTCTCTCTCTCTCTCTCTCTCTCTCTCTCTCTCTCTCTCTCAATATTGATGAGTCGTCAGAAACTTGCTCCTCTCGTTGCCCAGATGTCCTGTGCATATTCGGCTGCTCTCTTCTGAAGAACCCAAGTCAGCGGAATGCAAAAGACGAGGAATATGTGCCCTCCTACGGTTTGATTGGAATTCTTGCTCAAGCTTTGGAGAAATTTAATTGGAACGGAGAATTCAGATGTTTTCATCGGAGGTTACCAAGATCCCTGATTCCAAGGTGACCCCGATGCCTCGCAACATGAGATCCTTATTGGAGTTGGCCGATCTCAACCGGACGCAATGCAATGATTCGAAGGCAGAGGCCACGGTGCCCAATAGTGGGCTGTCTTTTTTCTTTAGAAAGAGATGAAAGCTTACTGGGAAGATTGATCGAGCGGAACATGTCGGACATACTGCAGATTCTCCAATCTCTCTGCATTTGAGAACCTTTTGGCGATCTGATTGAGGAGATACATACCTCACGAGGGCTCTACGGTGGTGTAGAATGGTGGGGTTGTGGAAGTGAATGTGGTGGTTTAACTCGTTAGAGGTGGCTGTATTTTATCTCCCTTATGCTAGGCTTCTAACATGCGTCCTCTTTAAGCCTCAGTCTTGCTCCCCCCGAATATTTGCGCACTTGTGCGATTGTATGGAAGCTTCATACTTAGCCAAAGTGGTGGTTGACTTGTGGTATTACCTTTGTTGTTACTGATGCGCAGATAAGAGGCTCATGCTCTTTGAAAGGAGCGATGACTTACTGTTTGGCCATTGTCTTATGGGTGGAGGCAGGCTAAGAATTTGTCTTGTCAGTTTAGCTTCTTTCGCTTAGATGATCACTCATTGCCGGGCCCAGGTCAATGCCAACTGATCCATGGTGTGAAAAGATGATGGTGGTGGGTAAGGGCAGGAAAATATTTGGCATGGTCTGGAATTCCCCCTCCATTCATGTAAAACCAGTTTGGGCGACGGTGATATTTGGAATACTTTGCTGAACATTGTTGTCTACAATGTTTTCTTGACTATTCCATTTGATATTGTCGCATGTTCTAGTGATTGGATATTATGGTGCAGCATTGTGATGTAACGAAAGCGCAGAAGGTTATTTGGAGGTGGTAGAATTTGCTATATTACAGGTTGAAAGACTATGACAGACTATTAAAATTGATATATATATATATATATATATATATTAAAAAATATATGTAAACTTTCACGATTGTCTAAGTTACATGAATCTAGGTTTTGATTCTTAATAGTTCCCGGATTAAACGTGTATGCCATCTAGTGTGGAAGTGGAGTTACTGCATTAATATTTGTTCTTCAACCAGTTGTCTATCTTGTTCTCGTCCATGGATACGAAATATGACACTACACAATGCATGGTATTTTTTCTGTCCATTTTTGTCCTTGTCCTTACATTTGATGCATTGACTTGTTTATCTTTGTAGATTGCAATTTATAAATTAGTGAGTAGTCATTTCTCATGTGCAGTCATCTGGAAGGCAAGAGTGCTGAAAATCTTAACAAGTTGTAGGGCGGGAGGCTATTTTAAAAAATATTTTTCAATAACGCATAAACAAGAGAAATCTGAGACAGCTGATGAAGAGAATGCAATGAAGATTTGTCAATGGATAAAAAGCAGAGACATAGAAAGATGGGTAGAAACAATCCTAAACGTAAAAAGATCCGAGAAATGGAGGTTTTAATGTCTCTGCTAGTCTTTAAAGAAATAATTAGATTGTTGTTTTAAGTTCCACCATTTTTTCAGATGGTGGAACTTAAAACATCAATCTAATTACACTTTAAATAAAATATTAAGTGAAAATGTCTGTTAAGCTAAAAAAATACTAAAAATACCTTGTATGGACAACCCAGCTCCACGCTCGTTGATATGATGAACATAGACACTCTGGGGATGAATTTGCAATTTACCTTGTTCTGTTCTTTATCATAGCATATTTTGTAATATCTGATGACCCCTCATATTTCCTCTTTTTAGGACTCTTTTGAGATCCCTCGAGGACAGCCCTCAAGGGATCAAGACATAGAGATGGGTGTTCAAGTGTCGGCGAATTCTGCTGAACAAGGATTGGAAAGTTTTTTCAAACAGGTAGATATTTCTAAGAGGTTCAAATGTAGAATTACACCAACCAATATTGAATCATATGTCCACATTCTTGGGATACCTTTTCGGTGATATCATTTTTGATGCTCTAATTTTTCTTGATAGGTTCAAGATATTGAAAAGCAGATCGTCAAGCTTTCGAAGTTATTGAAAAAGCTGCAAGTATGTATGCCCATTTTTTTTGGCTTATTTCGTTGTTTTACTTAAAGGCATTTCTAAGTATATTCTTATGTCTCATGTAACCTGGGACATCTGTTTACTGCCTGGTAATGCCTGCATCGTGCTATATCGAAAATGTGAAGTTTGTAATTTCCTCTGTTGTACCCAGATCTCATGCACAAGCAGGGACAGAGATAGAGTGAGAGCTTTGTGTTAGAACAGGCTCATTTGCTGAACGTGTCTCATTTAAACACGAATTGGGGACTTAAGTGCCTTCTCAAGTTTTCTGTAATGTGCGTGTTTCATTGTTTTCATGAATTGGATATGAGATGCAAAAAATTCTTAAGAGATGCTGCAGCAGTTGTGACAAAATTATTGTAAAATTATGTAATAAATGAGTTCACCTTGGTCTTTTCAAGTTGGATACTTAAGAAGTAGAACATAAAGTGTAACAGGCCGCTTTTTTTTTTGGCTTTGCTTCAACTAATCTCCATTTCTTCTCATGTATTTTGGTCTTCATTTGCCAGTTCTTACATCAGACAACAAAAGTGGTACACATTAATGTAGAAATGTGATAATAAATTCGAAAGATGGAAAGAGAAGGATTTAATAGGCATGAAATGACTAGTACAACTTAGTCTGTCTTTCATTCGTAATTGATAAGAATCTCCTTCAGGAGGCGTCTAATACAATATTTCCCGGGTTAGATTTGAACTTCCTTGGCTTCTTCTTGATACCTGGGCTGTCGCAAAAGTCAGCATTTATATATGTTTAATACAGTTTTATGCTTCACAATTGGTCTCATAATATGGGTACCTAGTAATCTGATACCGAGGGTTCTATCATGGGTAGTGGTCTTTGTATCGACCTGGGCACCTTTGAAAGGCAAGTCACAAAGGCATTGGATTACTGGGTCTCCGCAATCCCACCCAACCCCACCCCAAGCCTCCCGCCAAAGGAAAAAAGTATGGTTTTGACTGGGTAGCCATGTCCTGTTGTAGAATAACCCCTTCTCTATCCTTCTTCTACACTGACCTTGACCACTCTAGCTGTGCAGCCATGTCCTGTTGTAGAATGCCAACCGAAGAAGGTAAGAAGAGAAAATATTTCAATGTCATCTGCCTGACGTGCTATGCACTTTGTCATATTTCGTGGCCGTCAATTCCGTATTATTGATGTTACTGTCTATTTCTTTGTAGACTCCTCTGCATATATAAAAGATCAGTGTAAAAATTACTGCTCTACTCTACTATGATTTCAACTTGGTGGATATTCTTCCTGTCTCTAAAGACACAATTTCATGCAGGATGCAAATGAGGAATCAAAAGCTGTAACAAAAGCATCAGTTATGAAAGGTGCTTTCTGGAATTATTTTATTCTTTCCCTGGCTGGATCATTACCATGGTTTGATACGGTTCTAATCTATTTTATATTTCAGCAATCAAACAGCGGATGGAGAAAGATATTGATGAAGTGGGGAAAATTGCACGTATAGCGAAATCAAAAATCGAGGAACTGGATAAAGATGTATGCTATTATCTCCCCTTTTTAGCTTACCCTATCCTCAACTGAAGAGGGGAAAAAAAAATATGACATTTGTTTTCCCGAAAAAGATTTTGGTTGATGCTTTTCATTGTCTTTTCTGCCTTCTTCTGTCTGAAAACATCCACAAGTTTCATGTTGGCATATTAGCTTCCAAGGAAAATGCGTGCTTTGCTTTTCCTGTTTCAATTGCTATCAAAATCTGGTATGCATGTTGTTATTCAGATAAGTTTTGTCATTTTTCTGCATTTTTTGTGGGTTCCTGGAAGAGGAAAGAGTGATTCTCCTTTAACAACTATTGAATCTTCTTGGTTATCTTTCCACATATTTAAATCTTTTGAAGCTTTCACTTTTCACTTTTGATTTTTTTTGTCTTAAGACTTTCTCTTAGATTTTTATTTTCTTTCATTTCCTTAATTTCTGCTACGCTTACCTTCAGCATTTGGTCACTTTTAAGGTCATTAGCATACTTTCTATTCACTGCAGGAAAGAACTTCGGAATAATCCAAAAGCAATTCAATGTACAAAATGCATATTTTCTTGAAGAATTTAAGCATTAATTTCTTTGCACTGCCTTTGCATTCTTTTCCCCAAGTTCATCTCGTAAGTAAGTGGCTTTCTTTCTCTGGAACAGAATTTGCAGAGCAGACAGAAACCAGGATGTGGAAAGGGATCAGGGGTGGATCGATCAAGAACTTCCACAACTGTGTAATTTATCTCTCTTTCAACGTGGATTTGAATCTTTACTTTCTATGTGGATTTGAATTTATTTCTCATATGTCTCATTAAATTCGTTGGATGCAGTGCACTAAAAAAGAAGTTGAAAGACAAAATGTCTGAATTCCAGGTAATGATCCATTACTCCACTCTACCTCGACAAAATTGAGTTATCTTTTACTATGAACCAAAGATCCTCCTTTCAAGCTCAAGAAGGGCGAAATTGCAAAGGTGAACGTCAACTTTAACAAGCAAGAATCACTAGTAGGCGTCCACAATAACTCTTAAAAGGGAATGTAGAAAAATGGAGATAGAGCTTCGCTATTAATTGTTTTTATTCTCATAATTTTTTTCATCAGGTTTTAGGCTGTACCGTTAATTATTAGCACACCGGAAATTGAAATTTATGCACAACAAGCAGAAAAATATAGTGTTCTGTGAAGTCGAACATAAACAGGACCATGATTTGACCAGGTATGGTTAAATTTTCTGTGAGCTGATTATTATAGTTGAGGAGAATTCAGTGGGAAGTGAGAGAATGGAAGTAATAAACAGATAATGCGGATAGCTCTGCACATTGAACCTAGGACATGGCACTCTTACAGTATCTGAGGTATTTTTTCCTTTGCGGATTTTAGTTTACTTCAAAAAAATTCGAAGTGCTTATTTTGTCCCATGTTCAATGCCATGGGAATGTAAGAGTCTACAAATGAGAGCAGACAAGGTGGGAGCTTTTGCTTTGCGAGAATTTGAGTGGTTGCATTCTTTACTCAAAAGCAATACGGAATATGATTCCAATATCTTTGGTAGCTTTACATTACTTCTTCAAGGTCTAAAAACTGGGTATTTCAAGAGGCTACATGTGGTTCATATGTCCTTTCATGGGCAGTTTGATTCAAATGAAATGGCACGAGTTAGCCTGACCTTGTTGAAATCACTTTTTAATAAGTCCATGGACGGAAATACACTCCTGTCTTATTATTCTGTGGCATATTTCTAGATCCTTTTTTTTTGTCTTATTGTGTCCATTTTTCGCAATCAGCAGTTCAAGCCTATTGTGTAATTTTCTCTCTGTCTATGAATCAATTACTTGTTCAAAGATGTCAGTGTCGTGGGGGTCCATCTAAGCATACCTGCTTTTAACCCTCTTGTGCGGGCCTTGGCCATTGTTCTGCCGATACCGAGCAGCCTTTGATCACGTGGAAGCACTTCTCTGCAAGTGTACTCCTCAGTGAGCAAAAAAGAGTGCTTCTACTAGAGAAGGCTGCTTAGTGTCGATTGAGGACATCCAAGGCCGGCACAGGTGGAGCAAGCAAGTTAATCTTCTTAGACTGACCAGCTTATGGCAATCAACTTTTGATAGCTAAGTTCTTTATTTCATACTTGGTTAATGTTCTGGTGATTCTATTGCTAGAACCTTGATAATTGTAAAAAGAACAGTATCTTTTCATACCTAAAACACTGGCAACAGTTACTAGGACTCATCGTTGGGAGTAATAATAAGATTGAATGGACTGGAGAGATGGTTTTTTTCGGATTATCGAAGTCACACTAGCACTCGTTCTCATGTCTTTTTCGTCCTCTGCAGACACTTAGGGAAAACATCCAGCAAGAATATCGTGAAGTTGTGGAGAGGAGGGTCTTTACAGGTTCTTTCTACTCTCAGCTATGAAACAAAGAATGCCAAGACAACTATCACCAGAAATCTCTCATATCCTTTTTAGCTAATGCCCTTATCATGTTTTGTCTTCTTGATTTCCCATATGAACAGTAACGGGTAATCGTCCTGATGAGGAGGTGAGTGATAGCTGGTTGAAAATGTTAGAATTTGGTTGCACCGTCCTTGTTCCTTCTTTTCACTATGGCTCATCATCTTTCATGTCGGGCTTGCGTGCAGACCATTGATCTTCTGATTGAGACGGGCAATAGCGAACAGATTTTTCAGAAAGCAATTCAGGAGCAAGGACGTGGCCAGGTTTGTTGTTTTCCTTCGTCCTATTTTTCCCGTTTTGCCTTTTTCTTATCGGTACACCCTACGGTAGTAGTTGCTATATCTTCAATCCTGCGTGAAGGAACCCTAGTAACAGAGTGGAGGAACGATTCTCAACGTTGCAGGTATTGGACACACTTGCAGAGATTCAAGAGCGTCACGATGCTGTGAGAGAGATAGAGAGGAGGCTCCTCGAGCTGCAGCAGGTATCTCCCCTAAACACCATAAATCCTGGAAGCATGTATCGATATTCTTCCAAAAAGCTTTATTTTAAAAGCTAGAAGTGAATGGGTACAGCATAGTGTGTCCTCATAGGGAAATCAACTGTGCCCCATTTATGGTACTACTCAAGAGGTGAGTATGTCTTTTTCTGTAGATTTTCCTGGACATGTCAGTCATGGTGGAGGCCCAGGGCGACTTGCTCAACAACATTGAGTCCCAGGTAATCCATGAGCTGATGAATGGCCGCATTTGATTTCTCTGATTCGTAATTATTTCGGGAAAACAAAAAAAAATGATGTAACACCGGAGGCTTCTTGGACAGTGAGGGCAATGAGTTATGCTTCAATGTGGGCTTCACCGGAGGTTTCCTCCTTTTCTTTCCTCCCCACAGGTTTCGAGCGCCGTGGATCACGTGCAGTCGGGGACAACTGCGCTCCAGAAGGCGAAGAGACTGCAGAAGAACTCTCGGAAGTGGATGTGCATGGCGATAATCCTCCTCCTCATAATTGTCGCCATCATCGTCGTGGCAGTGATCAAACCATGGGCTAGCAACAAATAAACTGGACTTTTGCGTCATCCCCGTTATTTCGCTTAGTCCATTCAGTTTGCAGTGCCCTCTCTCTCTCTCTCTCTCTCTCTCTCTCTCTCTCTCTCTCTCTCTCTCTCTTAAGTGGTGTGCTTGGAGGGTGGGAGAGCTCTGGCTTTCTGTATAGGCCAGACGGATGTGGTGGGACTTGCATGAGGGTTGTAACTCGGATCCGTTATGAATGAACATGTGGTGATTTTATTTGTGTAATGTCGTAGAATGCCAGATTGTCGATGCTTCCTTCTGGGTTTCTGATGCTCCTGAGGGAATGCTACCAGCCAGCAAGGTCATAGGTCTTCGCTGGATGGGTTCCTTCGATGAACGAGAGCAAGTTTATTTCTCCTTGAAAGAAGTTCCTCGAGGGTCGTACGATACTGGCCAAGCGAAGATCTGGGGTAGGACGAAGAGGAAGAAGCTCCCCAGTGGGAGATGAATAGAAGGAATACGTGGCTAATTCATGCACTGTTCGCCCCCGAGGAAATTTTCCGCTGTCTGAATGTGGTCGTCGTATATGTGTTGAAAGGACTTATAATAATACATTTTTAAAATATGCTTTTTATGACTTCGCTGCCCGCCCTTCCCCTCCGCTCGTTTGCACGCGGGGCTTTTTCCACGGGCACTGGTTCCTTGCGGCTCCTTGTTCCTCCTCGGGGGAGAGTTGGGGAGGCGGGCTTTGTCCTCTTCCTATTTATAGCGAGCGACCAGGGCTGGCGCGGCAGCGACGCGGGGTTTCACCGCCTAACTGTGCCTGCGCCTTGTCCTCCTGTAGGCGACTGCCCGGGGGAGTGCGAGTGGTGGCGTGAGGAGAGGGGACTGAGGAGAGGAGTTCCCGTTGGAGTTGACTCGATAGATAGGAAGGGGATAACCGAGAGGTGGGGAGAGGGAACAGGGAGATAGAAGACGATCCAAGCATGCAGCCGCAGCAGCAGCAGCCGCACCCCGCCATGTCCGGGTCGGTGCCCTCCCACTTTCCTCTAGCCAGCATCACCACCGAACAAATCCAGAAGGTCCGTGGGGGGTTCAGACGGTCGGGCCCGTCGCGACCCTCTTTGATGCTACACGCTTCCTAGTTCCCTCTATTAGTCATTTTGATTTACGTTTTGCCTTCCTTATTGTACCGTGCTGAGCATTTTCTTGGGACAAAATTTACTCTTCTGAGGTTTCATTGACGAGAGAACGCTTCCACAGTGCGATATCCCAACTGTAACGATGCTCTCTTTAGTTGCATCATCTGCGATCATGTATCCGACATTCATTTGGATAGATAGTATGGAAAGAGAAAAGGTAGCAGAAAGCATAAAACTGTGAATGGCACAAGAACGTAAGGAGGGTGGAGATGAGTTTTTCTTCTTAGGCTTTACCTTGTTGATTTCATTTCGTTTCGAAGAACCATGGATTCATGAGTACATGATAACTTTAGTGTTCTTTAAGAATGAATCAATTGAAAACTAAACATCACATCTATTGTTTGATAGTTTCAAAGAAGCTTTTGACTGCCCAATTCCTGTTCAGTGCCAAAATCCATATTTGTAGCTGTCTGCCCCCCAAGGATCCTTTTCGATGGTTTACACGTTTTTTAGCAAGTGGATGTATCTCCCAAGACACCTTATTTCTCAGACACTCTTCGCTACTCAGGCTTGGAATTGCTTGACTTAACCTCCCATGAGTTTCGAGGTTGCCTCATTCAATCTGGACTATCAAGGCACGCTTTGATGTTCCCATTTCAATCTCACACGTAATGGATGTAGACTGGTTGTTCATCATGTCTGCTGCTACCTTATTTGGATATTGTCAAAGATTTGGTAGCCTTCATATCAAGTTTGAGCTTAAACAGCACATATATCTGTCAAACAGAACGAACAGAAATAGAATCAGATCGATTCCCGAAATGCCTTTTTGGATCTTCCTCAATGTCCACTTGACAGATTGTCAAAAGATATGACTTGAAAAAAAGGTTTGTTTGATGGCAGAAACTTTTTCTGCGAAAGAAATTATTGTAAATGTTTTATGTTAGCCAGTAGACGTTTATCAGATTATTTGGATTATGAAATTCATAAATTTTCTAGTCTTTTTTCATCTAATGATCCCCTTATTTTTGTAGCCACAGTAATATGTATACTGAGACATATATCTAGATCTTCCTACATATGTAATGCCTCAGTATATTTAGAATACAAACATTTGTTTTTTTATGCTATTGAGCGAGGGGATAGGAAGCACACCCCCATATTTCAAATTTTATCCAACAGTGCTTTAGACTACATTAGATGATAAAAAAAATTGAAGATTGAGAGGCGAGTGACTATTTACTCATATGCCAAGGATCAAGAGAGCAATGTACTTCATTTCCTCGTAAAAATTATTTATTTAGTGAATTAAGTGATGTCTTTCTTGTTTACCTCTATTTTTGTATTCCATCTGAGTGGCTTGTTTTGTTGTATACTTATTTGATGAAATATCTTATATAACCCACCAATGAACCTGCCAAAAATACAAGGAACATCAATCAACCCTTCAAAAGAGTTGTTAGATCCATATGTATCTGAATCGTGTGCCATCTACAAGTCAGAAAATTGCACTCTCATTGGATACAGATTCCAGGGTTATCATGCTCATACTTGAGTTTCTTTACTGGCATGCTGTTCTTCTTCACTGGTTGCATTCCGTCTACACATATTTGGTTGCCCGTAAGAGATGGCAAACTGAATTGGAAGGAATTTTTTTCCATATTTCAATGGAACAATGGGGGCACGAATTAGACTTATGCATTCTGGGATTTAAGCCTTCTCAAAAAGTGTCTTATTAAGGTGAGAACATTAGGCGAAGGTTAAGATAGAAAAAGATAATAAAGACCGTTATTCATGCATGGTGCTTTTGCCCGTTCTCTCATTTTTCCGTAAATAACAGTTTTTCTGCTTTCTAAGTTTTGTATAAAATCAAGGGTAAGATTTGATTGTGAGTGAGAAAGACCAAGGTGAGGTCAAACAAAAATTGGCATGTGCTGCCTGCAAGGTCTTGTTGTAAGAGGCTCAAAATGAGCCCTTTCTTGTTAAGGAAGGTTTGGTTTTCCTGAATCCGGGTTATGGATGATAATATTATTTTAAGCAAAAACTATGGTATCTTATGTGGTAAGATGTGGCCGCGTGATGAACTTCTCCCAGGACCCTGTAAGCCATATTCATTAAGTTTTGGGAAAGGCAATGAAATGAAATATTTTCTTACTGGCAGCAAGTTCAAAAATCCTTTCTGACTACGATCTCACTTAATGGCTTTTTATGAAGGCGATATGATCACAAATCATTTGCTTAAAAGGAGTGTCGTAACTGCTTTTGTTCACAAACGTTCATTTTAAGTTATCAGTTGCATAATATTCTCCCAAATGTAAATGACTGTCATTGCATTCATTGTGGAAATGAAGCATGGGGATATTCCTTTGGACAGCAAATTCATTGATCCCTGTCCAATTTATAGAGGAGAGAAGATGATGCTGAAGTATAAATATATGTTTGCGTGTTTGGTCTTGTTTTTTCTTTTATATAGTTTTCTTCATCATACCTTCGGTCTTTTCTTCACGCTTTCTTGTATATATCCTGTCATGTTTGGCTTCCTAACGAGGGTGTTTATCCATATTTCTTCTTTATGCAGTACTTAGATGAAAATAAGCAGCTGATTCTGGCAATTTTGGATAACCAGAACTTAGGAAAACTATCTGAATGCGCACAGTAAGTGACTGCTAAAACTCCGTGCATGGAGTGTGTGTTCTTAAGATGGTTTTCGAATTGTTCAGCATCTACTGTTTTGAAAATCATTCGTTGGTTTTATACTTAATGCAAATTCTAGTAAACAATATGTTTGGAGAAGTCTAAGTGGAGAGAACATGTACTTAGTTCATGTTGAAGTAAAATGTCCTGTAGATGATGAACTAAGTCCGAAGAAATGAATTCCTCTCTTATGATATCTGTGGATCTTATATTCTTGAACTTCATAGTCCATTTTGATTCCATGATTTGTTCTCAATACCTTGCAAGAAAAAATTTCGTCCACTGATGTCAAAAGGAAGCGTGCGAAAGAAATTAGTTAGGGTTGTTTTTTAATCTTTGCTTGTGAGGTGGGATTGCTAAGATGGAGAGCTGTGCAAAGATACCTGTTGTCTTGGATACTTGTTGCCTTTGTATTCAACACTGCTCCTCAAGAAGCCATTCAGCTGCCTAATGTGAGAGAATGTGATTATCAACAAGGGGAAGGTTAGCCAGACAAGTGCAACAAAAAATGTGTAGACAAAACAACGTCTTGAGATATGTTGGTAGGGACACCTGTGTGAAGGCCAGTTCGATGCTCGACTATGTGGATTGGCTCAGTTGTCATGCTACCGTTAGGTCATGTGATTTTTGGACGAAAGTCTGTGATGAGATGATTTCATCCTAAAACTGTTCGATTATTTTGATGATCGGATGAAAGCTGCTATGATTTTCACAGTATCTGTGCGGGATAATTGACTCTCAGCTTTTGTAGTGTGTCGTTGTTGACATGACTCTAGTGAGGATCTGATAAACATGCCCCAATGCTGAATGACAAGAAAATTGAGATCATCAATGGAGGTAAAAACCTTGTCAAAGTGGAAACCCAGACAAGATTCACATGCAGACAGACAACCTGGTTTGGACGATGACTTTGCTGAAGATTGTGAAGTAGGGTTGGTGTTCATCCCTATCCCTATCTACTTCTTTACAGACAAAGGAAAACCTTTGCACTTCTTCTGTACAAAGATCGTTGGCTCATTCCTTTACATGATTACAAATGGATCAGATGACCTGCCCTGGATCCTGCTACTTTGCTAAACCATCTGTTCTTCCTTGCCTGCATTTGGCATGCACCATGAATGCTCAGCCACCAAACTCATTAGTCTTTTCGTTTTCTGCCACCTCTCCTACTCGAGGATCAACGCTTCTGCAATGAAATCTTACAGTGCCTGAATCAGAGGCCATATTCTATACAGGTGTTTCTTTCTTGCATACCCTCAAGAGATATGTTGTCCTAGAACCATGCCAGCTGATCAGATTTGAATTAGGTATGCATTTTTTTCCCTACCAATATTAGAACCTTATACATACGATGTATAGACTGTTTTCATATGCACCATTTGTTGTAAACTGATTGCCTAGAATCGACTGAAAATCTGCCATCCATCTCCCATTTCTGCTTGAAACTTCATGTCTATTTGTGTATGATATCTGAAAACTGAAGAGGAGTCAAGGGAAATATCCTGCAAAGATGTGATCTACAGAATAGTTCACATCCTATGGGTGACTAGTACCTTGACACACTGATAACGTATGGTTTTTTACAGCGGAATATGTTAACTAGAGCCTAATCCATGTCCAAGCATCTCGGTACGTGGTTCTGATGTCCCTTAAAGGCTTGCTGTTGGTGTAATCTTGACGCCAACAGGTAGAGCTGGCTTGTCCGGATAATTGGAGTACATGCGATGAAAACACCTGAATTTAACTTAAATCTCTGATGAAGGAGGTCATTTCGTTCTTTCATGTTCTTAATGAAAGAAATCTTCGTTCAAATGGTACCGGGCATTGCATGCACAACTATGCCAATCTTAGGGCTGTAATTGGTAATGAATCACTAAGTTTTTTTGCAACCTTTAAAAATAAAATGGATACGACTTTTTAGTATTGATAGTGTGGCTTGCGTTGGTATTATCATCTGTCATGTGTGGATCTATCTATTCTCATTTGTGCTCATACAGATCCTGTCTTGTTTATTGTTTTTGGATCATTTCTCCAAAATTGATGGATTCGAATCAGGGATCAAGTTTTTTTGGAATCCCTTGATCTGTTTGTGAGGGGATCCATGTGGCATTGCATGTTTCAGAGATCAGATGCGAAACAATGGACTCCACACAAGTTAAATGGACTAGAATGAGAAAGACGTAATAAAAGCGTGCTGAATTCGTCTAGAATGGTTGAAAATTTTCCGTTGACAATGGGCTATCCACCCATGATTACGGAGAAATATTTTTATTTGATCTCTACTGCCAGGAGTCATTTGTTCATCATGTTTTGCCATGTATTTACACAGTTGAAGCGTACCCTTAACACTCACCGATGTAGAGGGTTTAATATTTGATCTGTGCTGTGTATCATTTTGATGATATTTTCCTCTGCGTATATATTTTTGGGTATTAACAAAGTGAGCTGCACGAGAAATCCTTGATGCAATGAGCACGGCGAAGAGAAAATCAAAGACAAAAAATCATCCCTCGTTTTGAGGAATCCATGTCAGCCACCATATATATATTTCGTGCTCTCTCCTACCCATCATTGGTTTCATACATTTATTCTGCTGTTCTTGTCATCCGGTGGAATGGACTTGTGATTTTTTACCGCGGTGGTGAAGGTACCAAGCCCAGCTTCAGAAGAATCTCTTGTATCTTGCAGCGATCGCTGATGCCCAGCCGCAGATCCCGGCTGTGCGAGCTCAGGTCAGCTGCGCTTCTTTTATCTTATGCTCCTCGTCTGTCGTATGCACGCATTTATCGCTCTTCATTCACGCAGACGCTTCCTCATCCGGGAATGCAACAGGCGCAGACGGGGACGCCATACATGCAGCAGCAGCCCGTCTTCTCTCCTAGGCCGCCGTCCGCCATGCCCTTCAACCCGGTGCAGCAGATGCAGCTGTCTCAGCCTCAGTTCCATCGGCCGCCGCAGCTTGTTCCGATGGATACGAGGCAGGGGATCGACAATGGCGAGGCGAGTCTCGGGATGAGCAGCGGTGGCTCTGCGCGTGCCTCGGCGGAAGAGCGTGGGGGCGGGGGCGGGGACCGGGAGCAGCCACCGCCGTCGTCTTCGTCGCTGCAGAAGGTCTCGTAGGGCGGAGCACACCCAGATGATAGTATGAGACCTGTTACTGTCGCCGACCCGATGAGGGCCGAGAAGCATCCTATTCGCCTGTTATTACCTGATTCTATCCCCGCGTCTCGTTGTTGCACGTCCGAACGAAGAAGATGCGTGATGAATGAATGGAAGAACCAGCCATGATGAGCTCGAGCAGCGAGCAAGCACGTCCTCGCGGCCTCCGTCTCTTTTCAACTCTGATGTCCCCAAGGTCGCTCCATTCCGGCCCATCTAGCTAAGGAGCCTTCTTCCTCTCTCTCTCCCTCTCTCTCTCACTGGTCTGGTTACGGGCCCACATGATCCGTCCCCTTCGCGAGCCGAACTAGCCATTAAATTACATGCGAGATCGGTCGTCTATGCTTTGGGTGCAGACCCGGAAGATAATAAGAAGAGAGGAGGGGGTTGGATTTGCCGCAGTGGTCATCGCTGCTTGTGAGATTTTCCTTCGGCAGGCAAGGGTGAGCAGCGAGAAATGCCGGCTGCGGTGGTGCCTGCCCTACTTTCTCGAGGTGGCAGCGGGGCATTCGTCCTCTCATCCGCCTTTTCACGGCGGAGGTCTCCGGCCCTCCCTGCCGCCGCCTTATACCCCTTCGCCCGACCCCTGAGCGCCCTTCTCTTCCCCTCTCGCCCCTGCGGAAGGAGGGACCTTCAGATTCGCTGCATGGCCTCGTCCCCGGAGGAGACTGCCTCCTCCTCTGGGGGCACTATATTGGCCGTCGAGGAAGGCGCCGCCGCCGCTCCTCTGGCCGCCGACCCGGCAAGGGAGGCGGCTGGGCTGCTCGACATCCGGGTGGGCCGGGTGCTGCGGGCATGGCGCCACCCGGAGGCCGAGTCCCTCTTCGTGGAGGAGGTGGACGTGGGTGAGGCGGAGCCCCGGACCATCTGCAGCGGCCTGGTGGGGTACGTTCCCTTGGAGGCCATGCAGGATGCGCGCGTGTTAGTGCTCGCCAACCTCAAACCCCGCAACATGCGCGGGATCAAGTCCAACGGGATGCTACTGGCCGCCTCCGACGAGGCGCACGAGAAGGTGGAGCTGCTGGTGGCCCAGGAGGGGACCGTCCCCGGGGAGAGAGTCTGGTTCGGCGCTGAGGATGACAAGGATCGGCAGCCGGAGCCCGCGACGCCCAACCAGGTAGGTCTCTTCCTCGGAAGCCATGAGACCGCAATTTCCTCTTTTGATTTGTCTGTGATGATGAACCTGGAAGGACAATCTCAATCTGTAGAAACTCTAGAATTAAACTAAGAGACTCCAGTCCAATTCATGCTATGTAGTAGTCCCCCGAGAATCAAATAGCTCTGTAAGTAGCTTGGGATGTTCAATAATTATCTAACCGATTCGGCCAGACCCAATTTTTTAATCCAGAAACTCTCCTTACTTCGTCGATATGATCAAGAACAGGGCCAGAGTCGGCCCTAGCTCATCAGCCATCTTACCCGTTCTGCCTTTTCCAATATTTGAGGGGGGAAAAAAGAAGCATGGATCATTACCATCTAAACTTCCGTGCTTCGTAACCCGACGGTCACCATCTATACAGCAATAAGCTTGGATCATTACCCGGTGATTGTTCATCCTCATGAATCACGGTGTCGGTCGAACATAAGGGTTTTCAGATGACGATGCCATCCATGGTCCCATCACTGTGGAAGATTATTTCAATCTGTCACCTATTGCTGGGCAATTCGAAACCCTTTGGAAACTCGGCGTGTTTGGTAGTCTGTGGAAGCCCAGTATTGGAACACAATGGACATGGTCTGATTCTTCGATAAGGGAAAAATGGCTTTAACAAATGAGCATATACAGCTTCTGATGATGCGATTTAACTGGATCCGCCTACCGAACATGATATTTCTTTTAGATCAGGAAGTCTGTAGGACCTCTATCATGTTCTTCCCCCTCCCAAGAGGAAAAGAAATACTTGTTTGATTAGTCCAGGGACAACCTTTCTTCCCTGGTAATCATTCATTAGTGTAGGTCATAAATTCCGATCACACAAAATTGAATAATTCTTGTGTTATGCACCCATGCGATGGAATCGAATGCCATACTAGGTGTCTAAATCAGGAAGCTGTTACTTCAATCTGGACGGGCTTCTTAGTTCAAAGATTTGGAGTGGCGCATCCAGCATCGGTCAGTCAGCGCTAGTCCATCTGATCAATCTCCCAGCGAAGGCCTTAGTCTTTTTCCTGAGGCGCAATCAGACCTTTCCGTTGATAAACAGGTCACAGTAGAAAGCATTCCCTTGTGAACACAGAGGGAGTGGAAACCGTTCACATCTTGCTGCCCTCCCGTCCCCTTTACTCTTAGAAACGTCAGCTTACCCGTCAAACACGAAGAGAGTTCTTTTGGTTTCCTTTTCCTTCATCTTCTGGCCCTACGATTGTTAATATTCATGTTAATATATGCGTTTTCGTGTGGGTGACTCCATGGGGACGTGTGTATCAGGTTCAGAAGAAGAAGATTTGGGAATCGGTGCAGGCGCAGCTCAAGACGAACGAGGAATACGTAGCCGTGCTGGGAGAGCTGCCTATGCTGACGTCACAAGGCCCCGTAGTGTGCGCTTCCCTGAAGAACGCCAGAATATCTTGATCAGCATCCCCCGACATTCGATCTCTGTTTTTAGAGAGAGAGAGAGACACAGAGAGAGAAACCGTGGGCGGGTCAGCTCCTAGACCCGCAAGCAAGTCCGAGCACAATGGGTTGCCAATCAAGCTCTCGTGCTGAAAAAAATCCGTCATTTATTGGACTCCCGTGAACCAGGAACATGCGTGTACATGGACAAGAGTACACAACACAACTGCGATAATCATGAGAGCACTATTGCGTATGAACTGGGCGAGAGAGGCAGAGGGAGAGGGAGAGAAGTATGTATTTTCAGGCTATCATATGGAGTTCTCGGGGGGCTGGGGGTGGTAAGATCGCCGCCGGAGCTGTGATTCCACTGTCGGCTGCTGCAAGAAAATCTTCGACGGGTCACTCGGATCAACGTACCTGCGCCAACAGAGTCAAGTTTGCTACCAGTTTAGTCGGGGGAGGTGACCAGAGACATGAGTTTCTTTATTCTAGGGGGGAGGTGGTGACACTTACGCATGCCTCATCATGTCATCGACTGGCCTCGCCGAGGCCTGGAGGGGATCCACACGAGTGGTGGCCGCATCGGCCGCCTGCGCCGCCGCTGCAAACTGGCTGTACTGCCTGGCCGACGCAATCAGGTTCAGGAAGAGTGGCACGAAGGTTCCACAGCCGCCCTCCTTGAACAAGATCTTCACGGTGTGGGTGGAGTAGAGGACTCTGGGCTGGCCATCAGGCACGACCTGAAACCAAGCAGTCGTACAAACACCAGAAAGGCAAACTTATAAGCATAGTAGATAGTAGAAAGTCAACTCCCTCGCCATGCTCCAACAGTGATTGATCAAAAGACTATTATACTCACAGGCTCCACAAAAGCAGAGATGTTGTTGCAGAAGAATATTGGCTGGTTGAACTTTTCTCCATGTACAAATAGCTGCCATAAGGGAGACTCTTGCGGATCAGATACGGCTACAGGCAGCCAGAAAGACCTAGAATGTCGATATTCTCCAGAGATATGTTTTTTTGCCATTATGGGATAAAAAATAAAGGAAAGTGAGGCTCCGAAACATCAGTTCCGAATGAGGGTTTCAGCACCACTCTGCTGAAAGTTCTTCATTTTATTCAACCCATCCAGAAAACAAAGCACTGATCAAACAAATGATTCTTACATAAGGCCCTCAGAAAAAGAAAAATCTGAAGCCTCGTGCCCTTGGACCACAAAACAGATCATTACACAAGGACAACTCGTGCATAGAAAAGGAAATAACAACAGGAGCTCCTCCACAGACAGGGAACAAACCCTATTTTTACCAGTCCGATCTTAAATTCAGGAAAGGCTACTCATAAGATTCCCAAACTGAAAACCTAAGAACCAAAAAATGAAATGAATATCCGAATCTTCTACTAAAACAAAAATCTCGAAAGAAAATTTAAGTCATGAATGAACTGACTGAGGACTGGATTTAATGGGTCGACTCAGCAACATAATTTGGTCATCTTTGCATGTGATTAGGGGCCTGGTGGACTTCATCAACGAATATTCATGTTTTTGGAGCAGGGAAGGGGAGTCCAAATATACAAACCTGAAAAATTAACTATGGAGTACTTGATGGTCCGTGCCCTCACTGTTCTTACAGAATCTGCCACATTTTCTCAGTTTAAAAAGTCTTAGCTTTAGCGAACTTTCTCTGGCCAAACTACAAGAAAAGTAGAAATTGATGAATCGAATGGTTTGGTGCAGATGTGACCCAGGTCGATCAACTCCATGTCTTTCAGTCCGTTGAATATTTTTTTTCTAGAAGAACGAAACTAGTAAATCTATGTCTACATTCGTCCATAGATAATGTGATGCTACATTCTTTCTAGTAACACAAGCTTAATAGAACTTTTATGGGTACAAAATTAGGAGCTTCACTGTACTTGGATCCGTCATCCGTGCTAGGATTCTTGCTGTATAACCCTTCCAAGACAATTTTCCCCGCAGTAAGAATATGCATGGAACACTAGCATCCATAAAGATACAATTTCACGACTTTGGATGTTGCAGGATAAGAAGAAATGCAAAGCCCAAGTCCTTCACACAGCACATGTGCAGTAAGGGTTTGTCTTAACAGAAAAGATAAATTTGATTTGTTAGACATCAGCAATCACAAGGGATCAGCTCATAAATAGAAATTACTGCAGGCAAATTTATCCACCAAATAAACTATATTCATACCAAGGGCATATCAAAAGCCACGAATCCCCCAACAGGTTTGCTGGCAACGAACACCATTCGTATATTTGACAAGAAGACTGTCCCTCTTGCTTTGACTTCCCCTCCATGACCTCTAAGAGGAGAATAAGCACGTAATTGAGAAAAAATAAGACAAAATGTATTCAGAACTCGAGATAAATTTGGGACTGCATTAGCAAACAAATCGATTTCGTCTGGAATGAGAAATTCGGCAGACTTCGGGGTTGACATCAATCGGGGAATCATGTTCCTAGCGCTAGAGAGTGGTATGGGGAACCCTCTTGTCATCCTTCCATGTTTGTAGCACATGCACGTCTAGACAGGAAATCCGGTTGTTTTGCCAATTTCCTCGTGGGTAATCGTATACAAGGTCGAGTCACCGTGAAATATTGAGTCCAGAAAAACCCTAAAAACGGCAAGGAATAAAGTTTTGAAGGGGGCAGCGGGGTGATCCTTACCCATCGAGGGGAACCTTATCGACCTCGAACTCGACGCCTTCTCTTGCGAGAACGAAGATCTCGTTGACGAAGGGCACGGGCATCGGGGTGTGCGGCAGCAACTGCGGGTTCAACGCCATTCGTTCCTCCCTGCGGAGATCTTCTCCTATCTTGGTCTCTTGCTTACCTCTGCGCACGTCCTCCCCCGCAGCAAGAATGGAGGGAGGTCAAAGGAAAACAGACGCGTATATAAACGCGTGGCACAGAGAGATAGGGCCGACAAGCGGAGTCTCCCGACGACACTAGATCGATGAGGCCCATTCTAGAAGACTCTAGGACCTCAACTCTCGCCGGGCCGGTCCGACGACCAGAAGCGCAAATAAATCGACTAAAAGAAACAAAAAATGAAAATAAATCATGTTAAGACGGAGGACCTCTAAAATACTTTTAATCTTAACACCCAACTCCCATAAGATCTCCAGAAGATATTAAACAGTTGTCAAACCATCACATCCTTCTTGGTTGATGTTTTACAAGCTTGCTAAAAGTTTATGTGCTGACCATGAGAACGTGTTTGAGCAAACTCTCAGCTGGGCTTATGAAATGATCATCTAGAATTTTGATTAAGGGATTTCCACACATGAATCATACTTGAAAATGGAAAACTGGATATGATTTCTATCAATGTTACAATCCTTTCGGTCATCTCTTGGTTAAAAGCCTCACCTAATCATTTTCTACTAGTAAATTGAGTATGTACCTTGACCATACATACTATCGTTATGTATTTTAATCTCGAATTTTAAATAACTTAAGATAAAAAACTCTCAAAATCATCCATGCAAAGTTTGTTGATGTGATCATCAAACTTTTTCTTGTTTGTTCTGCTCATCATTTAGCATACGCCTTCCTCTCCCCTACTCTTGTTTATCTTTTGAATTGTCCAGAATGGGCATTAAAAACATTTACTGGCCATTTCGAAAAGGGACTTGTTACAACAAGTCTTTTTGCCTCCATTGTCATTGGAATGCTGATTATGGAAGAATTCCGCTGACTTTAATCTATCAAGGAATGGAGAAAGAATGAGTGGATTTGATTCGTTCCACCTTCCACTTCTGTTTAACGAAACTGGATGCAATATAGCTTTCGCACGCAATCCACAAGCAGAGGGAATCATAATTTTTTTACCAACCGGAAGCAAGTAAAATATGAGATACCCGGCAGATGTTCTTCGCACCAAGAACAAGAACATTAAGGTTGAAGATTATCGCTGTGGGCTAGCTAGCCAAGGGATGGATCCATCGACTGTAGTCTGTTACTGGGTTGATCCGTTCGATGAAGATGGACCAGCCCATCCGTAACCTGTAGGCTGTTTTGTCCTGGCCGACGGGCATATAATCCTTTTCGAAGATCCGCCCTTTCCGGCTGCGACGATGGAGGCGGCGACGCGGTGGCGCTTCTCCCGCGTTGTGCCCTATCGCATGGTGAAGCGGGCAACTTTGGTGAACGCAAGGATCAAGTGGGTCAAGGACCCTGCGCTGGATGCTGTTGTCTCCCGCGAGCGCCACCTTCGCCCCGCCGTCGACCTCGTCCACGCCATCTACGCCTCCGCCACTGGCGGCGGCGGCGGTTGCGGCCGCGAGGGCGTCCCAGTCCACGAGATCCCCTCTCGGCGCCGCTTGGGCCTCCCCGCCACCGTCCCCTCCACCACGGCCTTCATGCGCCGCCACCCCGCCGTCTTCCACGAGTCCCGCCCCTCTCCTTCATCTTCCTCCCCGTCCTCCGCCCGCCCCTTCCGCTGGTTCGGGCTCACCCCGGAGGCCGCAGCGCTCCGCCGCGAGGAGGCGGCAGTCATGAGGGAGATGGAGGTGGAGCTCGTCAACCGATTGAGGAAGCTGCTCATGCTCGCCGGCGCCGGCGCCCTCCCCCTGCCGGTGGTCGACCAGCTCCGCTGGGACCTGGGTCTTCCCCTCGATTACAGGGTCTCGATTCTGCCCCGTTACCCACACTTCTTCCGCATCGAGCCCGCCGCCTCCGGCGTGGCAGGCGGCGGCGCCGCGGACGAGCGCCACTGGCTGTGCCTCCTTTTCCGGGATCCCCGCATGGCCGTCTCACGCCTCCAGATGGACGCCGGCGGGGAGGACGAGGGGGAACCATTGGCCTTCCAGTTGAGCTTCACGCGCGGGTTCGGGCTCAAGAAGAAGTGGGTGGCGTGGCTCGAGGAGTGGCAGCGGCTGCCTTACACCTCCCCCTACGATCACGCCGCCATAGCTATGCTGGACCCGAGGACGGACGCGGCGGAGAAGAGGGTGGTGGCGCTGTTCCACGAGCTGCTTCACCTGACGGTGGGGAAGAAGACGGAGCGGGCCAACCTGAGCAACCTGCGGGGCCCGCTGGGGCTGCCGTTCAGGTTCTCCAAGGTCTTCGGCCGACACCCGGGTGTGTTCTACCTGTCCCAGAAGCTAGCGACGCAGACGGTGGTGCTCCGGGAGGGCTACGCTGGCACCGAGCTCGTGGAGAAGCACCCCCTGGTGGAGATCAGAGAGAGTTATGTGGCCTTGATGAGGGTAGGCAGAGAAGACGAGAGGGACGCTGGCGCCGGCGCATTCGCTGGTGAGGCGGCGCTGAATGATTCGAGTTCCAGTCCCGATGACGACGGGGTGGCGAAGAATCCGAGGAATGCGACCTTTTGCGGGGTAACAGGGGCTGAGTAGAGCTTGTGGAGACGACGAACTCTCCACTTGGCATTTCTGAGAAGAAGCGGCCGTCTTCTCTTCGATTCCATGTTTCCTGGTTCTGGACAGCTCGGGCCTGTAGACGTTCTCGCCACCAAGTAAGACGCCCGCCCACAGGGACCATCTCTATGACTTAGATCCGCGATGCTGCGAGTGAAGGGCGCATCTGGGGAGGGCGTTGATCGAGATGGTCCCCGTCACTCGTACTGTAATTGTAAATGCCTCGTTTCTCCCCTGCAGATTCTTCTTGTTGATTAATCTCGAGGGGGAGAAAAGTAAAACAATTAAGTGGGTCTTGCTGAATCTGGTTTCCAACTCGTAGATTTTCCGAGGACCGGTCTCAACGGCGACTTCGCGACAGGATCTACCCTAATTCCAGGGTTCTCGAATCGTAGGATCTGAGAGGGAGAGGGAGGAGCGTCGTTCGCTGTGTTCCCCCTCTGCAGAGGGCGGGGAGCTGGGCAGTCGTCATCGTTATCGGCATCAGCGAGGTGATGAGAGAGAGAGAGAGAGAGAGAGAGAGAGAGAGAGAGAGAGAGGGAAAGAGGGCGGCATTGAAGACAGGACGGTGGTCACTCGTTCCCTCTCTACCATCGTCTTCATTGCATTTACTCTCACCAGCTTTTCTTCAGATGGGCAGTGAAGAGGTCGACTCCTGAGCCTCTTCCTCACCTAACAACTGCAACTGCACGGCAGCCTCTGTGCTCTCTCTCTCTCTCCCCCCCTCTCTGGCCACCCCTCGGCCCTCTTTCTCTCTCTTTCTCTCTGTGCGCGAAACTCGAATACAGTGCGGAGGAGAGGATGACGACGGGATCGCCACTCTGTCCGCGGCGCCGAGGGAAAAATATCTTCTCCGCCTCCGCTTTCGTGCTGTACTTGTGTGCTCTGCTTCCCATCGGCTCCCTGGCCGACGCGAACACCTCCGTCTCCGCCTGTGAGTACTCCCCCTCTTCAGTCGGCATAGGCGTCCGTGATCTATGCATTCTCCGTCTTTGGGGGCAGATGGGTCTTGAGTTTCCTTCCCAACGAGGGCATGGGAATCCAGGTCCAGGATGAGGTTCCTGCCTCAAGCGAGCGAGATGGTGTCGCTCTCGCCTGATTCCTCCATATTCCCCAGACTCATTCCGCGAAGAAAATTTCCCCTACTCCTCCCGTGAGACTCAACTCGACGAGGCCTCCTCTCTAGCGGGGTTGAACCCACCATGAGCCTCAACATAGGTGCATACTGCTTCCACGTCCACTTCCTCCTAGTCCCAGCAAGACGTTAGTTCTGGATTCTCCCAATTCCCTCTAACTTTTACATGGAGTTTTTGCTTTGTGAGCCCTATAAATAGAAGAGAAATCCACCCGTCTGTCTATCTACGTTGAAATCAAGACATACAAGCAATAGCATCAAAATGTACTGCAAATATGATCCATCAACCATCTCTAGGCAATTCCTGGCACGGATTACTCGTTTCCAGGGTCAGAACGAGTCAAAAGGTTGTCATTTCTGGGTTTCTCGACGTATAAAGGGGTAGTGGCTGAAAGTAAAGGCTCTAGGTTCCCCATGAAAAGATCTTCCTTCCTGTGGAATGGGATCGCACAGAAAGAGGAAAAGAAGAAGACGAATGTCTCTGCTCTCTTCTGCATCACATCGAGACCTTTCATTGGTTTTGGTGTGGACTATGGAACTCAATTCCTTCACTTACTGTCTGCTTCATCTTGTTTCTTGTTTTCTGACAGCACTCTGCCCCGATGGCTGGAAGGTCGCCCCGAACAAGAACAAATGCTTCATTCATATGGCGAGCTCCCTTTCTTGGAGTGATTCCGAAGGGCTCTGTGGGCGATTCGGCGGTCACCTGGCAGCCCTGGTGTCTGCTGCGGACCTAAGCTTCGCTCAGGCGCTCTGCACGGATAATAAGAATGGCTGCTGGGTTGGTGGCCAATTAAACAATTCTAAATCTGGTTTTGGCTGGAAGTGGTCTGATGATGTGTCTTTCTGGAATGAGTCGATCTCCCCAGGAGAGCCATCTCAATTCAACTGCTCAAAGGCCCCCTGCCTCAGAGCCAACGAGGGTAATTCCTGCACGCTAGTCACCAGAGGGAATATTGGGCTGGTAGGCGAAAAGTGCAATGCTTCTCGTAGTTCTATATGCATGGTTGATAGAGGTAACTACCCTCCCCCTCTCTTTGTGCCACAGTTTTTAACTAACTAATATTCATGCCTGATATTCCTAGATTTGTGGATGTTTTAATATATGTTTCCCTTTCTTTCGTTGCTTCTACAAGCTATTTATTTATTTATTTGATGTGCTCTAGGCGCGGTTTATTTTCATGTTTAATGATCCGATTTGTTCCTTTTTTTGGCACCAGAGGGCAAGTGTTATCATAATCACTGCCACAGGGAATACCTTGTCGTCCTCGCTATGGTGAGCGGACTCATCCTGTTCACCACCCTGGCTGTAGTGATTTGGCTCCTCGTCTACAGGCGGAACAAGAGGCGCAGAAGATCTCGGAAGGTGTCTAGCCCTTCAACAGCAGCACTGGTCCCCCCATCCTGGAAGGTCTTCACAAGTGAGGAGGTAAGGTCGATAACAAAGAATTTCAGTGAAGGGAACCGCCTCCTTGGGGATGCGAAGACAGGAGGGACGTACAGCGGGGTTCTCCCTGATGGATCAAGGGTGGCTGTCAAAAGACTCAGAAAATCTAGACTTCAGAGAAAAAAGGAGTTCTTCTCTGAGGTTGGAAGGGTCGTGAAGCTTCACCATCCTAATCTGATCGCTGTAAAAGGCTGCTGCTACGATCATGGCGATCGCTACATTATTTATGAATTTGTTTCCAATGGGCCCCTTGATAGATGGCTACACCATGTACCAAGAGGCGGAAAGAGCTTGGATTGGGCAATGAGGATGAGAGTCGCAACAACCTTGGCTCAAGGGATCGCGTAAGTATAAGATTACCTTTAACATGCCTTACTTTGCCCATCCCTTTCCTACTGTTGTTGTTTTTTATCCAGTCTAGGCATTCCTTAGAATTGCATAAGAAGGCAATTATGACGCATCCAAACCTCCTCCTCTGATGCTCTTATTTGACTTTTTGCTGGGGATTGTGGGTATTCTTATTGAGAGAAAGTGTTCCTGCGATACAATGTGATTCCTCGATGGTTGAAGGGGTAAGTAGGAAGATGCTAAGTCAAAGTGTCGGTGAAAAGAATCACCGAGAGGAAGAGAAGGATTTATTTCTTATTTCCTTATCATAATAATCTAAGTCCCCACAGAGAGGTTCATGTCTCTCTTCAAATTAGATGAATCCTGACTGACACGAAAATCTTTAGGGAAACCAAAACCTGGCTGGTCCCCATGTGTGGGGAAGAATCGATCAACGAGAAAGGAAATTTATCGAAAATTAGCAGGTTTTTCTGGCCCTTTGAACGAAATTTCTAGGAAAACAGTCAACCAAAGAGGAAACTTGGAGAGAAAACAGGGAGTCAACGCTGTAAAGAATCGCTGATTAATTGGAAAGGGAAGCAGTTGGCTGATTAATTAGGCAAGTCCTCAAGGATACTTCTAACGCTCTGCATTAGGAGGGTATGTATGCGGATCACGTTCTACATCATAATTTTAGGCTTCTTGGTCTTTGCCTAATATTTTTAGGTGGGACGCCTTCATTAGAGATTCCTCGTTGCTTGTTATTTCTCTAGATAGCGTCACCCTTTGCACTAATAGCCGCATTATGCATGTGAACTTCCATAAGGTTAACATCACGGTTTGATGAACTGCAGCACAATCTGTGTTATTTTTTATTTTGGTAATGCTGTATTTATGTTTCTAAAAATTCAAGACCACAAACTTGTGGGATAGCAGTCACCGTATGGGGGTGAACGACAGGCAGTCGGTCTCTAGAAGCCAAGAAATGGTCTCTTGACACGCTGCTGGTCGAGGGAGGCCTGAACGTCTACTGTGGTAGACAATTTTATCACTTACTACTTAATGTCTGTGACCGTTGGAATGAGAAAACTCGGAGATCCCGTTATAGATGGAAGACTAACCAGGGAAGGCATGAACTTTTACTTTAGTAGACGATTTTATCACTTATTAATGTTTGTGACCTTTGAAATAGAAATCTCTTGAGATCCCATTGTAGAAGGAAAACTGTCGCTGACATTGACAGGGTCTTTCAGTGGATGGAAGTTCCAGAGCAATAGAAGAAAGAATGAAGGCAGTGGCTGTTTGAATATTTCTCCTCTCTGATGCTGATATAGGTGGGTTTTGGGGGCGCAGGTTCCTGCACGACAAAGTGAAGCCACAGGTGGTGCACCGCGACATCCGCGCGAGCAACGTGCTGCTGGACGAGGAATTCGGGGCGCATCTGATGGGCGTGGGGCTCTCCAAATTCGTCTACTGGGAGGTGATGCACGAGAGGACCAAGGTGGCGGGGTCTTGCGGGTACCTCGCCCCCGAGTTCGTCTACCGGAACGAGCTCACCACGAAGAGCGATGTGTACAGCTTCGGGGTGTTGCTGCTGGAGATCGTGAGCGGGCGGCGCCCGGCGCAGGCGGTGGAGCCTGTCGGCTGGCAGAGCATCTTCGAGTGGGCGACGCCGCTGGTGCAGGCTCACCGGCACCTGGATCTGCTGGACCCGCTCATCCAAGACGCCCCCGACATCGGCACGGTGCAGAAGGTGATCGACCTCGTCTACGCCTGCACGCAGCATGTGCCGTCGGTCAGGCCAAGGATGTCCCACGTCGTCCACCAGCTGCAGCAGCTGGGGCTGAGGACGGCCGCCGAGCACTCGAGGAGTGCCTCCAGCTCAAGGACTGCTTCCCCCTCCCTGTGGCCCTCCAAGAGCAGCAGCAGCACCAGCATGCACATTATGAGCACTTCTTCCACCGCCGCCGCCTCCTCGATGCTGCCACTCGAAGTGGTGATGGGCCCCTGAGTGCACCCTCACTGCTAGGACTGGTTCTTCTGTTAATTGGAGATATCTCTGTAGAGGAAGCTTTCTCTTCTCATTGAGGCTGTTGGATCGCCCAAAGTCTTAAGATCATAAGGTCAAGGATAAGATTATTTTATAGATAGTCCCAGCGTTTAAAGAATGTACACCTTTACATACACATCATAGCGTGAACTCTACATACGACGAGATAGGTGGAACTAGTGGCCTCCGCCGTGCCCACCATGTTTGGTCAGGCCAGAGGTCAAGCCTTCAGATGACGATGCCGGCCGTCCACGTTCAAGTGGGTACTTGCGGGCGCTGTTCCTGGATATAAGATAGGATTTCAGGGACCACCACCGACGACGTTTCCAAAAAATCTGCAAACGGGTGCCGAGCTTACCATCTCCAGCTTCTCTCTGAACATGGCATGGACTTCTCTCCGTAGGGCTTCCAAGTCCACAGCGAACTCTCTCTCCTCATCTGACGCCATCAGACCCGTGAGTCGCTCCCTCATGCTCTCCAGGGCCTCATCGAGCCAACAGGGGTCCTTGAAAACCAGAGCTTCAGTGTAGGGAAGACGCAGAAGACTCCCAACCGCTATCAATGCCTGAGGGGAGACGGGTTGCCAAAGGATCAAGAGGTTTCAGCCATTGCAGGATGGAGAGAAATCTGAAAAAGTAGGACTCACCTTCTCCTGAAGATCGGAATCGGATGAAGACAGAAGGTTGATCACTGATTTCAAAAAAATGTGGCTTCGGAATAATGGGATTTCCGAAGGGACTGCATTTTCTAGTTGGCTGTCTGCCAAGTCGGCGACCATCTGAACAGCTTTCTTCTGAAGCCTGATATCAACCATAGAATTTCTCATTATATCCTGCAAAACAGAGCATTATGAGTTGTTATATTGCTAAAGCATTGTTTTAAAACCTTTTTCGGAACTCTTTTTTTTATCCCAACAATTGAAATTCCTCATTCAACATTCAGGTTGATTCACCTGAAGCGTGACACATCCATCCTCTGCATAGAATAATGCCTGGCCATTATTGTTGTTCCTAATCAGAGCTGAAATCGCATATAATGCCTTCAATGATTCTTCAACGTAGCTCGACTGCACCATTTTCATTAGCACGTTCAGTGCTCCAAGTGAAAGAACCTGCAGAAGTTGATTCAAAGTTCAATAAAACTCCATGCAAGGCATAAGGTTGCCATAGCAAAGGAAGAAACTTTCAATCGAAACCTGTAATGAATCAAATATCAGCTTTTAAATTATCTGATATTAAGAAATAACACAATAAAAAAGAATGCGCATACACAACAAATGGGACAAAAAACTTGATATTTCGATTAAGAGAGGGTTTCCTCAACCAACCATGAGTAGTTTTCAATTGAACAGTCGTTAGAAAGCGTACCAGCCAGGCTGAACAACCACGGACCCATTCAAAAATCGTTATAATCGGCTATAGTCCTACACAGAGAAGTTTATATAATCATAATCTTGGCGAGTATTCCGCATCAAGCTGATACTTTGATTCAATGGCGATGTGCCACGATCTCTGCTCCAAAAATGCACCTACCACTGTAACCTCTTTTATAGCTACTTGGGTTTGAGTTTTCAAGATGGGTTCAAACAAGATAAATAACAAGTTATAAGCAGATCTAATACTCCGGGTATGCTTTAGTAATCATTTTGTGCTCAGAAATTATTCAGCAGGAGAAAATCAGATGTACAATTATAGACTCATCCAAAGTAAGAGATAATCAGGTGAAATTTAAAATTACAGAATAATCAAAATCACAGATGCGGCATGTTCTTCGAAAATATACCTGGTCCTGAACAAGTGGATTGTTCTGACTAGCTTTTCCAATAACCCATGCAGAGGTTGTCCGTATCTCAGGCACAGAATTTTCGAGTTCTCGGATGACCGCAACAAGGCCACCAAGTTTGTTTAGATCTGATACATTTCCTCCCAAAAATTCCACGCTTTTAGTTCATTGCACTCAAGTGTTCGATGGCATGAAATGGCAAGCCAATAAACCACAGCAAACATACAGTGACATTCATAAGACACTTGGAAATCTCAATAAAGGATAAAATGGTGTTCTTCCAGATGGTCTGGCCTATTAAATAGTGCAGGAAAGAACACTGCAGTATGGTGACTAAAAGCCCAGGGTTACTGGTAGCCAAAAATGTTATGTGATCTAATGAATATCATCCTAGCAATCCCAGCTCTGATTCAACCGGTCATAATTTGATAGTCCGTGTTAACATCCGAATGCATTTTTCAAATCTGAATGAATTTGAATCTCTTAGTCACATACCCCCATAACACTACTTTAGGCTCCTCCCATGTCACACAGAAAAGGTTAGAAAGTTCACAATTTACCATAAAGTTACCTCCCCTCTTCCCTATTTTCTTCCTATTGAGGATAAGCCATGACATATGAAAAAATGGACAAAATAGAAAAAATTATAGCTTTATCAAAATAGCTACAATACTTACGGCTCAATTGTGATACTCGCGATTGAAAGTCAATTGATCAAGGGCTAGATTCTAATTGGCCAACCAATATGAGCCTATGTCAGCTACCATTGCACAGCCTTTTCCTAAAAACCAGTCAAGAGCAGGAATGGGGGAGGGCGAAAAGACGAGAAGGGAGGAAGAAGAGAAGTGCGGACACATACAACAGTTATTACGGGACAAACCATTTGCATTATCAATTGGCTCAACAAGTATCAAAAGTTCATTCAATGCACGTTGGCGATCCTCCAAAGAAGTAGTAGACTTATTCAAGTCGTTAATAGCTATTCTCATCAGGTCTGCGTCTGACGGCATCTTCAACTTTTCAATCACTTCCTGCATAGTCACACAGGAAGGGAGTTAAAAAATTATTCTGCCATCATTCACATCAGCCACGGTTCATAAACAAAAACTGTCAATCTAGAATCACGATTAATACTTCTTCTGGGAGCAACGGGCCCCAAGGAGCTACAGCCAATGATGGCCTCTGTTCTGAACCCAAAGAAACAAACACTGACGAATACCCTGGAATAAGAAAAAAAATCACCACGTTCTTCATTCAATTCATTTCTTGAAAACAGACATCAGTAGTGAGAACATTAATTTATAAAAAATCCTCATTTCTTAAGCACTTCTCCCCAAGTTGATTCCTCAGAAGATAGATCGAAACAGAAGGCCGGGGAGCAGACAAGGTTCCGTATTTCCTGAAGCAGAGTCATTTCTTTAGATTTACTTAAAGATATGTTGATGCAATTTTAAAAATGAAGTCTAACTAGAAATTTTCCGGGAAAAGAAGGGTGTCATCGTGAAGCCATGGAGAGTAGTGCACGCAAATGAAGATCAAACCTTTAAAGTAATTGCAGTTCACGCCTAATACAGAGGAAAAGAACATAGGAGAAAAATGAGCTATATAAACTGTTCGAAGGATATAGAATTGAATTCAGCAAAAACATTTTTTATTTTGGAAGGACCAACATTTTGTTCAAACTTCTACATGAGAAAAGTAGCTAACTCACAAAAAAAATGAATCACCAACAGAAACTATTGCATCTGGCCAATCTTATCCCAGATCAAGTTTTGCAAAAGAACCAAGATGTTTTGGAATGAAATGGGCTATCTCAGTTACGAGCATCTGGTTTAACAGATACTTCCCGTAATACATTTTTTAATTTTATGAAAATTTTTAAATATATAACCCTAGAAAATTGGAACATAATTATAAAAAGTAATGCCATATTGACGAAAGTCCTTAACTGAGTTAACCTTCGGTCGCACTTAGAACTCCGAAAAATGGAATATGATATTCATCAGCACTTATCCATTCTATAACTTCGAAACAGCATGTGTCTTGAGGATCATAAATGTTAACTTACAGTGATATCTGAAAATTTCCCATATCAATAAATTTTATGCAGCTTAGCACTTCAGATGGAAAAAAAAAAACTCTGAATCATTAAGCTTGTTCACAGAATCAAGTGGGCACCAATAACTTCCAAATTTTTAAATAAATTCAAACCACCTTTGAGGATTCTTGGAATTAAAAATAAATCAGAGCGTTACACGTCTGATATTGCTTCTTGCCAACAATTAAGAACCCCATTTTCGACAGCACATTTGAGGAAAACTTTCTGAGAGCATAGTGACAGGACTCGCAGCCAGATGTCTAGCATAAAAAAGCCTCATACATAAACTGTATGTTAATAGGCCAACAACATCTAGTTTTACCAATCAATACGAATACCCATTTCCACGGGGTGCAAAACCAGTGAAATAATTTGTCTCAGCTAGCTCAGAAATGATGAAAAAATAAATGATTATCTTATCTACCTTAATTTGTAACCGTCTCGCCTCTAACTCATCTGCAGACATACGCTGAACATCATTGGCTTTCTCCTTTAACCTTATGGGGTCTGAGTTACCTGATTCACAAAAAAATAACGTGATGGGCGCAAATCAAAATGCATCACTTTCTGATTGGATTTCTTCACTCCACTTGAAATTACAAGATACATGATAACAGTAAGAGATAAAATCTTACATGTACGTTAGAGGGCCCTAGGCAACTATGAATTTATATATCGGAAAACGAGTCCAAGTTATGGATCTACCAGCTCCTACTCAGTAAGCATCATCAATTTATTCCAATTCAAATACACTACATATTTTGCTTCACGACAATGATAGGAGTGAATCGCCCAAGTATTTCAGAAAAGCATTTAATCTGCTTGATTTTCAAGATAGGAAATTCTCGATTGCATTCAACAAAACAAGCACTGGTTGAAAAATAACTACAAAACTATATGGAAAAGGATGTAGGATGTACACTTGAATTATTTAAGTTATAAGTATTGGACAATCCAACTTAAAATAAATGAACGATGATTGGGACCCAATTTTACAAAAATGAGTTTACTTCATAAACACCACTATGAGACTAATACTAAAAAAAATAAAATAATATGGCAGTTTTGTGTTCATATCCTCAAGATAGTTAAGTGCTTCCATAACCCAAAAGTTAAGGACACAAAAAAATAGAAAATATTTTAGAAGAATCAACATGTTCTTTCTTTCCGAAAATAGAAAGGAAGCACGGGAAATATGAATGGGTTTTTGAAATCGCACATATACGCATTTACATTCACCTACAAGGGGCCGTGTGTAATCCCTAATATGCGGAGCAGTTTTCAGGGGGTTGAAAATGTTGTGAAGACGCAATAATTCAACCCACGAGGGCATTTGGTTTCAAATAGAACTGGGATGATCCACTTGAACTGACTTTACAGAGACATGGATGGAAAACTTCGACACAAAATGTGATTCATAGAGAATTTAAATGTTATTTTTCAACTCATAGGTTGGCCTTAAGCTCGAACATGTTGTTAAGATCGTCGTTTCAAGCTTTCCATTCAAGTAAAAAGTTTAAAACCTTAAGAAGTATGGCTGCTAAGCGTTGCACATGAACACCAAGTAAATCCGGAGTCTGATTGAAACCAGGCGGCGAAGTGAAACATCGTCATTGAACCTACCGATTGCCCATTGCAGCATTCCGTCCAGGGATGAGAAGCCGCCATCGACGTCATCATCGCCGATCGCGTTGGAATCCGGGTTGCTGTCGTCACCGACGACCTCTGTCGATGCCTCGGGCGCAGACCAGAGGACGTCGGTTTTGCCATCGGCCGTGGCCCAGAAGATTTCCCCCCAGGATGTTCTATTCTCTCTGTCCCTCGCCGCGACTGTTCCGCGGAGGAAACCCACAGTCGAGGCAAGCAGCAGCAGCAGGATGTGACACCAAGGAGGAGCATCAACCATGATCGTCTCCGGCACCGGAATAAGAGAGAGAGACAGAGCTGATGGTGATTTGGTTTTTCATTGCCAATTTTGACAGTTCGACGAGGAAGATTTTCGAACATCGTACAGGCCGACAAACTGTCTATCGGGCCGGACCAAATCCGTTTTCCAGATCCGGACATAAATTTGTAATAAAAGGGCGGCCTTTCCCTAAAGAAAATTCATAGAAAACTGGAAGAAGGAAAGGCCCCTGCTCCTCTCGTCACCGATCTTCAGGCAGCAGTGTAGCCACCGCCGAGTAATAATTTTTTTATTAAAAATATATTGCCCCCGATATTATCTTTTTCGGTAATATTTTCGTCATGGTTATACCATTCCCTACTTTAATAATCTTTACCGCTATTTTCCGGCGTGGATTTTTTGCCCGTCTTACAGAGAAGGCGAGCTCTGTTCGACGAAAGGGCCCAGCGGAGCGTCCGCTCTCTCTCTCCCTCTCTCCTTATCCCCGGCCCCCTCGTTCCCCAGGCCGGAGGAAGCATTGCCAGGCTTCTTCCACCTCCCTGGGCGGGGATTGAAGATGATTTCCACCATGTTTCGCCCTCCCTCCGCCCCGAGCAATCCCCCCGCCGCCGTCGCCCAGAGGCCCCCTGCCTATCTGAGCCAGAGGGGCCTCCGCATCCTCTCTCCGTCCTACGAGGGTTCCGTTCTGGGGAGTTTCCCGCGGCCGCAGGCCTCCGGTGGCCCCTTATCTCGTGCCGGCATCTCTCCCCCCTCGCTACCGCAACAGTCTTCGTTTCGGGTGGCGGCAGGCGCTCAGCCGCCTAACCCGAAGAAGGAGGATAAGCTGGTCACGGAAGGTTTGATCACAGAATTGCTCCCCAACTGCATGTTCCGTGTGCGCCTGGACAACGGCGAGATCATCCTGGGCTACGTTTCGGGGAAGATGCGAACCAAGATGGTGAGGGTGCTGGTCGGAGATAAGGTCAGAATCGAGGTCAGTCGCTACGACTCCACCAGGGGCCGCATAGTCTACCGGCTCCGCAGCAAGAGCTCCACAGATTAGGTGATTTTCTTCATCCTCCGACCTTCCTTCCTTTCGTTTCTCTTCCATTATGAGAAAATCCAGCTGCTTCACGGTCTTCCCCCGGGCCCGTTGTGCGTTCATTCATGGGCGTCCTCATGAGCTGTGGCTATTGCTTTGCAAACAAATTCCTTGAGATATGTGTAGGGCTCCGATTTTTTTTTGGTGGATTAAAATCCAATCACTGTTCCTGCCTCTTTTTCGCGTATTGTTCATTTTCGGTTTAAGATCTTCCCTGGCTCCTTCATATCGGCGAGAAGACGATGATGATCTATGAATTCGCTATCCGAGTTAGGGAAAATCGAAGGAGAAAGAATTTCCAGCAGAATAGAAGCATTCGAGAACCCACCGGAGTACATCTTCTGTCAGAAAAAGAAACCTGGCGATCGATCTTCAGTGTCTCGAACCAGTCTCTTATATTCGAGTTTTGTTGGCAATGAAACGAGGAGCGAAGCGTCAGCTGATGAAATTCTCCCTCGATGCTGACATATTTGAGTGATGATTCGTTCCAAGATTAATTACTTTGCAACAGCGACGGTCTTTTAATTTTTGTGATTTTCATCTTTTACAGGTTCTGCGGAGTTGTTTGATAAATGTGGGGGAGAGAGAGAGAGAGAGAGAGAGAGAGAGAGAGAGAGAGAGAGAGAGAGAGATGGCAGGAGCGATGGTGGGCGACGCCCTCTCTCCTTTTTGTTCAGCTTTTTTTGTTTCCTTTTTGTATTGCTGTTCTTGCTTTTATCAGGAAAGATGAACCCAGATGCAGAACGCACGAGGGAATGGTTGCCGCCGATCTGATGACGGGCGGTGACGACCTCGACGTAGTTTGATCAATGTGTAATCCGTCACACGAGATTTCTCGAGGCGAGCTCTTCATAGTTTCTTAGCCTCGTTATCTTCCGAAGAAGAACACTCTTCGCGGGCATGAAGCGGAGGAGAAATCTTGATTGAAATCTCGAAACCGTGGGGCGCTCGCTACGTTATTACTGAGAGATCACACATCACACATTGACGCGGGAAGAGGAGAGAGAGCGAGAGAGAGAGAGGTTAGGCGAAGTCGAAGTGGTCGGCGGGGGGAAGGGTGCCGTTCTGGAGGCAGAACTTGCGGAGGCGGTGGATGCGGCGGGGGGTGACCTCCCAGAAGATGTTGAACATGTCGGGCCAGCAGTGGGGGTGCAGCCGATTCACGCCGTCGCAGGTGTTGCTTGACGGCACCGTTCCGTTCACCAGGAAGTTGCGCATATCGCGCACCGCCTTCCCTCGCGCCAGGTACCCCCAGCACCGGTACAACTTGTGCGAGTCGTCAACCGGCTCAGGCATGTAGTACGGCCGGTTCAGCGGGTCCGGCAGCGCCGTCCAGTTGTACACCGGCGGCGACGATATGCTGTAGTTCCTCGGCGCCACAATCTCCCCCAACACTCCCGCCGCCACCATCGCCAGCACCACCACCGCCACTGCCACCACCACCGCCGTTGTCGCCGCCATCTGTGAAGAAGCTCTCCTCTACTCCTCTTTCCCCAAGAAGCTCTCCTCTTCTCCGGTGCCGCTGGTGCCCAAGGGATGGGCGGGGGGCGGAATTTATAGGGAGAGAGGGAGAAGAGCTGAGGGTACTCGACCCCTCCGGAGTGACAGCGGTTCTGTAGAGTTAGAGAGAGTAAGAGAAACGGCCGAGCACCAGGTATCCGTTGTCTGGCTTGTAAGAGGAGGAGGAGGAACTGATCTCCTCGTTGAAGTAACCGTCAAATAATATTCGAAGGGGATTGATTCATTATATATAGTCCCGAGGGCGGTGGGAATACACTTTCATAGCCACGATGTACGCGGGAGGGAGGGGGAAGGGGGTTCCAACTCTCGGTACAAAAATAGCAAATTGGAAACACGAGGAAGGATTGCAGCGGGGGGGCCCTGACCGATCACTTCCACTTTTTGGCGACGATGTCGGCGAGATCGACGACCCTCTGGGAGTAGCCCCACTCGTTGTCGTACCAGGCGATGACCTTGACCATGTCGTCGCCCATGACCATGGTCAGGGAGGAGTCCACAGTGGAGGAGACGTCGCTGCAGCGGAAGTCGACGGAGACGAGGGGCTCGTCGCAGACGGAGAGGATCCCGTTGAGCTCCTTCTCCGCGCTCTCCCTGAAGGCGGCGTTGACCTCCTCCGCGAAGGTCTTCTTGGAGACCTGGACGACGAGGTCGACCACGGAGACGTTGGGAGTAGGCACGCGGAGGGCGATCCCGTTGAGCTTCCCCTTGAGCGACGGCAGGACGAGCGCCACCGCCTTGGCGGCGCCGGTGGAGGTGGGGACGATGTTGAGGGCGGCGGCCCGCGCTCGCCGGAGGTCGCGGTGGCTGGCGTCGAGCAGCCTCTGGTCGCCGGTGTACGAGTGGGTTGTGGTCATGGTGCCCTTGATGATTCCTGCCGTCGGATAGATAAACTCTTACTTACTAAACAACAAGCACAGTCTCCCTCCCGGCCAACGGTGGCGATCGACGAGGGGAGGTGAAGAGGTGCGGAGGGTCTCACCGAACTTCTGGTCAAGGACCTTGACGAAGGGGGCGAGGCAGTTGGTGGTGCAGGAGGCATTGCTGATGATGGGCTCGTCGTGGCTGTAGCCTTCGTCGTTAACCCCGACGACGTAGGTGGGGATGTCCCCCTTCCCCGGGGCAGTGATGAGCACTTTCTTCGCCCCAGCCTCGATGTGCTTCCCGGCGCCCTCTCTGTCGACAAACACTCCCGTCCCCTCGATCACCAGGTCAATTCCCAGATCCCTGGCGTCAGACCATGCATAGCCTTCAGAGAGCTGGAGAGAGAGAGAGAGAGAGAGAGAGAGAGAGAGAGAGAGGGCTCACTTCCAGGGGAGGTTCAGGGGGTTGCGGCTGGAGACGACTTGGATGACCTTGCCATCGACGGAGATGGCGCTGTCGCCCTCGGGCTTGACGACGGCGTCGAAGATGCCGAGGGTGGAGTCGTACTTGAGCAGGTGGGAGGCCTGCTTGACGCCGCCGGTGTCGTTGATGGCGATCACATCCAGCGGCGAGTCCTTGCGGCCGTGCCAGCACCGCAGGAAGTTCCTTCCGATCCGTCCGAACCCGTTGATCGCCACCTTTATCTTTGCCTCCGCCGGCCCCCTCCGGTAGCCCCCGCTGGTCGCCACCTGCCGGAGAAACAGTCAGCGAGGAGCTTCGATCGACCGCTGGCGGCGACCGGAAAGAAGGACGGCCTTACAGCGGAGGTGGACAGCGCCACGACGGACACGAAGTCATCGGACCCCGACCTTCTAGCCAACGGCAGCGACGCCGCAGAGCTCCTCAGCCCAGAGAAGTCCGAGAACCCCTTCCCCTGCACCACAAACAACTGCATCAGTCGACCGCCCCCCTGCTAGAGAGACATCAGAGAGGAGAGAGAGACGGGGAGAGAGAGAGAGAGAGAGAGAGAGACCTGGAGGGAGGCATTGGCCACCGAAAGAGTAGCCGAAGCCATGGTACTCGGCGACTCTCAGGACGGCAGCGGAGTAGAGCGGGATTATAGTTTAATGGGCACTGGCGGCAGATAAGAGGGTAGAGGACGGAGGTGAGGGAGAGGCCGAACTTGTGGTGGCGAGGGAGAGAGAGAGAGAGAAGGGGAGAGAGAGAGAGAGAGAAGGGGAGAGAGAGAGAGAGAGAAAGGGAGAGAGAGAGAGAGAGAGAGAGAGAGAGAGAGAGAGAAGGAGAGAGAGAGAGAGAGAGAGAGAGAGAGAGAGAGAGAGAGAGAGAGAGAGAGAGAGAGAGAGAGAGAGAGAGAGAGAGAGAGAGAGAGAGAGAGAGAGAGAGAGAGAGAGAGAGAGAGAGAGAGAGAGAGAGACGGAGAGAGAGAGAGAGAGAGAGAGAGAGAGAGAGAGAGAGAGAGAGAGGAGTAGTCGTGCGTTGGAGGGAGGAGACGGAGAGGATGAGATTGTGGATAGCCCGTCGTCTCCAACGTGTGGCTGCGGCGGTCCCTCCCCCAGATTGGATTACCGGAGATCGGCGTGGCTGATCGCGACCACACAGGCTGGCGCCGCCCGTCTTATCACACGTGGCAATTACTCGAATAAATTGGGGGAGAGGAAATAGGAAATTCTCAGTCGGAAATTATTATTAAAATTCAGAAAAGCTCAAGGAATAGACTCCAGATTCGGATGGGATTCGCTGTTTAGATCCGATTCCACTGGATCCGAAACCGAAACGGCAAGGGCAACAATCTCCTGAGGGGATCCGAGTCCCTCTATTTTTCTGTCATGGCATTTCAGAAAGAAAAAAAAAAAAGAGGATTCCGCCACACTGTGACGGAAGAACACGCAGCTCATCCAGGTTTCCTACTCCTGCTGGTGGAACTTGATGATTATGATCCCCGAGTACTGACTTGTATGACTAATCCATGTCGATTCCGATCAACCCTGCAAGCATCCATTTACGGGCGGCGCCGCCCATGGCCAGGGCCGGTGGTTCTGCTTCTTTTCCTCCTTAGTCATCTCCAGCGTCCGCTCTAAAGTTCCGGCGGCCGAGAGTTCGCCGGAGGGTCCCAACGCCATCTGCTTCCCCACCGCCGCCTTCCTCAACATCAGTCTCTCCAGCTCGCCGCTGGAACTCCAGGAGAAGCTGGAACCGCCGGCGACATTGCCCCCAGCGTCGCCTCGCCGAGCGTTGGGAATGCCTCCCGCAAGTCGGATGCTCTTGCTGGAGATGGTAGCGGGGAGGAAGAAGGAGAAGATGAAGAAGACTGGAACCTGGGCTACATTCCGCGATGGATTTACAGTCGGCTACGTTGGGGATCGGAGCTCGGGTTGGACGTCGAGGAAGAAGAAGACCAAGGAGACATGGCCAGAACCATAACGATCATGACCATGTGGTGTATTGAGTGGTTTCCCGTGGGCCGCGCTTCTCGATGAATAATACGGTGGCGAAGATGCTGGGAGGAAGCATGGAAGCCCAGCCCCTTCGCCGCCGCCGCGGGGGAGCTGGCATAAATTCCGGCTCCTAGGTTTGGTGACTGGCAGGAACGGCGGCCTGGCCATACCCAGTGGGGAAGAAGAGAATCTGAGCTCAGTTCATCTTGGCCCCCTCTCTCTCTCTCTCTCTCTGTGTCTAACAACGAGGCACATGACTGGGGGTTGTTCGCGAAAGGGTTTCTGTAAAAACTCATGGGAGTCGTACCCAGATGACCATCTATCTGAAACCCCTTTTCTGGGTTTGTTTCTTGCCGCGTCGAGAAATGGAGAAGTTAACTTGGAAGCCCATATTTAATTCATCAGTAAAAAATGGTAACTTGTTGGGAACAGAAGAGCATAGAGAAGTGAAACATCAAATAAGTAGGTGGCGCGCGCGTTTCGCTCTGAGCGTTGACTTTCATGCTCAGGTCGCTAGAGATCGAATTACGTGGATGCCCTCCAAAAAAAATCTTTTTTTAATAACGTGTGGACGAGGGGCTTGCGGAGGTGTTCACGTCATTAGTCCGGGTATATAGTAACGGTAAAAGGGTGTCAAAGGGAGAGAACTGGATACAAAAACTCGTCACCCTCTTCCCGCTACTTCTGTCCCCTCCTCTCTCCACCTGGCGGAACCCTAGCCGGGGAACCCCATGTTGGTGGCATTAAGGGAACGCCCAATTTCGATCTTTGATCTCTCTGCCCCTGTCTAAGGGCCGCGCGGGTTATTTTCCCCCTCCTTGCCGGCGGCATTGGCTTCGAAGGCGGCGGCGGAGGCCGCGTGCGCCGCGGCGCACTGACTCAGGTAGCCTGATCGCCTCATTCGTCGCTCTCGCTGTCTCATGGTGGCTTGGAGGGAAGGGGAATTCCGTCCTCTTCAGTAATTTCATTTCTAGGTCCTTCGATTCTTTTGGACGGGCTTCAGTTAGGTCGGACGTCGCAGAGGAGAGAGCAATTTCGTAGAATGGGGTGTGCGCGGAAGGGTAATTTATCAGAATGTTGGGCGATTTTTCCGAGGGCAATGCAATTGAGATGATCCCCCGTCGTTGGACGGGGCGTGGGTTTCTGCCGTCCATCTTGTTTCCGTTCTTTTTTTCAGGTGGCGGGATATCAACTAAATTTGATCCCTTGGCGGCATCCCCCCCTTCAAGTTATATTTTTAGAGTAATACTGAGTAGAGATTCTTGATTAATGTTTTCATCCTGGTTTCTTTAGTGACGAAATGCAATAAATGGTAGCGCAAGTTCGCATCAGTAATATTTTCACCCAATTCTTTCCGCAAAAATGATTCCGATTGGTTTAACTTTCAAAACAAAACCTTTCCCCCGACCTTGCATGCTTGTTCGTTTGCTAGAAGTGGGCTTGAGGCAGATGGGATTTTGGAAGGGAAAATGCTATCAACAATTAACACCGGAAACAAGCATATGCCACTATAGCGTCATATGGTTCTCTCATTTGGGTACCAGTTGAGGGGCTGTAGCGTCACTAGCTCAGTTTCTCCAATAGCATTTGTGTGTAATAATATGGGTCAAGGGATAGGTTCTTAAGAGTGGAACCATTCAGTCGGAATTGCTTGTCCAGAATGCGGCATATACTGCTCTGTTGGCACCAGAAGAGTGATTAAAAAGATTATCCTTTCTTTCGTTCTGGAACTATATGTCACTGTTATCTTGCAGCATACTGATGTGGTGTGTTATTGGTTTAACAGTAGAGTTGATAAGAGAACCTACTTTCTTCACATGGGAGCTATCAGTCCTTCCTCTTGGACCATTTTTCCTTATTTTCCTTTTGAGTATTTTTACTCTAACTTGTCTTGAATGCATAAAACTATTACCAGTCATTATTTTTAATGTATTTGGTTGATGTTGACTGTCTCTGCTGTACTTGGCCAACGGCCTTTGATGACTGTTGTCTGTTCCTACGTCACAGGGATTGAATTGGAAATTCTGATATTTTGGCATGCTGCATCATAGACATGAGATCATGGTTGTGCATTTGTCTTGTGACAGCGGAGTGATGATCTCGTGCAATATCGTGGCATGGTGTTCAAGCCTGGTTCATTTTAGGTTTTCTGTGTTTTACTAGTTTCGGCCCGGTTGATATTATTTATTTGTCACGAAATTTATTTTTTTTGAGAAACTAACAGTATGCGAAAATTAGGATTTTTTTATCAAGCCCCATTTTATTTATCACTATTTCTTCCCTTTTTCATTTCTTTGGGAGAAAAGAACTGAAATTTTTTGAGGCCTAATGTGAAATAGGTAATATGAAACAGCTAGAAGACCTGACAGTGTTTGGTTTTCTGCAAACATGCTAGCAGAATGGTCCCACTGGCTGGCTTTCAGTTTTTCTAGTTCTTATGTATTTACATGATATCATATCTAATACGAGCACTGTGTCTCCTGAGTCTGATCTCTTTCGCTGTATTATAAAATTTAGAAGACAGAAATGAAGTATGGGAATAGATTCCCTGTATTATTGTGGTATTGACCCTCCTAAAAGGATTTTCTGCCTGTTAAAAAACTCTCTTGAGCATGTCAGTTTGATATGGGATCCGTTCAGATCTCACCTGTGGCTGTACGTTTTGATCCGTCCTTGTGTTTGTGTAATATGCCTTCAAATGTCGGATTACTTTTTCTTGGCTTACCCTAATGTGGGCCCTTATTGATGTTATAATAATAGAACACAAGGTGAATTCGGTTCTTAGTCGTACCCAAATGTCTGAGTGACTCCACTGCAGGGGCTATTTCGATGTTGTTTCACTCACTTGCCCGTTTCTTATTCATTGCTGCGCATTAAACTTTGTCATCACTGTGCTGATATTTTCTTTTGACTCGTAAGTGCTTTGGTGGTCCCTCAGGGCTACATGGACCTGGGTGCATCTGCATTCACACCTGTTGATTTGGTCGGGCATAATCAATGTGGCAACGAAAACGAAATTTTGTCACACAGTGCTTCTTCTTCATTTTCTGGTGGATCAGGAATACTGAATCCTGGAATGGTGCACCAAAGAGAAATGCACTCTATGGTTTTGCCTTCCTGTGGCACCTTTGTTTCAAGTGCAAACAATGATGTATTCCCATCCAATGTGTCTGGAAAATCTGCATCAAACATCAAAGCTACTACAGGATCTTCGCATTTCGATCCCTTTTCTGCATCTAATGGTGGGTTTGAGTAGATATTGTTGTTAAATTTTAAACCATGTGTCCATATTATATTAATTATAAGATCCTCTCTTATCAGGATTCCTTCCTGCTGAACACTATTGGAGAAGTGAAAGTAGCTCTTGCACCTTTGCTGGAAATGATTTACAACTGCAGAAGAATCCACTAGCACGGAATGTAAGGCTTTCGGCTTCTACATTGTCATGTTGCAGTGAAGGTGGAGTACCAAATTCCGGGAGTTCAATTTTTTTTGAAAGAGAGATGCAGAGGCAACATTATAGATGCCAGGGCAGCAGGTTCCTGCAGAATAACAAACGACAGGAGATGTCTGGATTGTCTCAGATGCCATTATCTGGCGGATATGGTGGTTCATCCGGTTGTACTGGGCTGGATTTCGGAGGGAATTTGGCAGAAATGGCAAACCATATAGCTGTGAATGAAATGTCAATGAAGTCTAACTACGGTAATTCCTCAAAGCCATTGCAAAAAATATTTGACCAGAGATCTCAACAGAAAAAATTGCGGAGTGATGTTTCCTCATCTCATACGGTCTATCACCTATCTTGTACTTTTGTGACGTGTCTCATTTTTTTATTCATTTTTTCCTTCAATTTGGCAGGTGACATACTTATGGTGCCTAATTCCAATCTTTCTACCCTTGGGTTGAATGGAAGCTATAGTGACATTAATCCACATGGCACTGCGTTGAACTTTGCCTCAGATCCTGCATGGTTCCGCAATAATTTATCTTTCCATAACTCAGAGCAGGTACCTAAGGTCTCTTTTCTTGAATATATAGGTTTCATTTATCTGTTTTCGTCAGATATCAATTATAGGCAAGGTGATTTAAAATGTTCATTTTCGTTTCATATTTCAGATTAATGAACTGTGCCTACAGCAAAATCTTCAGTTACAGAGACAACCTGATCCGAATTTCATGTCCCATGCTAGCAAGCGTGAAAACAATTTTCCTGGGTTCAGCGAGTCAAAGAATGAGGACTTGCTTTCTAATGAGATGTCTCTGGATATGAAGATGCAGCGATTTTCCCAACAGATGAATAGACAGAACACATCATATCTTCCTCAATCTTTTCAGGGAGCATTTACGCATGGATTTATTCCCAATTCAGAAAGTGTAACAGTTACCCATGGCAGTAATTGGATTCCACATAGTTCGGAGAATGTAGTTGGGAACTTGGAGTACAAAGGTCAGCAGGAGCTTTTACTATTGTATTACCATGCTAGAATTTGCCCTGATCAAGAAGGAGCATGCCTAAACAGTTCTTGCATATCCATGAAAGGGATTATTGATCACATGACATTCTGCAAGAATTCATGTAATATTTGTGTTCGGTTGCATTCACTGTTGAACCATCACAGGCATTGCCAAGATACAAATTGTCCTGTTTGTGTTCCTGTTAGGAGGCTACTCTGCAAGAGTCCTCTGACTAACCTCAGCATGGAGACTCTTGATTTCACGTGCTCCAAGGCGTCTAGTGGTTGTAATGCTGGTATTCCACCATTAAAGTGTTCAGTTCCCACCTCAGATACGATAACAAGTCCACAACATTTCCCTAAACGCTTGAAAATTCAGTGCTCTCCTTTTGAAAATTTCGGTCAGAGGGAAACTTCTCAAGCATCGGAACTAGTCAATTCTTACGCTCAACTGTCTCCCAGTGAACAGTTCTCTGGGCATTCTTGTAAGACAGTGACTACTGGGTCCGCAGGGGAAGTAAAACCCTATGACTACTCTTCTCAGGGAAGCTCTGTTACAGTGTGTGAGATTAAATTTGAGGATTCAGAAATTACTGATGAAGAGATACCCATAAATTCTAAGTTAATCATGGGTTTGAAGGCATGTGAAAACTCATTGAAACATGAAATTGTGGAATCCTGTAAAATTAAAAAACAGAATCTAGATGTTTCCAATGAAGTGAAGCCTGCTGTTGTGTCAGTTACTTCACAAGCTTTGTCCACGGAGTGTGGGAAAGAAAACCAGCTGATCTGCAATGGCGATGACTCAGAGCAGACACAAAAGTCCAAGACAACTATTCAGTCAGTTGATTTTACGGTAAAGACTGAGCTTAGGAAGCCAAATATCAAGGGGGTATCTCTGGTAGAGTCATTTACTCTGGAGCAGGTTCTTGGCCACATGAGAAGTTTGAAGAAATGGGTTGGATTGGTAAGTGAAATCTCAAATAATCTTAGCCGAAACATTTATTTGTTTATATTTTATTACTTATTCTTTTCTAGAGTACAACCTTGTGCAACGTAGATTGAAAATTTACCTTGTAGATATTGTTGAATTATCTACTTGCTATGTATTCAATATTCCCTTTTAAATTCTTATATGATTCCATAAAACATTTGCATCCACAAAACTAGGAATTGACAGCATAATACAAATCGGGAAAATGCTATTCAAAGCTAAAATAAACGGAATGACAAAAACGGAATCTATACTAATATTCCATTCCGGAAACATCACAGTTAAAATTTTTGTGCATTCTCCTTAGGATAACATGCTGCTAATTGCTACACTTATCTGTCTTATAAGGTTTCAGTAAATGAAGGTTTCTCGAATTTAAAAAATAAAAGCTAGGCAGGATGGTATAGAACCGGAAATTTTGCAGGCCATCAGTTTCTTTTAGTTCTGGAAACCTAGTTTTCCTTTTACCAGAGCATTTTTTTAAGCTTTACCCATTAAGTTATTAAGACAAGAATGATTCTAAATGGTATTGGTGAGAAGATTGCCTCTTCCACGGGAAGTTGAATCTAGATTTTTTAAGGGATCACGAAACTGATGACACAGACATAGTGGCACCCCAATAGACATAGGATGCTGTCCTATTTCTATTTGATGGCTGGTAGAGAAGTTAATGACACTTGCCAAAAGTTTATGATGTGTAGTTTAGCTTTCATCCACCAATTACTGTTTGTTCTGCAATTTTGTTGGATGCCTGCGGTCACGTGGGATTTTATACATCAAAGAACAGAGTAGAGGATGGCATCTTTTCGTAGTATGAGTGTGGACACAGAATTCATTTTTCAACATTAAAGTCATTGAGGTGAAACATAGATTTGTTGTGCCACCGTAATGCTTTCAGGGAAACTATGCATATGTCAATGGACCACCCTGAGTAAGCACATTGAGGGTAGTGGGAACAATAAGACTTTGGAGATTGTCACAGTTGGGGATAACTGCGTGATGAGGGTGATTAATGTTAAATGGGCGAATCTTGTAAGGTTGGCATTGGATCCATTGACAAGTACGTAAAAGACGTGCGAAAGATCTAATTGGAGCCGTTATTCTACGGTTTTATAAAAGTCTCATTGGATTTTTGATAGTTTGGGGTTGAAGCCAGCTGTATTGGGAAGGTGTTAGGATAGGTGCTGTAAAATGGATGCACTTGCAGCAAAGGCATTTCTTCATGGAAATGTTGGAGCAATCCTGTATTGTTGATTTGCTGATGGCATGACAGACAAGAATGAGATGTTAATTGTTTCAGAGGAGGCAGCATCTGCTTATTCAGAAAATCATGATTGCGGGTTGGGATCTCCATTGTTGCTCCGAAGAAAGTGGCAACTGAACTTATTGAGACGGTATTCTAGAGTAAATGGGGAGTTGGCCCATGCGAGATTTTTCAAGGGTATTGCAGAAGACAAGAAGCATTCATTAGAAGAGAAACTGGGTGTCTTCTGTGGGAAAGCCAGTCTCAATGATTGCATAGTGGACTGTGAGAGGACACTGTGATTTCCCTTTTTTTAATTCTCTTTTTTTCGGGTTTGGAGTGTAGCTCAATCGTAACTGACCTTTGAATCGTAACCTTACCTATCATCTGTAACGTGTTGTACCAACTGTTTCTGCAAATTACTCAAAATTTAATGGCCAATATTAGAAATTTTTCCTGTATATAACAGTCACGTATGGTGTAAATATGAAGTGAGACTTTCCTCTGCATATTCTCTCTCCTAGGGTTTGCGCCAACAATATGAACTTGCTTTTGTTTCATCTTCCAAATTAGTCTGCTGTTTTTGGTACCTTATGCCACCAGTTTCCAGGACCCTGTCACCTGTTTTCTATTGTTTTACTTTTTCCGCTGTTAGTTCTTGAAAGAGGGGGCTTGTGACGTCATTATCCATTAAATTTCATTCCCATAATATGTATACTTTTCATCAGTAATATTTTTCTGGCATTAAGTTTTAAAGTGGGGGAGATTCTGATTTATCATCTGTTATGTTTCATTACTTTCTTTTAGGGTAAAGCAAGGGCAGCGAAAAATCAAGCAGTGGAAAATTTGGGTGATAAGAATTCCTGCCAGTTGTGTGGAATAGGGGCCCTTTCCTTTGAGCCACCTCCTATATACTGTGTGAAATGCTATGGGCGCATCAAGCACAACAGAGCATATCACACAATGGCTAACTGTGATAGTTTAATGAATGGAGGAGCTGGACGCTTATATCTATGCAATCCATGCTACAACGGGTCCCATGGGGATAGCATTACATATGTTGGGGGTGTCTTACCTAAAGTAAAGCTGGAAAAGAAGCGGAATGATGTTCAAATTTTAGAGTTGGTATGCATATTTGGCTTCTTCCGTATTTGTACCCTGAATGATTTATTTTCTGTTAGTGATGAAAAATCTAATTGACATTTCTTGGCAGTGGGTGGAGTGTGACAAGTGCAAAGCTTGGCAACATCAGATATGTGCCCTTTTCAATGGTAAAAGAAATGTAGGAGGGCATGCTGGATACACTTGCCCCAAGTGCTACTTGCAGGAGATAGAAAATGGTGAGTGTAAACCGCTACCAGATGGTGTAATTCTTGGTGCTGAAGACTTGCCAAGGTCAAAACTTAGTGATCATATAGAACAAAGGCTGCTTTCGAGTCTAGCACAAGAGAGACAAGAAAGAGCAAGAAGCTTGCAAAAGAACTTGGATGAAGTAAGCTTTTGACTACCTGATTATACTAATTGAGGACTGTGCGCCTACACCCTAGTGATTATCTCATCTGCCCATAGTTATTTATTCATAGCTGCCTGGTTGTATGCATCTGAAACCCAACAAACTACACTGTATGCTGTTGTCCAATCACCTTTGTCTATTAATTAACCTTTATTTTCAAGAAGAATCTTCAATTTTTTAATAATCTAGAAAATATTTTCTTGGTTCTCCTTGACATGGAAAATCAGAACTGGTCCAGCAAGGATATCCTTCTGTACTGTACAGATCTTGGTTACTTCCCGTATGGTTGGATTCCAGTTGGATTTGTTTCTTTTTTGTAACAAAAATGGCCATTAATTTTTTTTAACAAAAAAAGAATCTAAATGAAGTTCTCAAATAGCTACAATATTCTAATTACTTAGATGAGATTTACGACGTTCGTTTTCATGATTGAATATGATACTTTTCTGGGTGTGTTTTGTTGGCTTTTTATCATTCAGGGAAATATTTACTCGTGATCTGAGAAGTTCCTTCTTCGGCTTGTTATAGCTCATATTCTTACAGATAGATTCATCAGTGAAATCTGGTGCGATTTAAGGGATATAAAATGTTGAGAACTGGTTACCTGGAGGGTGTGTGCTGGGAGTTATATTGTGCTTTGCATACATGAATGTGTCTGTGCTGTTTACTTCACCTGTAATTTGGTTATATGTTCTTTATTCAGAACATGTGTACTTGGATCAGGTTGATGAAGCTGTTGCCCAGGGTTTGAACTTTCCAAAATTCAGCTGTATTTGCACTAACGCTGGATAGTTTGAATTTGTTAGGTTTCGTTTACACTGATGTATCCTAGGGCTAACTAGATGTGCTCCCCTGGTCACAGTGGCCTATGTGTCGGGCTGCCCCACAACTTGGGGCATATTTCTAATTAACCGACATTATTCTGTGTTTTTGGATATGTTGGTTACTGCAGTTTGTTACTCTAAAAAGAAATTAGTAATAAACGTTGTACATGTGTGCCCTCAAAATCTGTTTACAAGAGGCAAGCTGAGGGGTTTCCACATTGACTTGGTGTTTATCCGCTTGTGCTTAGCTTGAGAACAAGAGAATTATTTTCTCCCAATCTTCCCCATAGATTGTGATTCATTTTTTCTGCTCTTTAAAAAACTAGTACATCGTGTCCTGTACATCATGAAATTATATATCTGCTGATCTATTTTCACGTTTCAAGTATCGTTTGACTGTTCCATGGTGTGGATTCCTCGAATAAATTTCCCCAGCTGCTTACCCGGGTCCTTGATGTACCTTCAGAATCTGGACGTTCATCCAACATTAATCCAATGTCAGAAAGTTTTGCAGCTAATCCTGCCTGCAACCTTCTGTTCTAAAGTAAAAGGAATAGTTGCATCTTCGTAGCACAAAGCTGCCATCAGAGAGAATATTCATTCTTGTTTGTGATTATGTAAGGAACACGGATTGAGGCTGAAGGTTTTTATCATGAGGATGAAGCCCGTTGCATACTGAGGCTACAACCTTCGACCCCCTTTCTTTTGAAATTTAGTGAATCTACGGTTTCCCATTTCCAAAAAAAGTTCTTTAAAACTGGAGTTGTGTAGCGCTTCCATGGAGGCTGCTCCCTGTTCTGAATCCATACCAGGGAGTACTGGAAATAATGTCAAAGTAGCATCTCTATTGATTTACTACCCATGACTGCACTATCCTTTACCTGACTTAAATCATACTTCAATTCGTCTTTCTGTCCGTCATATCAGATCTTAGAGTCTACATGGTTTCGCAATTCATAACAGTTGGCTAATTTTTAACATTGCTTTTCCTCGTTACTTGCTAGGTCCCTGGTGTGGAGAAACTTACTGTTAGAGTTGTTTCATCGGTGGACAAGAAATTAGAGGTGAAACAAATATTTCGCCGGATTTTTGACGAAGAAAATTATCCAGCAGAGTTTCCTTACAAATCAAAGGTTGAATTTCTTATCGACTGTAATGCATGTATCTCTGTTTTTTTTTTTTTTCGTTTCTGTAATGCTTTTATAGTTGAATCTTGTGCTTTTTTTTCTTTTATCTGTAATTTACTTGAGAGGTTGTTTCCAGGCCATTCTGTTGTTTCAGAAGATTGAGGGTGCCGATGTCTGCCTCTTCGCTATGTATGTCCAAGAATATGGGGCTGCATGCTCACAACCAAATCAAAGACGTGTTTGTCTTTCATATCTGGATTCTGTCAAGTATTTCAGGCCTGACATAAAGTCTGTGACTGGAGAAGCCCTCCGTACCTTCGTTTATCATGAGATACTGGTACTCTATCCATTGTACCCTCAGTCATTTGCATCTGTCATAGACTTTTATGGTGTTATCTGTTGATTGTTTGTTGCATTCCTTTTTATCCATCATGCCCACTCTACATCAAGATTTCAAATTTTCAGTTTTAAAGTTCAGTTTCTCCTGACCGCCTTTCATTTTGTTGATTATATTTTGGGGTAGTCTTAGATTTTGACTTACAATGACGATGCAATGTTTCTGTGATCAGATAGGTTATCTTGATTACTGCAAAAAACGGGGTTTCACAAGCTGCCATATTTGGTCTTGTCCACCTCTGAAACAAGAAGATTTCATTTTGAACTGCCATCCTGAGATACAGAAGACTCCGAAGCCTGACAAACTCCGTGAATGGTGAGTCGAATTTCTTTAATTTTTTATTCATTGTTTCATGTTTTGCATCTCATCTTCTTATACTCATCTCCTTCCAGGTACCTGGCAATGGTTCGGAAAGCTGCCAAGGAAAACGTAGTTGTGGAAAATACTAAATTATATGACTTCTTTTTTATGCTACCAGAGGATTGCAAAGCCAGTGTAACTGCAGCTCGTTTGCCATATTTTGATGGTGATTACTGGCCAGGATGTGCAGAAGATTTATTACAAAGTTTGCAGCAAATAGAAGATGGTAAGGAACCACAAAAGAAGGGGAGGATGACTATAACAAAGAGGGCCCTAAAAGCTGCTCGTCATGGTTCTTTGACAGACAGTCCTTCAAAAGATTCACTCCTAATGTTCAAAGTAAATATTCAATGAACTTTTCCACTATAATTTCTTGAAGTTGCTCTTTATCACTTCTTAGTTCAACAATTTTGAATTAGGGTGCTGATCTTTGTGTTCGCTATGATTTTATATGAATGCTAGCAGTGATATGTTTAATTTTTTTTTCATTTATGACTTCATTTGTGATTTGACTTGTTGAATGGGTTAGTAATTTATTGGATTTATAGAAGCTCACCTTATCTATTTTGTTGTTACCCGCAGCTTGGGGAGGTCATCCGCCCAATGAAAGATGATCTTATCATAATCCACTTGCAGCATGCTTGTAGTCATTGCTGTGAGATGATCGTAGCTGGAAAGAGATGGGTCTGTAATCAATGCAAAAAATTCCAGCTTTGTGAAAAGTGAGGACTCTCATATTTATTCTTCTCGTCTGTTTTTCCCCATGGGCTTATTTTTACGTTATCGAATGTTGTTGTCTCTTTCTATGTCCAAATATCCTTTTCTTAGCTCAATTTTTTTAAGAAAAATGTAATTGTGCCTTTTTTAGTGAAACTGTAAGTTGATATTCTTTTTTGAAATGTCACTAACCATTGTTTGGGATTTTCCGAATTATAATCCGGGAGGAATTACGAGTATGAAAATATTTCTAGATAGTCTTTAGTATATATACCAAGAATTATCATTGTGATTATTGATCAAAAAGACCATTAAATGCTACACTCTACCAGACACCCCACAAGGAAAGGCCCAGCCCATCCATGTAAGTTTTACATGAAAGCATGGTCGTCTAAAGATGATGCTCTCGATAGACATAGCTTTGAAAGTTCTAGATTGTATTATGATAATGAATCCGTCCTTTTCAGTGAAATACTCACAGGACTCCTGCCGCACCTTGTGGCGAGCCTTCTGACATGAGTTTGATTGTAAAACGCACCCTTGTGCGGTCTTGGTGATGGGTAGTGTAACTGATGTCGTGGAGTCTTACGTTTTCAGATGCTACGATGATGAGCAATCAATGGAAGAGAATGGCAGGCACCCAGTTAATAGTAGAGAGAAGCATTCATATTATCCGGTGAGCATGCCCAAAGTTCACCTCTGGTCATTGATCCTCCATCATTTGCCTCTCGGACAGAGTTGGTCTAATATCCTGTGATCCCTCCAGGTTGAGGTGGATGCTGTGCCGGCGGACACAAGTGACGAGGACGAGAATCTTCAGAGCGAGTTCTTTGACAGTAGACTGGCCTTTCTGAACCTTTGTCAAGGGAACCATTATCAGTATGACACGCTGCGCCGGGCAAAGCATTCGACCATGATGATTCTCTACCATCTCCACAATCCGACTGTGCCTGCCTTTGTGTCCTCATGCTTTCACTGCCATGAGGACGTTGAAGCAGGTCAGGGCTGGCACTGTGAGACCTGCCCCGACTATGATCTGTGCAACTCCTGTTATCAGCGGGAAGGCAGCACAGGCCATGCCCACGAGTTGGTGAGGCAGATGCCTGCGGGCTCCCACGACGTGTTGCTGCAGAAGGTGGAATCTCAGCAGAGACAAGCCCCGCGGGTAGATGATTTCCTCCTCCAAGAACCTTTTTACTCGGATTTAGATAGTTATCTTCACATGAGAATCCTCCTGCGCTCAGTTGTGAACTCTTGACTCCTCTTTGCGTAGTAGCTCACAATTTTTTATTTCTTTATTTTCGATTAGACACAAGACCTGCTGGACCTCCTGGTGCACGCCTCAAAGTGCCGGACGACGCACTGCACCTACCCCTCCTGCCACAATGTTAAAGGGCTCTTCCACCACGGCGCGAACTGCAGGATCCGCATGAGCGGAGGCTGCCATTCCTGCAAGAAGATGTGGTACATTCTGCATCTGCACGCCCGCGCCTGCAAGGAAGGCCCGGAATGCCGTGTCCCACGGTGCAGGTATGCTCATTTCTCTCCCTTCCTCTCTCCGCCGACGACCCCCTTCCTCGTCCCCAGAGGAAACATCAGCTGCCGCCTTCCCGTTGATTCGCAGGGACCTGAAGCAACACATGAGGAAGATGGAGTCGCAGTCCAATTTCCGACGCCGGGTCGGGGCCATGGTAAGAATGAGGCAGCTGGAGAAGTCAGCGGCACTCGGGGACAGCGAGTGATTGATGGCCAGAGCCACCCACGTCGTGGCCTGGGCTGATGATGGCCGAGGAGGCAAGAAGGTGATGGAGCCACAAGGCGAAGCCAGTGGAGGGGGAAAGAATGGAGCAATAAGCAACTCGCGGGCGAGGATGGGGGATGGGCGCAAGCAAGGTGCCCAGAATCAATAAATGTCTTGTATAATCCCAAAATTTTGCTGTATAGGATTACAAGTATCGATTAGTAATAATAAATGCCCCAATAATGGTAATGATGCAATTCTGCGGCCAGTACTTGGCTTCCCCTTCTTACCCATATCAGATGGTCTCCAATGCAATAATTTTATAAAGAGGCGATTGCTATATATTTTAAATCATACGCACATTCATTCATTCATTCGCGGCCAACAAGGGCAAAGAGGCTGCGCCTCCCCTTGAATTGTGATCTGATCCTCTCCATGAAGACGGCATGAGACCAAACGACACTCAAATGCGGGCTTCTTTATTCACACCAGAGATGTATGGATGCAAATGTTGTCCCGGAGAGCAGGGCAAAAGTCTGACATCCGAGTAGGGCGGGGGAAGGGCCTACAAAACTAGCTTCCCCTCGGGCAGGGGAACTACCACACCGAAAGAAGTAGAAAAACCGTGTGCCCATATCTACAACCTTGGCATTATTTTTACGGGAATAAAAATCGCTAGAACAAGGAAACGAAATTAATAGAGGCCGCATCTTGAGGCCACCCGCCTAAAGAGACGTCGATGCAGTCGACATCCGCTGCTTATTCCCGAGGATGATCACGATGACCGTCAAATCATCATGGTACTTTCTCCTCCGCCCGACCGGGATCCTCATCAACTCTTCCACACTGAAGCCTGAAATAGCATGGTTCAAAGCGTTGTTAATGGCCCTCAAGAGATTCATATGTGCTGGCAAAGCCAATCCTAGACATCAGACATCAGTCATGGTTCAAAGCAGCCTTAGCGGGTATTTTCTTTGTGGATTAAAGCCTACCTACATGACTGACGATTACGTTATAGTAGAGGCAAACGCTGCTGGAAAAGGAGGGTTGGCATGCTAAAGAGGGCTGGTATTGATTCTTGTGCTAAATTGTGCGACGGGTATCCATGACCAAGAGCGTAGGGTGAGGTAGTTATAATAATAAAAACGGCATAAAACGTCTTAGAACTCGAAACATGGTTTCATATCATTAAAGGGAGAGATGGGATGTGACACTTGGGCTTCACTCTTTTCCTTTCAATTGGCGTCCTAACGAGATTAAATATTAAGGAGAAGGTATGCGCAAAAAGCCCATTTCACTACGCTCATCTGTTGATTAAACTTAGAAAGGGTTAAATCTTACCTGAAGTTTCAGCGACTTTTGATACGAGCTGCTCGATCAGGAACTTTGCAGGATCACCAAACGGGTGTTCCTGCACAAACTGATGAACAAGTTTGACCACGTTGTCATTGCTGAAATGATCAAAGAGGCCGTCACTCCCCAAGACAACAAACAGGTCGTTCTCTGCCACTCTGTGGGATGTAGTAAAGGGATGAGTGTAGACATATGGGGGGCTGATCAAATTGCGAACTCGGAGGATGCCCATGAGTGCATCATTCAAGTTACTCTGCATAATTAGATCGGAGAGAAGAGATCAGAATTAGACAGCCCACATGGCATACACACAAATGAGGAAACTAGAAAGAATAATACCTTCTTCAAGTAACCAACACCAAGTGCGCGGGTCAGTTTCAGCTTCCCTTTCAACCTCCCGCCAGTGATTGGCGAAGGATCATCTGGATGATCAGCGATGACCTTGTTGTACTCGACCTCATTGTCTACTGAGTGGATCTCTGTGAGTTGGACGGCTTGCAGGTAACCGTTTTGGGTGGTGGCCAGGACTGCTCTACTGTCCCCCAGATTCAGGATGTACAGATCTAACCCATGAAGGAGCATAACTAGGACGGAAGACCCAATAGAGACGAGGTCGGGGCGGTTCTCCATCTCTTGCTCAACCATGTACATGAAATCCTTCTCAGCTTGAGCGAGGGCATAAGTGAGGGATCTCAGCACGCCATCACGGTAAGATTCAGGAGAAATGCCTCCATCAGCATCGATAGAAAACAGTTTCAATTTGTCTTCAACTTCAGAATCAGTGAGTTCTCTGTCGATTCCCCCCAGTCTCGGAGGAGCTTTGCCAGGTGAAACGGCTGTGGCCTCCTGCTTCATGTGCCACTCCAAAATCTGCAGAGATAGTCCTATTCTGTCGTAGAAAGTTCCAGCTAAAAAGTCTGCGGCGTCTCTCCCATTGAATCCATCATAAATTCCACAGAACAGCCAGCCATTTTCCTCGGAGCACACGGCCTGAACGCGATCTTCTCCTGCCGCTCCTCCTGCCAATTGGATGTCCATCGCGTTGAGGAAGCTGTATGATTCCAGCCTCATCGGAGCACTTGAATGGGTCGGTATACTCTTCCCGTTTTCGATCGGTTCATTGTCAGACTGGGTGCTTCCACCCAAGGTAGAGATGCTACTGTGAGAAGATGAGTTCGGAAGGTCTAGCTTTGAAAGGGACGGAGAAGACGACAGGCGCTTGAATGACTTGGGGGAATCCAGCCCAGGCAGTATTCCTTCTCCGATGATGCCATTGCATATGTTCGTGTTCGCCAAGGTAGCATTGGCGCTAAGGGCGGCACCTGAGAGGCAGGAGAATGAGGAACTGCTCCTCATCATCATCATAGAACTTTGTATTTGAATCCCCGTACATATTTCAAAATCGCAGGGCGGCTTTGGAGTAGGGCTCCAGGTGGTGTTGCACTGGTACTCAAAGCTGACATTAAGATCTTTCGAAGGATCAAACTTGTCCTCAGATTCTTGGATCATTTTAGAGAGCAGGGATGGAAAAGTCATCGTGATCCCCAGAGAAATAAGTGCTTTTACTCGGGCAGGATAATCAATATCTCAAGTCAGATACCAAGACAGAGCTTCAGGCACTTAGAAGCCGCAAGAGATCGAGCCAGAGAATGGGGACACCACGAAGACAATGAAGCACAGTGAACGACCCGTTCAAGCTCTTGGGCAACCTGACCACACCAAACAGTCAATGAAAGCTGGAGTTACATGCGACAGTAACATATAAACAGCAGGCATCGAGCATCTAGATTCAACGAGGATGCAATATGACAGAGGTGCCCTCACAGATGTTGTCATCATCATCATCATCATCATCATCATCCTCAAACAAAGACAAATCATATAAATGAAATAAAGTTGCAGCCTGCACCCATTTTAATGAATCGAATATCTGTGTGTGTGTGGTCGGAAACTGCGTGCCTATGGGGTGTTCGTCATCCTCAGTCAAACATCTTGGCAGTATCTCAGTCACCAGCCACTGAATAAATATCGAAACAAGGATAATCAGAAGTGAGGGTCACCTGTGAAAAGAATGGCGGCCTTCTCCTTAACGAGCGAACCCATGGGTAGTCTATAGCAAGGGTTGTTTGGACTCTTAGGTTGGCAGATGTGGTTCTCTATCCATTCAAAAATAACTTTATATTAGAGAATAATGAGCCAAATAGAGGATACTCATGCAACATTGACGCGAGTTCTATTAATAAGAGCGTTACCCCTCTGCCCATTATTTAGAAAACAAGCTCCATATCCTAATTGGGATTTATTGCTCTCTCCTTTTCTTCGCACAAACTTCCACCAAAACCATGGAAAAGGAGATGCACATAGCCCAGTGGACTTAGCAGGCAATTGATGACTTACCTGAAACAAGGATCCAGTCAGTCATATAAATAGTTATGCAGCTTGAACGGGAATATAGTTGTATTTTTTTTAACATAGCTCAGGTGGAATTATAGCAGTAGGTTTCCTCATACACGGTACATATGAATTATATGACGACTCTTCTAGACAAGACTCTGTTTGTTTGTCGGCGCAGAACAATATGGACTTCTTTCCGGAACAGGGAAAAGGTCATAGTTCGAAATCACAATGATCTCACAAATCAGTTTCTAGTAAATTATCTCCCCTGTGGGCATATCTCGTCATCGTGTTACATAACAAAGCGATCTGGAAGTCTGAAGGATATGGTAGACTCCTGGTTGATGTTATAACGGTGATGTTGGTTGAAATCATCAATTCTAACGTTTGCAACTCCATCAACATAAAACGGTCATGACTGGAACATCAAATTTTAGAGAGAAACGGTAGGTTTTCAGGTACAAGAAGGCAGGATGATGGGTGCGAGTAAAAATGAGTTTCTGGTTTTCCTCTAGGGATGAAGGGATGTAACCTGAAACATGCTATAATAACCAGAAAAAATAATAAGAACCAAAAGACCTAAACCATGATCGCAGGCAGAATATTCTGACCATGTATTTAAAAAATGTATGTAAACGTTTAATATAATGATATAAAATCTGATTTACACCACAACAGCAAGGTTCGATTATAACTTTGAAACTGGTATGAAAAATGATAATCTATTATATGCAGTGATTTTTAGAAAATTTGAAGCAAAAGAACATGCCAAAGAAAGCCTGGCGTGATACCAACAGGATATATATACTCGAGAAGAACATTTGATGAGCGGAGGAAGCACGAGATGAGCCAAGACGGTAAAAAACTCCGGAGAGAAAAACAAGATGCCTCAGATTCGTGATTCTTTTCATCAAGGAATCTCAAATCCATACGATCATCGACATTCAAGAACGACAAATCCAAAGGCGAGGGTAGTATTTCAGACAATTGACTTCCGATATTGACGACAAAGTACAACAAAGATGGGGATTATGATTTAATCTGCAAAACGACAAAGTGGCCTGGACAATCGTGGATATGTTCTCACGGATCGAAGGGGAGCTTCAGACTCGGCCCACGGAATAAGGCCAAATATCTTGCAAAAGTACCCAAAGATTGGAAGCCTTGGTACATGGAGGGTTAATATTCACATAATACAGAGGAACGCAAGTGAATACACAGACAAGGGCTCCCAGCATCCCGTGGATTTAGAACCGATAACCCGAGTTCATCAGCTTATGGAGATCAACTCTTACACAGAAAGGGATTCTAACAAATAATAGACGGACGCATGGTACCATTCTCATTAATTTCTGTTGCAAACTGAAGTCAAAACCCGATCATAAAATGGTACCAAGCCAACAATTTAACTTGTAAAGAGGGAGGAAATAGAGGGGAGAAGGGTAAACGAGGAATCCGTGCACTCTGCAAGAAGTGGTGGCATAAAATCCTCTATAGTTACCTGAAGGCCCTCCCCAAAAACAGTGGTTAGCCCCACATATTTCATTGAACGCACTGACAATATAAACAGGAGAAATAGAAGAAGGAAACCAGAAGGAGATAATATGCTGAAGAAACTCAGAAGGGGGTCCCCTCCTGTGGAAGGAAAACTAGACGGAGAAAGGCTGCTCACGTGGATAAACAGAGGAACGAATTCTTGAAGACGAAACCCAGATGAAGAGACGACGGCGGCAGACAGTCGGAGGGAGAGCTCTCTCTCGTTCTCGTTTCCCTCTGTCTCCTTCTTAAATACTGGTTATTTTCCTTCTGGCCCGGGCGACGGCGACGGGGAAGCGAAAGTGCGGAATTAAAGCGCAGTTGACCGGTTCCTCCTCCCCTCTGCTGAGCCCTTATCTCTCTAGATTATCTCTCTACAGTTTTCCCCAACCACCCAGTAATTAGCTTAACCTCCCAGATAAACCCCCAATTCTGATTAATTTACTCTCCCCAAGTACTTATTTATCGCCCGTTGTTTTATTACCATTACTGTTCTTCTCCTGCTGACACGAGGGAGGAGGGAAGTCGGCCCACCTATGTGTGACCGTTGCATGCTGGGGCCCGCCGGCCGACGCGCTGCGAGAAAAATAAACGGCTCTCAGCCTGCCGCGCGGCCGGTCCGGGGTACGTTGCCTAGAGGGGAGGGGGACGGCGGCGCGCTACCATCACCGGGGCCGCCGGTGCAATTATACTAGTCCACCGTTCAGAGGCGGCGAAGGGACATATTCCGAGGAAGAGATGCCGCCCCCAACACAACGAGCTCCCGACTTTAGGAGCCGGGTCGGCAGCGCATCGCCCAACCCTTCTCCCCTCTCTTTTCAACTGGCGAATCGGCCATGTTGAGGGTGAGGGGAGGATAAGACCCATCCCGCAATCTCCTCCTTCCCCGGTCGGGCCGCCGCTGCCTGGTGATAATGGGCGGGCAGACGACTTTCCCCCGACGGCGACCGGCCACTCGTGGCCAGGAGCGCCCCCCTTCCCCTCTCTGTCCCCGTCCCTGCACCTCTCTCCCTCTCTCTCTGTGTCGTCTTAATATATGTATATCTTCGAGTGAGGGGGCGTGGGCAGAGGGACCTCAGAAATCTTATATTCGGACGGCTGACGCCATCGGCGGCGCCAACTCGCGCGAGGGAAAGCGACACAAATTCTTTTCCCGCCGGCGTCTTATTCACGACAGTCGGGGAAAGGTTCTACTGTGAAGAAAGAGAGAAAATATCGGCCCAAGCTCCAACGTCGATGGCCAAGCTAATGAGAGGAGGATGGGGGGATAAGGGCGGGTCGGCCCCGCCGCGAGGAGCTTCACCCTCGTAAATTGGCTTTCTTCCTTTCTTCGCTGAATCTCTCGCTCTTTGACCCTTTTCCGTGTTATTACCCACTGACGGCGGATGACGACATAGTCGTTCACTCCGGCCCCACGTCGATGAAGCCCCCGCTTCGGCAGACGGCGGCGCCGCCAGGAAGAGGGTGCAGATGGTGTAGACCATTCGAGAAAGATTTCTATCATGCATGTAGCTCTGCTCCTAAAGATAGCGGTTAATGAGCAAAAACGCAAAAACGCGACGTCCACTTGAGAAAACTATTCCCGAAATGCAAGAAATTCCTCAAAAACACGTCCCCTTTGCGTGCATACAGCGAGAGATGATGACGACTTGCAAGAAGAGGATGACTCGGGTGATGTTTGTGTCCCAAAGGTTCAGCCTGGAAAGAGGGACTCGACTAGGCCCAAGAGCAAGATCCAAGAACTCAGTGCAGCCCGATACAAGAATACGTGTTGAGTCCGAACACGTTGCGCAACCTAATAAGAAAAGAGCTATTAGAGCGCAAATTACAATATTTGATTCAACCTTAACGTATGCTTCATTAACACTTGCTTTGTTCCATTAGAAATGGGATGATGGGATGATGATGAAAATAGAAAGCTAAGATATGGGATGATGAATTCAACTATATTTTAGGTCTCAGATTCATTATCTAAACTAGAAAGCATTATATAGTGTACCATAATAATAGAATATGTAGGTAAGTAAATCTGCGGCCTATGTACCAGTTAAAAAGTGTATAGACTTGGTATGATATCTTAAATCTCCACAAGTATAACTTCATGATATCTTTAAGTCAAATATAACTAAGTTAGCAATATTAACCACTTATCTCCTCATGCTCTTATAGAGTTAAAAATTTCCCATATTGGACAACTTAAAAAGATAATAAAAATAAAACGAAAATTTCAACTTATAGATGTTAAATAAAATTTACTCTACCTTATGTATGACATACATGTTGCTAGATGAAACTATCATGATTTTAGCATAATTTTGATATTTTCTTCAATAGTATATCTTACATAGACGTACATGATTCTTGTTAATGGACGAATTCACTTTTTTTAAGGTTTTCTTGTGTGAGCTAGGTTGTTGACAATAATTACTTCATAATGGAAAAATCAGACCAAGAAATCACTGATGACCAATATAAAAATGGTAATGGCTTAACAAAGAATGACTCTATAGAATGAAAGATTCTATGTATTACTTTGTTAAAACCCTTGTATAAAGTGTTCAGACGTAACACTATGAAATTAAATATTTTTGGCAAAATCAAATTAC